ATGTAAAATTAAAGTTGCATTTAAATATCCGTTAGTGGTCATTGCTGAAACCAAAGGCTGGCTCTAGAGTTTAGGGTCCGAGTTCCTATAACAGATGAAACATCCACCTTTAACTTTTTACTTTTGTCAAGTTTCAACATGTTCAAGTTTTGCAAAACCTAGTACAAATAGTCGTACTCCTAAGTTAGAGTTTCTTCGTCAGATTTACACTTTATAGTAGTTAAACAATATTTTTTTAATTGATTGTGACAATAACAAATTCTGTTGCCATGTTGTAATTTATGGCATGAAGCAAACACGAAGAGCACTCGCATGACACAATTAAGCAGGTACAAGTGATTCCTAACTTTCAATCACTTCCTTCACATCCCCATGAACATCAACATCTCAAGGACAGACTGTTCAGCTGTAATTAGTGTCTTGTTGTTTATTTAGATTATTGTTATTTATTATCCGCGGTCTCGGTCTCGGTCTCGGACCATTTCGGTCTCGGTCTCGGTCCACCTTGAAGGGGCTGGTCTCGGTCTCGGTCTCGGTCTCGCAGCTTCAGGTCTCGGTCTTGGTCTCGGTCTCGGACTATCCGGTCTCGACTACAACACTGGGCTTGACATATTTTTGGGAAAGACTCAACTTGAAGGGCAGGTTTAATATTGGAAGAAAATATTGACGGTAGCTCTAGCCTTGACCAAGGCTATCAGCTTGTTCCCATTATGAGCTTGTTCCCGCTACCGCACACCGCGCGCGCAGCAACACAATGTTGTACTATCCGGTTCGTTAGTGTGACGTCACCTCCAGCACTTTCTGCACGATTGGAACCGGAAGTTAACGCAGCTCGAGCGGTTGTAGCCAATGAGCGCTAGTAATCAATGGTGGGTGCGCGTGAATGACGTTTTTACTAACGAACCGGATACCGTTAGCCCCAACGACCCTTGCGTGTGCTTTGTGTGCATGTACGTACGCCCCACACTCACTTCCGCAAACAGCCGTACAGTAAGTCGACTTCCGCCTCGACTTAATACTGTACGGCTGTTTGCGGAAGTGTGTGTGGGGCGTACGTACATGCACACAAAGCACACGCAAGGGTCGTTGAGGCTAACGGTATAGTACAACTAGTGATTGTGTCGTGGCGCGCGCGGTGTGCGGTAGCGGGAACAAGCTCATATGAAAACAAGCTGATAGCCTTGGTCAAGGCTACGGTAGCTCTTGATGAGCATAATATTAGCCCCTGCAATAATAAGGTACACATAGGCCTAGTAGCTGACAGTGAGAGCGTAGCTTCATATCTACACTGAGCACCAGTGAGGTAACATCTTGAAATGATGTTGCCAAAACGTCTCATCGTTGGCTTGATAAGCCTTTGTCTTATGATCAGATGCACTGGTGGTAATGAGAGTTGTGGGGCCTCCATTAGAGGGGCGTGTCCTCCTGCTTGGAGCCAGTGGGGTGACAAATGCTACAAGCAACTCAGCGAGAAACTACCACGGGCTGAGGCAAAACAGGAGTGCATCAAGATGGGAAGTGTCTTGGTCATGCCACAGTCTCAGGAGGAAACTGAGTTCCATCTCAAGAACCTGATGGACGGCTACTTTTGGATCGACTGCAATTATGTCCAAGGTGAAGGTTTGTCACGTTACATGTACATGCATTATTTATTCCTCACTTCATTTTCGATCGGTTTTGATTTTTATAACTTTCTAAGATGCCGAACTTAAAATCCAATCCGCTTAATTAAGTGATTTCTTTAAATTGTTTCCTTGTTTTTTAATTAGACGGCTTGCTTGTTTTGTTTAAAATCGCAATTTTGTTTTCTTTTCTTACTCGTTTAATTAATGCATGAAATTGGATACCCCCTTTTGTGTAGTTTATGTAATGGTCTATACTTTTTGAGAAGATTCGCTGATTAACAAGACAACCGCATCTTGACCACTAGATTTTGACCAATCAGCGGGCGCTTTCTATATCGAGTCTTCCGTCATTAACCCGTTGTCGCGTCACAGACACGGATATAAAAAAAAAAGACACAGCAACGCTGTGGTCACGCGCTCCGTATTATGTTACGAGATACAATACGGTAACAGCCGGGTGCGTATTACAAAACACTGCATTCGAATTGACCAATCACAAATTGAGTCCTGATTTGGGAATGAAATGACGTCACGATTTAGTAAAGTCGACTCCGATTGGCTGAGGCGCGAGATCGCATAAATCTGTATGTTTTGATAAATCAGACGACATATAGGAGACTTGGCACCGTGAATAACGGGTGATACTCAGACTACCTTTTGTGTGGTGGGAAACCAAAAAATGCAGAATTTAAGGTTATTTTCCAATAGCCTGAATGTATTGTTAAATAGTATTGTAAAACAAAGAACGAACAACACATGTGGTGTCCAGCCCAGCTCCCCCCGGCCCCTCCCCTTTCAAATCTCTACGCCCGGAGGATTAGGTTTTTTGTCATCCCCCACCCTGTCGGTCGGTCAGTCTGTGTCCAAGATTGACACAAAAATTGACCAAACAATTGACAGTATCCATGCCGTGGTCATAAAATGCACTCTTGCCGACGGTTTTCGGAACAGCGGTTTTGTTTCGTTTGATGCGCATGCGCGTAAATTTTGCATGTCTGTCCCCGAAAATTGCCCAAAATAAGCCCCGTAATAAGTTCCCACAAAATATAACTATCAAATTTTATTTTTTTTACAAATAAAAAGCAGCAAACAAAATCAATTAACCAAAATTGTATTAATTCGAAAAGATGTTTATGAAAAAGGTATTCATCACTAATCGCTATAAATCTAGGTATACATCTGAAGTAAGGTGTTCCAAAATATATGTGCCATCGGCGTCGCATTTTTGGGCTTCACATTGTTAAGCTCTGCGGCGAAGATTGACGTTCATGCCAGAGCTTATTGTGCACTTGCACTTGTTCTCCGGTAAATGCTATAGGTACATGGGTGTGTCAGGATGGCACTACTGATGTGGAGTACAGAAACTGGAGGGATGGTGAACCTAATAATGGCGGGAAAGGAGAAGATTGTGTAGCAGCGTACGAAACTGGTTGGAATGATATACCATGTCAGATACCCGTTGCCGTAATCTGCAAACAACCTGCACCACAGCTGCACTTTTAAATGACAAGCTGGAACTCACTGGCAATTCAATCCTTTTAAAATAGCTGAGTTAAGTAGGCCTTGTCGTTTTTATCTGTTAGAAAAGGAAAAGAGATAAAGCACTGTTTAAATATCAGTCATGTACAACGTGTCAAAATAAATGTCTATACTTTTGATCCAAAATAACTCTAGTGTTTATCAACGGAATTAAACTACAAATGCAGACAATGTAAATGACAGATTTTATGGAGTGAGTTTCATCGGCTTTGTGCAAGAGGGTGAGATTTAAACGCCATGCGAAAAATATACTCACTTTTAGAATCTGCCACTTTCGACTTGGCGTCCTCGATACAGCGATGGAGACGGTGGTGGAAGGCGCTTGTTGCGGCCGAACGCTTCCGAAGGAATGCAGGATCACCCCCGATGTCATTGCACACCTCCTCGATCGTTTGGCGCAACACACGATCGAGCACGTGTGCAATGACATCGGGGGTGATCCTGCATTCCCTAGGAGGCTTTCGCATGGCGTTTAAATCTCAGCCCTCTTGCACAAAGCTGAAACTCGCTCCATAACATTCGTCATGCCTTGCTTAGGCTTAAATTATCTGAAAATGTAATTCCATTGGTAAACACAAGAGTTATTTAGGATCAAAAGTATGACTTTTTAACGAGTAGCTCTGCTATACTTATATTAATGGAAACATTCAAAGTGAAATTGGTTCAAAACAGGGTAATGTGGGGGTTGCGCAAGAGGGGAGAACAATAATTAAAGAAAGCATGATTTAGAAAATACAAACAAATGATTCTTTTGGATACACTTCCCCTTTAACCGTACCTTAACCTATCTGTTCTTTTGAGAACATTTTAGCTGGGACCTTGACCATTGTATCTTCAAATGCTGTACCAGCTGTGAAAGTAAAAGAACATTATGTGGTCAATGTCTTGCCCGACATTGTAAACATAATGCTATTTTTGTATGGTGGTAGGTAAGTGCACTGCACTAATAGTTCTGACGACATTCGACTTAAACTGGATGCACACTTTGTTAAAAAGGTAAAGATTATTATCATAAAAAAAAATAATATTCTGGAGTGAACTTAATTTTGGCCGTGCATCCTTGCAACACCTTCAACCAATAAACATATAATATATAGGCCTACTTGTCACAGAATAATGTCTATAACCCTCCTGCTGTCTGAACAGTCACAGACAGTCAAAAAAAAATCAATCCTCTTCCCTGCCATGCCTTTTACACAGGCTAGTCACCAATAGTCAGATCATATTTCAAGCAAGCACTGTGACTAGTCAAATTCAGTCGACAGACAAAAGCAGGCAAGCGGTAGGCACGGCTGGCTCATTACCTACAGACAAAGCGTAGCTGTACCAAGTTACACAAACAGTCACAGGCAGTCAATCCTGCTTTATGTAGGCTGGGAGCTCTTAACTGTTGAAAACAGTCACTTGACTGATTTTGACTGAAAGGACAACTTTGCTCAGAGCGTGTGTTGTATAGAACGGTTAAAGTCTCCGGATGACGAACAGTACAAAACGTCGAGTTAAACCAACTGGTTCTTCTCTGAACCACGCAACTCACTAAGAGATATTATTCACATGGTGTTACCGCAAACCTACCATTCACTGATCATGTCCACCATGCAAAACTTTAAGTCTCGACAAATAAAGTTGACATCAATTTCCAGAATAAAAACCGTTATTCGTAACTGAATGTCCATCCAGTATGCAAATCGAGGTTCATCACAATTGTTGGATCAAAACCTCAATTTAAAATTCAAACAGCAAATGAAGTTTCACAGTCATAATTGTTTTCACCTTCATGACCATTGACCTTCGTCTCATAATTGAAAAACAACAGAAGACACAACTCCAATAATGAAACACAACACAAAGTGCTTTTTAATGTTTTCCTAGATTCATGTGTTTAACATTCAAAGAAAACAATACCGTTGTCGTGTACTTTATAAAACGTACATGTCACAAAATAACTCTCTATAACGTAACTAAAACCCACTGCAAAATTATCAAAAGATAAATAAACACATTACTAGCGGGAAATTATCTTTATGTAACTTACTTTCATAACTTAATGAAACCTACTAAATCCAAAATGTGTGAAAATTATATCTTGTTAGCATACAAAAGATTATGAACATATAGCTCAAACTTATCACCACAATTAGTCAATCCTTAAAAGGAAATAATAAAAAGTTTCAAAAACTCCACTAAGTGGTATAACTGTTTAATTATTCATCGTTCAAGTTTTCCTGCAAAATGACATAATTAATACATCATAAGAAGTTTCAAAAGGACTTATCACAGGGTTCTAACGGATATCTTACATGAAATTCCACAATTTTTCCAGGACTTTTGTAAGAAAAGATTAGGGCTTTCCATGACCAATTCCTTCAAATTCCATGATTTTCCATGATTTTTCCATGAAACTATGACTGTGGGAACCCTGTGACAAGATCTGGAATCCAACCTTGCTTCCTAACAGAACGCCTTGTAAAATTAACATTCCATGACTTTTCCATGACTTTCCATGACAAATTCCATGATTTTCCAATGACCATGGGAGCCCTGTAACAAGGTCCGGAATCCAACCCTGCTTCGCTGACGGAGTGCCTTGTAAAATAACGTTCCATGACTTTTCCATGACTTTCCATTATAAGTTCCATGATTTTTCCATGATTTTCCATGATTTTTCCATGAGTGTGGGAACCCTGTAATAAGGTCCTAAATCCAACCCTGCTGACAAAACTCCTTGTAAAATAACATTCCACAACTTTTCCATGACTTTCCATTTAAATTCCATGATTTTCCATGACCGTATAAACCCTGTAACAAGGTCCTGAATCCAACCCTGCTGATGGAACTCCTAATGTTCCCTGTAGGAATCCCTCTGGAAGTACACGTAGTAGACCTTATACTTGAAATCAGCTTCAGCCTCTTCATAAATGGCGTCATTCAGCATGCAGATGTGGCCAGCGTTGCCACGTTTGGTCCTGAAGTTGAATGAAGCGCAGTCTGGGTCGGCCAGGCAGGCCTGCATGCAGGTGAGGATGTTACGCTGTTGGCCTGAGCTAATGACGTGACCTTCTAGACGGTAGGATTTGAGGGTAGGCTGAGGGTTCATGAAGAACATGGATGCTTCCATGGGGCTGTTGTCGGCCGGGTCCACTGTCCATGACAAAAAGAAATGATGACAGTTTTGTTTTATAGTGTAAGACAATCTTGGCATTAATAGGGCTCCTTATCCCCAGCTTTTCCCAACATTTACTGGCTTGTGATTGACTTGCAATTTGGCTTGTGATTGACTTGTGATCGACTTGTGATGGACTTGTGATGGACTTGTGATGGACTTGTGATTGACTTGTGATGGACTTGTGATTGACTTGTGATTGAATTGTGATTGACTTGCAATTTGGTTTGTGATGGACTTGTGATTGACTTGTGATTGACTTACAATTGACTTGCGATTGACTTACAATTGACTTACGATTGACTTGTGATTGACTTGTAATTGACTTGCAATTTGGCTTGTGATTGACTTGTGATAGACTTGTGATTGGTGATTGACTTGTGATTGGTGATTGACTTGTGATGGACTTGTGATGGACTTGTGATTGACTTGTGATTGTCTCGTGATTGACTTGCAATTTGGCTTGTGATTGACTTGTGATTGACATTTGATTGACTTACGTTTGACTCGTGATTGACTTGTGATTGACTAATAATTGGTGATTGACTTGTGATGACTTGTGATGGACTTGTGATAGACTTTGATTGACTTGTGATTCACTTGTGATTGACTTGTGATTGACCTGTGATTGCCTTGTGATTAACTACTGATGGACTTGTGATTGACTCATGACTAGTACTCACACAGGCATCTGTAGGTGACCTGCAGATACTTGTAGATTCCAAAGCATGGCTCCGTAGCAGTGTAGTTAGCCCAGTAGTTGGACACAGTACAGTTCCTCTGGTTAGTACAGATACTGCGGACGGCATCCAATACCTCGCTGGTGTGGCAGTCAGTGTACTCTGTGGTCCCTGGGTAGTTATCACGGAAGCTACAGCGATGCTTTCCTGCAACAATTTTTGGAAAAAATTAATCAACAGAAATACATATTGAAAAGTTGATACAGGCAAACGAACAATAAAGCTCAAGTACGCGTGCTGCTGCATACACACACCAGTGTTGTAGTCGAGACCGGATAGTCCGAGACCGAGACCAAGACCGAGACCTGAAGCTGCGAGACCAAGACCGAGACCGAGACCAGCCCCTTCAAGGCGGACCGAGACCGAGACCGAAACGGTCCGAGACCGAGACCGAGAACGCGGATAATAAATAATAATCTAAATAAACAACAAGACACTAATTACAGCTGAACAGTCTGTACCTGCTTAATTGTGTCATGCGAGTGCTCTTCGTGTTTGCTTCATGCCATAAATTACAACATGGCAACAGAATTTGTTATTGTCACAATCAATTAAAAAAATATTGTTTAACTACTATTAAGTGTAAATCTGATGAAGAGACTCTAACTTAGGAGTACGACAATTTGTACTAGTTTTTGCAAAATTTGAACATGTTGAAACTTGACAAAAGTAAAAAGTTAAAGGTGTATGTTTCATCTGTTATAGGAACTCGGACCCTAAACTCCAGAGCCAGCCCTTGGTTTCAGCAATGACCACTAACGGATATTTAAATGCAACTTTAATTTTACATTGGACCTCCTTGTAATCCTGATTCGAAAACAATTTGGAGCAAGAAAATATTGATTTATTTTTTAAAATTTCAGTCATGGAATATAGATTTGTACATGTAGACCAAAAAATTGAGAGATGGTAGCCAGATATGGATAGGTCTGCCCCCCATCCCTCTTTGTGATTCTCCTTCCAACCCTGTATGTTTGTGTGTCCCCTACATGTTTGTTTCTTGTTCCTCTGTCATTTACCTCTGAAGAAGGCCTGGCTAAGGCTGAAATGTAATGCCACTTTATTTTTGTTTAATGTCAATAACGTTACATATACTATAGAAGATCGATGAACCATATTTGCCTGATCTATCTTCTGTTCATCTGCCCGCCGTCATCATCGTCATAAGCCTTTTAGAGAATATGGCCGACACAATAGAAGGGCGCTGTAACAAACTGAATGTGGTGGGCGAGATGCACTTTTAGGATGCATGGCTCAGTGCGCACGCCTCTCTACTTTGGCTACTTTGCCGGGCAATTTACTTGAGTATTTTAGTGACAAGTACGACATTGCCAATATTCTAATCGCTTATTGTGATGGCCGTAAACAGCATATAGCGATTAATGAAACAAAAGTCTTCTCGATTCATGCAAACGCAATTGACATTTAGGAAGGAGACGAGGCAGGCAATAAGACTCTATTTTTGTGTGACCATGGCAGTAGCTCCATTTGTGTTTATCACAGATGAAAAGATGAATACATGGCGAGTCAAAAAGAAAGTGACCGTATGATAAAAAAAAAATGGCACGCTCCATTTTGTAAAAAATATAATTGGGATAAAGAACATGTTATTGAGTAGTAACTGTGAACATGTCACGTAATTTGCGTACTATTCCCAAGTCGTGACTAGTTTAATAAAGATATCACAAAATTCAGCTGTCCACCACTAATACCAATTTAACGGTCTACGAATTGATGAATATCAATTAATAAATATAATTTAAAAAAACGTTTTCCCGCCTCCACGAATAAAGGAAAAATTGAAAAGGAAAATCGATATAAAACAAAAACAAAGTGGACATGAATAAAGTAAAGGCAAACCAGTTCACACCTTAATTAACAATTAATATTATTATTTCAACAGAACCAATACAAAACACTTTACACACCAATTCAATTTAAGAAAATACCAATATACCATGATAGATTACCAGAGAGTGAGTGGTGGGGCGAGCAGGGGGTATAACAAAAAGTTCATAGTTCTTGTCTTGGTGGGTGCTCTATGATGACTCCGGTGCCGGAGATGAGCAGCAGGAAAAGGGGGAAAGGGGTTCCTCTAACGAGGTCCTCCCGTTAGGCAGCTAGTACGGTCAATACGCCGTACTCGTGAGTTCACGCACGTCGGATCAGTACCCCCGTGAAGTGACGTCAGGGTCCGTTAACTCAGACCCAAGTCTCTAGCCTGACGAAGTCGCCAAACCCAAACCAGGCAGCACCCTAGCGGGGCCAACTCCAAACTTGCTTGAAGCTCCAATCTGCTGTCCAGTCGACGAGCGACATCCAGGGGGAGATCATCAGACAGCAGACTCCCGGTCTTGGTCTTCAGGCGTGTGCCCCGGGGACAACTCCCCAACAGCCGGCAGTGGGCACAGTCGTGAAACTCACGGTCCTCTCCGTCCGATGGTATGGGATGAAAGGCACACCCCAAAGTTCGACGATCCATTTTATACTGGGACGAACATTCCAGGCACACCCGATGCATACCGTAAATTCTAACTTTTCACTTTCCAAATTTAACGATTGTTCATTCTAATTTGCAAATCTAAACTGCTCGCCCCAATTGGGTTAAACTGCTCGCCCCTTGAATAGTTAAAATGTTTAAGACATCGTTCCAGCCACTATTTTCTTTAACAAGAAAACCGATATTATGTAATACAGTTTTACATGCCACCAAATAAATAATACACTACTACAACTCTGGAATAAATATTAAATAATACATCATCTTAACACATCACACTGCAGTCACATTTGCCCTAAACTGATTCTTTACTTAACCCTAAAAGGGCAGGGGGCGGAATCCGCCCCCCCCCTCACTTTTTGGCTGGTCTCGACTCGAGACCAGCCAAAATATCGAGACCAAAGGGGACCGAGACCGAGACCAAGACCGAGACCACAGCTCCCGAGACCGAGACCGAGACCGGCAAAAAGTGGTCTCGAGACCGAGACCGAGACCGAGACCGGTCTCGAGACCTACAACACTGACACACACCACACACATCACGAAAATGCTCGCAGTACAAGCACGCACGTCTTATTCACGAGTTGGCCATTTTTGTTGAGTTCCCTGAATGTATTTTTTATTAAGTGTTAACTGTTCCATGGGATGGTGCCAGACAATTTATGCAGGCAATGCAACCTTATTTTACTGTCTTTTTTAATTAGGGAATTTTTAATTACAAATTTGAAATTATTCATTGAAGCAGACCGAAATTAAATAGGAATTAACTTGCTTTTATTTCTCTTCGCAAGTTCTAAAAATAAAGATTTTACATCACTTTCAATTCAACATGGCCAACTCGTTAAAAAGGCCCAAACACCCTCACAGGGCACGTGCGTGTATGTGCTAACCATGGGCTAACTAATAATAACACTGACTGGCCAGATTTGTTCAAGTGAAAATGGTCATCAGAATTTATTGTCCAATAGGCATGCTTCTTATATCAGCGTTTAGAGAATTTCATCGACTTCATGAATGACATCACTCTGATGTTGCTGGACTTTTCGTTTGGACGCTGTAGTAAAAAAACACTTGGACATGCCTGTTAAAAAAACTAGTTTATGCTTCATAGAGTGCAACTGAGTCTGCGTACTGTTAAATCAAATGATAAAAAGGACCCACAACCCTAAATTGACCATTCTTACCTTCCGCCCGACCGAGGTCTGCCGATATAATCCTGATGTGGCTGGCTTCTGCTGGGCACTCAAGAAACAAATCTGCATGGTCCTCACAAGAGTACAGCGTAATATCGTTCAATGGACGCCCCTCTGCAAAAGAAAAATTAGTACTGGGCTAAGATATGTAAAGGATGACTATAGTTGTTTTTGAACAAGCCAACAGATAGATGGGGGTAAATCTTTAGAAAATCATTTTGTTTGTACTCGCATTAAGGTACAGGCTGTTCAGCTGAACTATTAAAAAGGCAGAGTTGTAAACGTGTAACTGAATTTAATGACTCGAGTCTAGTCGAGTCATTTTAAGAAAGTGACTTGACTAATTGAATTGAAACATTAGGTCAAGAAGGTTGCGTTGAGTCACAGTGTGTGGTTGAGTTGAGTCAAGTCGAGTCGAGTGGAGTCAAATTTATGCTCGAGTCAATTCAAGTCACTGATATTTGAACACCATGTAATAAATTACAGAAATGGAAGAAGGACCACAAGGCACCAGTTTATTATGAAGATATAAACTAAGATTATGCTGCATTGGTACCCAATATAGGCAATTTCTGCTGGACATTTAAAACAAAGATCACAAGTTTAAAGATCCACACATGCAGCAACAGTGAGCAAGAAGTAAAATTCGGTTTCATCTCTGGTTTGACTTCAGGTCTGGAATCTTTTTTATGCTGACAGCATCAAAACCGAAACTGTATTTAATTTTGTACAAATTTATATAAATATTTTTTTCAAAGCAGAACATAAATTTAGTCTAGTTCCATCAAGGGCTTATGAAATCGCCCAAAACCGATGATAAAACCAAGAATTGGGAAATGCGTGCAAAGTCTGCAACCGGAAAACATGTAGTAGTTTGTTTGCTACATTATAAAACCACGGGGTAGGCGTTTGTGAAACACGTATTATATGCATTAACTTGAAGGTAACGAGAAGTACGCGAACAATGAGTAACTTTGTACCGTACGTCACTGCAAGTATATTTTTGCACAGTTTTGGGACTTGAGTGTTTCTAGGCTTTGACCCGAGTCTAGTCGAGTCTGCTATTGAGGGACTCGAGTCGAGTCAAGTCAATTACCTGTTGGGACTCGAGTCGAGTCATTGGCTCGAATCATTGCAACTCTGAAAAAGGGACCCCATTGTCAAAGATCGCCACTTTCCTTGGCTAACTAACCTTCACAGCTGTATGTGACTTCTAGATATTTGGTCTTGATGGTGCTGCATGGATCATCTGATGTTAAATCTTCCTGCTCAGTCTGCAATCAAAACAATCCGATTCATGCATTATTCTCGCTATACTTCATGTACCATTACTCTCTGTTTCGCCCAGAACCGCCCTGCGTGTTACTCCCTGTACCGCCCCAAACCACCCTGTCTGTTACTCCCTGTACTGCCTAAACTGCCCTGCCTGTTACTCCCTGTACTGTCCCAAACCGCCCTGCCTGTTACTCCCTGTACTGCCCAAAACCACCCTACCTGTTACTCCCTGTAACACCCCAAACCACTCTACTTGTTACTCCCTGTACCACCCAGATCCGCCCTGTCTGTTATTCTCCGTACCACCCCAAACCACCCTACCTGTTACTCCCTGTACTGCCCCAAACCACCCTGCCTGTTACTCCCTGTACTGCATGCCCCAAACCACCCTGCTTGTTACTCCCTGTACTGCACCAAACCACCCTGCCTGTTACTCTCTGTACTGTCCCAAACCGCCCTGCCTGTTACTCCCTGTACTGCCCAAAACTGCCCAAGTTCTGTATGGTTTCAAGGATTCGTCAGGGAATAGATACAATGTAATACAATGTATAACAGGGGTAAACAGTTAAAGAACATTAAGAGCATTACAGCTTAGCTGTGTGTTCAAGGTGCGATCTACTTACGGGAAGACTGCAAGAACGTTGGTCTTGGCAATAAGCCTTGACAATGTCCAGGGTGTCTGTTGAGCGACAGGTTGTTGTGTCGTCGTATCCGTTTGAATGTGGGCAAACGAGGGACGAACTGCCAACCTGTATCAAATAGAACATGGGTGTTATAATAATAATAATAGCTTGGGAGGCTAATCATCCTTACTCGCAGCTGAGAAGCTGAACTGCGAAGGATGTGGCTACGAAGTGGTCGAGCCAAGGGCATGAAAAGATGCCTCAGGCTGCTGCCATACGACCCATGTCTAATCACGGAGCACATGGTTCAGTGGTTTAGGACTGCTAATGTAAATAGGGAGTGGCACGTGTATGTGTTTGGATTGAAGCTAAATCACTTCACGCTTGCAAGTAGCAACGAACACACTCCACATTTAACACCTGTAGTTGTCAAGTTTTGTTTTTATTGTAAAGCTAAAGTTGTTCAATGTCTTAGGGGCATGAAGGGTCTAGCGGTAGGGCACAGGATTCATAATCGTGAGATTGTGGGTTTTAGCCAACCGTGGCCATGCGTGTTGTGCCCTTGAGTAAGGCGCTTTACCTCAATTACTCCTCTCAACCCACTTTTCCATATATAGTTTTTGTGCTTTTTCGTATCTGGCAGTTAACGTAGCAACGGGATTAAATGTGATACAAAACGTGGTTCCAATATCCAGAAATGGTTATCATTTAATTCTGTATAAAGAATTTCTTACTCAAATAAAGGAAAGGCTCTTACGCCATAATGATAGTTCTGTAAAGCTTGTTTATATCATGTCTTTAAGGTTCAAATTATCGCATGAATATAATTAAAACATAGCTGCTGTTGCATACAGAAATACTAAACTCAGTCTGGTTTGATTAAAATGACAATAGTGTTTTTTTTATCTCATTCACCTGAGTTCGACCGTAGAAAGCATCTTGTATCTTGATGTATTTTCCGTCCGGGCAGGTCAGACTCAACTCATACTCCAGATTCTCGCAGGCGAATAAAGTGATGTCGCCGGATGGGACATCCTCTGGATTGTGGGGAAAAATAGAAGGACAATTACAGATTAAAAGATTCAGTAACATGATATTCTGTTGAGATTTTATAATCATGCAAAAAACAGCCTCATCAGGTTGCCATCTGCAAGATACATACAAGGTGAGTAAAAAAACCGAAACCCGAATGTTGGGACCATTGTTTTAGTGAAGTTCTGCATGTAGCACTTTCAAAATCTAGGATATGAAAGCCCAATTCATAAGCTCTCTTTTCGTACAAGAATCATTCAAATCACTCATGTGTTTTTGAAGTTAAAGAATTTTCAACACAACCACCATTTTATAATTCTGTCGACGGATCAACAGACGGTAAGGGTTCTTTCAGAAAACGAAAACAAATCACATAGGATGTGTGTGAATTGTTTCCTTTTTGCTGAAAGAACACAGACCTTTTTTGTGATCCGTGGACAGAACTTTAAAACGGTGGTTGAGTTTAAAATGACGTAACTTCAAAAGTACATAAGTGATTTGAATGATTCTTGTACTAAAAGGAAGCTTATGAATTGGGCTTTCATATCCTAGATTTAAGAACTATTGATAGGAGAACTTCGCTAAAACAATTGGTCCCGACATTTGGGTTTTGATTTTTTTACTCGGCCTGTACTTCAAAGTTGTCTGTCTCACCTTTACAAGTGAAAGCCAGTTCCAGGTGTAAACGCATAGCTCCGCAGAAACTGTTGCCCAGCCAGTAGTCAGTGTGCCTGATATAGCAAGTCTTTTTGTTGTTGCAGTGGGTTTGAATTGATGAAGAGACGTCCTGGTCACTGCACGAACTCACTGCAAAAAAAGTGAAAATGATTGAAATGAATAGCAAAATGAATGAGGAACTTGTGTCCATGTGCAATGGACTTTACCTTAATTGCTGATCTGTTCATGGTTTGCAGAGTCTTTCAAAAAAGGTAATACGCAACATCTGCAAACATCACAAAACAGAACTACCAAATTTTCATGAAACAACATACTTGGCTGTGAGTGCATTCTAGTCTCACACAATCTGTGAAATCATGGCACCTGGTGTGCTGTCATTTTGAAGAAAGGTGGAATATTTGTAGGGTAGAGTAATTTTAAGAATTATTGCCGATTGCTTACAAAAACACAGCATTGACATACCATCAACGTTGGGGTCTTGGGGATCATACAGCGGGACGGAGGTTGTTGAGGCCTTGACATAGGCACTATTGATATCTATGACGCCCTTGAACCCGACGCAGGCAATCTCCATGGCAGTGTCCTGATTGGTCACTGCAGTGACCTGCTGGCCTTGTTCACCTGGATAAGAATACAGTTACAAACTTGAAACCCACGTAGCAACATTGGTAGTTACCCACTTCCCTACCTACCGATTCAAAACCCTCCTGCTGTCTGAACAGTCACAGACAGTCAAAAAATCAATCGTCTTCCCTGACATACCTTTTACACAGTCAAGTCACCAACAGTCAGATCATATTTCAAAGAGGCACTCTGACTAGTCAAATTCAGTCAACAGACAAAAGCAGGCAAATGCACAGCTGGCTTATCCATCACTTGCAGTCAAAGCATAGCTGTATTAAGTTACATAAACAGTCACAGCCATCAATCCTGCTTTATGTAGGCTGGGAGCTCTTAACTGTTGGAAACAGTCACTTGATTGATTTTGACTGGAAGTACAACTTGGCACAGAATGCCTGTTTGCATAGGAGGGTTTCCATGAGAAAAGCCTGTCTCATAGTGAAGACAGGACTAGTACCAAATACCCTGTGAAATAATCCTGACAGAAATGGTTTCAATCGAAAGAAACAATCCGTGAAGGTGGTTTTAAAAATTATGCAAGCGGGCACATTTTTTTTTACCTGACTCCTAAAATATGTTTTATGTGTTCTCAAAATGAAGACAGCAACCAGCAAGCTAAAACTTATCATAACATTTTCGCTGTGATTTTACACTAGAGTACAAACAATATACTCCATCAACATGAAATGCTGATGTTGGATACTTTATGATAAATTTAAAGATGTCTGCTTGCACAATTTGTTTTGGGTCAGCTGTAGTGTCTTCGTGTCAACATCAGGCATCGTTAGTATTGCGTTTAAATTAGGCCTGGGCGACTAGTGAATTTCAATAGTCGCGACTAGTTGTGATAAATTGACACGATTAGTGGACTAGTCACGACTAGTAACACATTATTAATTTATCAAGTAATTCCTCTAATCAGTGCAGCAGTACATCTAACATATGGGTCTGCGCATGTGCAATGAGCATGTGGGGCAAATAAAAACAACAAGGAGGTCAGTTTGTCGTGATCAGACGGTTCTATATTGTTTAGGGGTATTTTGACAGAAATGATTAATATAACATATAGTGTAAAGTAAAGTCTGCGTAATACAAAGCATTAAGCCTTTGACACGCTTGAAAAAGTAATGATGGAATCACACGTGTCATGTGAGTACTTCATCATTCATTGATTTACTCAGTTGTGAGAGTTCACTTTAGAAAATATTCACTAACTCTGAAAGTGGCATTCATGTTCTGTCTTTGTTACTATTAAATCCTTCTTCCTTAAAACATCTTTATTGGGCCATTTTTTAATTGCTTGAATCACAGATTTTCAGGTGTGGGTGACAAGTGAATTTCATTAGTCACGACTAGTTTAAGTAGTCGCGACTAGTCATGGCACGCGACTAGTCGACTATTCAGAAATTAATAGTCACGACTACCAATACTTGTTTGTATTGGTGACTAGTGGATTAGTCGCACTAGTCGCACAGGCCTAATTTAAATGTCTCTCCCATTGGTCTCCCAAACTCTCCACCTTTTGACTGTTGAGGGGGTACTTGTGCACGGACACCAAAAGTGAAAACACTGGAACGTACCAGCTACGTATCTGTTACACTGGAAGCTGACTTTCAGGTATTTGAACTCTCCCTGGCAAGGGTCCCCGGCCCCACTGGCCAGTGCGTCCAAGATATCGCTCTGCACGTCCACCTCACAGTATCTCTCGGCGTTACACTTATCTCTGATGATGCCTAGGACGGTAGAGTGGTCCGCTGCGCATCCTGTCGTGTAGGTGTGGTTGGCGGTGTGATGCGGGCACACTGAGCCGTCCTCTGCACGTCCGTAGAAAGCGTCGGTGATCTGTAGGTATAGGGCGCTCATGAAGCCACAAAAGAGCTGCAGTTTCTGGCCGTCGCAGGCGACAGCTTTCTGCTCCCGTCTGTCCACTAAAAATAATACAGGAGAAAAGAATGGCATGATCACTTAAAGGCCTGCCCCACGGTGCCATGATGTGTACATATTTGGGCACTAGAGATACTCAATGGTATTACTAAGAATCAGGACTGGTTAGAATGTTTTATGCAGCATAACCAATGTTTAAAATTTAAAAAACAGAATTTAAATCGTTTTGACACACCCACCCCAAATTTCAATGTTTAATGTTGAATGACCATTGAATATACAGGCATGCAACTGGGAAATCACAAAAAAAGAGGAAATTCAAATTTTTCCCAGACTTCGTACAGTGTTTTTCTATTTTCAATGGCACACATGGGAAGTAAAAAAAGAGGAAATCAGCTGATCCGAGGAAAAGTTGCATGCCTGAATATATCCTATACTCTCAAGAACAAAGTAATGCTTCAAACAGTGGCGACGCCAGACTCTAAAATTGGGGGGGGGGGGGGCAATAACAAAAAAATGAAGCCTGTGTACATGCGTGTGTACCATTGTCAATGGTCCGGAAATAAGCCACTAGAGCAACTTAGAGGTGCAGTCATTTTTATGAATGAGAAATGTATCAAACTGCAGAATGGTGTATAACAAATGTATAACAAATGTACAAAGACGTTGGCTGCACACTATCTACTGTTGACTGCACACTATCTACGGCTTATGTACCAATGTTTTAATGCTTTCATTGGCCCCAAATTGTATGAATCTTAACAGGGAAGAAAATAAACATAATTTATCCAGTTGTAGATAAAGTGTTCAGGGAAAATTGGGGGGGGGGGCCAAACTGGCGGGGTTAGGACAAAACTTGGGGGGGGGACAGATATGACAGATATGACAGACGATTTTGAAGATGCCGCTGGATATTTTTCTTTTTTTCACCTTCTTCTTAAATCATTTTTTCTGTAACAGAATTTCAATTTCCACTTTATATTTCCTTTGACCACCAACCCACTATCTCGAGAAAAAAAATCAACATTTTAAACGATGGTTATTCTGAATGGCCCCTAAAAGTCACATTTGCGTTTTATGCATTTTATTAATCTTCTCCAACCCCCACCAAATTTCATTTTACAAACTGGAGGACTTACATGAATTGATGTTTCTGTCTATACTTTAAAATTTTGTATCAGCTTTTGAAATGTTAAGCTTTTGCCAAGGAATTTGTTCAAGACAACAGACGAAGTTTTAGTGGCCCCTTGATTTGTTTTTGTACCATGTAATATAAAACACAACTCATATCAGTCCTGACTGGAGACTATAAATTTTGACCAACTTGTCTAAAAAAGTAACTCTACTTACTGTACAAGACATTGACTTCACATAGCTTGAGTTGGGTGACGCGATCCGGCACTTCAATACTGACGTACCGGCCGCTCATGACCTGCCCACAGTAGATGTGTGGCCTGTAGTCATCGTCCAACGTCACGTTGCGACCACAGACGGGGTTGTCATGGAAGTTGGGACTGTTTCCAATTCGGATTTGTGCTCCCTCCATGAGATATACTACAGAGTTAACGAAAGATCACAGTAGGAGAATTGGTTTTGATTAACACAACATTTTGATTTTAAGGATCAATGTTGATTGGTCGAAAACGATAAAATTGCTTTCTTGGAAATAGCATTAACTATACATGGTGGTCCAAAAAAAATTACACTTTTTCAGACGCAAATTTCTTGGAATTGGGGAGAAGTGTTAAAATTCTTGCAAGGTTCTCCTCAACTACAGCATCTTTGTGGTATATGGTAAAAACGGGGCTGAAAATAAGCCTAACTTAAGAAATGGCTATGGTTTTAATAAAGATGGTCAAACACCAGTTTATCCACACATAAGTCTATGAGATATGGTCAAGAGCACAATAATAAAATAAGAACTGCAATAATTGTCATAAGGTCTACATGACTGCCACAGACGTGGACAAACTAGTTTTCGACCATTTTTCTGTAAATGTCCATTATTTCTTAACTTGAGCTTTATTTTCAACGCCGTTTTCACCATATTTACCACCAAAATTTTGGGGTGGTCACGTGGGAACAAATCTCTGGGGACAAGAGTAAAGGAGCACACAAGATTACCCCCCTCCCTCCCCCTCACCGCTGTGGGTGAACATTTAGTTCACTAGTAAGAAACATGTCACCTTGGACAATGTAGTCATAGCACTAGACGAATGCTGGAACAGAATGATCAGGAAGGTCATAGAGATCAAGACCCAGAACCCAGCACTCAACAGGGACGCGGGCTACGATCTGCCCGCCATCTATGACGATCTGCTCTCACGTGACCGCCCCAAAAGGCGGTCACGTGAGCGGAGGGATTTAGCCACAACACTGAATGAAGAGGTCGTGAAAACCTCGCAATTGAAGCTACGTCATACTTAACAAAATCAGACTCCGAGATTTAAAGGTAACTATTATTTCTATGGGTTAATAAACACTGTTTACCTTGGCTATTGCCGCAAGTCCTTGGCTGGACAAAGTTAACATCTCTCTGGATGCCTAGATCTACCAGCCACCACGGTGCTAGCTCATCCTCCGACTGGAAGCAATAGCTGTCGCACGAAGTCTTGAAGTTTCCATCCACCGCGTAGCTGCCGTCGTTTTCAGAGATGCTGCTCGTGTTGGTGGGGTACTTATGAGCTATCATCCCACCTGGTTTCCAAATCAACAAGAATTAACAAAAATGAGACAGATCTAACATGAAGCTTTGCATGGCGGATGAGATAAAGTAGAAGGATTGCGGGTAACACCATGTGGGAAGTAATCTCTACTTGGAAGAAGTGTGGTTCTGAAAAGAACTGGTTGGTTGACTTTAGAACTTGACGTTTCGGACAGTGTGCTCTGCCTGTCCTTATCAGGCATAACATGATCATCCTGTCTGAAACGTCAAGTTCTACACTACACTCAACCAACCGGTTCTTTCCAGAACCACTCTTTTTCTATAAAAAAGAGATTACTCTCCACATGGATCTCAACTACTTTTACAAATCATGTATATTGGAAGCCTGCTAATGCTTCAAATTCATAAAATAAACACTTCAAATTCATAAAATAAACAAAATAAAGAAACTGATTCAGCTAACTCCTTATCCAATACCACATTGAATAAAGTAATAGAGACGGATTTGATGCGCGTCCGGAACAATGAACTTATACACCCACTGTGAAACATCAGTGGTTTTTACAGGTTCACATATAATATTTGAAACGATGACCAAATTTTTGAAATATAATCGCCATTGTTCCGATTCGCACAGTTTGTCTGGGAAAAGGCTTGTCAGACAATTCTGGTTACTAGTGACCAAAAGTGTTCCTTACGTGTTCGTTCGCAGGTGTACTTGAGGTCCAGGTACTTAGGGTCCTCCGGGCACGGATCTCCCAAGACCGCAGCAAGTTGGACGTTGAGTCTGCATTCCTCCTTGTCGTCACAGTTTCTCTTGATCATCTCAAGGACCTGGGCAGAGTCAAAGTCGCAGTCCAAGGGGTAGGAGTGGTTGTTACCAAGCGAGCACAGACCTAGAAGAGAATAGATAGCATGAGTATGGTTTACGATCTGGTGGGTTACAAGTCATCACAAGTCCATCACAAGTCCATCACAAGTACAGCAATGAGCTAGTTCGAGCGATGACTACGGTTAATCATAGTTCGACAAACTTCACTCGAATGCAAGTCGGTTGCCTACGGTTCCATACCTGGTTACCAGTAGCCTCATGCATCACAATGCATAGCAGGAAGCCAGTATCAAGAAATTAGGCCCAGGACATGGTTAGATGGCTGCAACCGACCACCATTGCAGTAGGCAAGCGTTTGGTTACAACCTCATCCTGCATTCTAGTAGAGCTTATTTACATGTGAAATAACTGCAAATTCTTTATCAAATGACATAATGGTCACTACATGTGCTGTGTACGGTTGTCATAATCGTACCAATTCAGCACTGCGTGTTGATTCTGCGCACATCCATTCACGGATTTGCCGAATTACAAACCAAATGTGCCTTTTGACGCATCTTTGGAAATGACCTTGTTTTATTGTTTACTTCAAAATGACAGCATGCCAGAAGGAATTATTTCACAGGGAGTTTAGTGCCATTGCTATCTTTAAACCAAGTTAGCTTTTCAACAACAATTTTGTCAGTTACATTTTAGATAGCTGCAAATGATCTTTTCTACCTTTATATACTTTTTTCAGGACAGTTAGTAAATGTTTGTGTATCTGTTAGATGTACGCACCTTCTTCCCTGCGTCCATAGAATGCATCATGAACCATAATGGTGTAGCCGCCTTGACAGAAGATGTACAATTCCTCGCTGTCGCATTCAATCGCTTGCTCTACTTCACCTATACCAATGGGGTCTGTATTAAAAAAAAAACAGTGCAAAATGTTAAGAGTTGATCGTTAGATCTTGAGGATGAGAAAGTATCCGCTCCGTGCACAAGTGCCCCCTCAACGGCATTGAAGGGAGAGTTGGGGGAGAACGGCTGGAGAGGCATTTGAATGCACTGCCGACGACACCTGATGCTCATGCGAAGACCTTATGGGCAATTCCACGGTTACTCATGTTACATTTTTGATGTACTTTTGAGATTCCTTGGGCTGTAATTACCTTACTGAAAAGGCTTAATAACTGTTATCCCCATGGTAGATAGAGTAGACCTAGACCTACCTAAGCACCAAAGATGACATCCAGAAAAATGTGTTATGTATGATAAAAAAGACACACAAAATCAGTTACTCATGTTACGTTTTGGGCAGGCCCGTAGGAAGGTAAAAACTATTGGTCAGGCTCATCTCAGGGCAGGGATCTCAGTTGATGCGAGCGCGTAGCGCGAAGCCCTTAACGGCGTGGGGTTCGGGGCCCGCTTAAGGGCCCCGAAAATTTTTGGATTCTAGACGCTCTGTGGTGCGATCTGAGGCAATTTCTTACCACTTTAACCTTTTTTTTTGTTTTAGCTATCATCATTTAAACATCATTTTCAAGTTTGGAGTCAATTATCTTTTTATTTTTTTTTAGCGTGAGAAATCCCATGTCGACGTTAGAGCATAGAATAACCTGAAATGTGTGAGTCTTACCCTCAGTGCGTGAGAGTTGGCAGGCCTGCAAGGCGGAGGATTTGACCCAATCCCTCCCAAATTAAATGTAACCAAACGCCACTCCCCCAATACTATCAATAGGCCTATATGTAAAGAAATACATGTGCATGTTAAAGGGAATTTAATTCTTCGTAATTTGTACAAGACACATTCTGGAGCACTGCACAACTGCAAGTTTAACCAGTATATGTCATTTGATGAACTTTACATAAATCGTCAAAGTTACTCTCTTAATTCTGACGATTGAAATTTCAATCTATTAGATTGAATTCTCAATCTTTCACAGATTGCCGTGAGGGAACAATCTTTGCGGATTGACCGTCAATCTTTTTTTAGATTGACAATTTTCAATCCACAAACGAGTGGAATTTCAAACTATTAGATTGAAATTTTCAATCTATCTTCAATCGAATTTGGATTGAAAATATGTCAATCTAGACTGATGATTGAACTATTCAGTCTAAAAGATTGAAATTCTCAATCGTTTAAAGATCGACAATTTCAATCCTATTGCTGGATTGACACACACGCACTCATGAACCCACCCACATGCACAAGTTGCACAATCCTTTTCTGTCTTTACTTTAATACATTGCTGCTTTAATTCAATACATGTACATGGTAATACATTCAATTAAAGTAATACATTTAGTTAAAGGACTCCATTAAGTTCAAGGACTCCATTAAGTGCAAGGAATGCAATTTCAAGGAATGCATTAAGTTCAAGGAATGCAAGTTCAAGGAATGCATTAAGTTCAAGGAATGCAAGTTCAAGGAATGCAAGTTCAAGGAATGCATTAAGTTCAAGGAATGCATTAAGTTCAAGGAATGCAATTTCAAGGAATGCATTAAGTTCAAGGAATGCAAGTTCAAGGAATGCATTAAGTTCAAGGAATGCAAGTTCAAGAAATGCATTAAGTTCAAGGAATGCAATTTCAAGGAATGCATTAAGTTCAATGAATGCAAGTTCAGGGAATGCATAAAGTTCAATACAGGTAATACATTAAGTTCAAGGAATGCAATAAGTTCAGTTATATAAACAATGAAATTGAAGGAAGTCATTAAGTTCAAGGAATGCATTAGATTCGAGGAATACGTTAAATTCGAGGAATGCATTAAATCCAAGGAATTCATTAAGTTAAAATGAATACAATACATGAAGTTTAAGGAATGCGTTACATTCTAGGAATGCATAAAATTCGAGGAATGCATTAAATCCAAGGAATTCATTTAGCTCAATGAATGCATTAAATTCAATGAATTCATTAAATTCAATTAATTCATTAAGTTCAATGAATGCATGAGGGTCCGAGGAATGCATTAAGTTCAAGTGATGCATTAAGTTCAAGGAATGCATTAAATTAAAAAAAATGCACTAAGTTCAGGGGAATTAAAAAGCACTGAGATTCCTTAATTATTGCAGTAACAATAACATTGTTAGAATTTTTAAATTTTCCACAAGGAAATAGGATGATTCCTATAGGTTTTTATTTATATTCCAGAGACACGTGTAGTTGGGGTGACACTCAAAATGAGTCTCACACTTAGTTAAAAAGATAACATGTGAGGGATTCCCTGAATTGACTCTTGATCCCAACGATAGTCTCAAGGAGAGAATTCCAGAGTCTGGTATAGTACGGTGTGAAAGGTCGCTGATGACGTGCAGTTCTGGGTACCACATGGCGTACACAGCAACGCAGCAATCTTGTGGGTATCGGAGGTTGGTGTTTCTCGCAAGGGTGGGACATTTTGCTGCCTGGTGTATAATGGAGAGGCCAGAAAGGTCCCATCGGAGTTGCAAAGGCTCCAGGGGGATGTCAGGGAACATTCTGAGACATTTCCTCTGCAGTGCATCGAGGGACCGGAGAACATACAAGGGGAGCTCTGTTCATATACTGGTGATGCATACTCCATAATGCTCCTCACACAGGCTGTGTACACTCGGGCAATTTAAGGTGGAGATCAATTTGATTCTATTGTTTACATCTACAAAACGTATACAAATCTTGGCTGGATGTTTGACTGAACACTTGTTCCAGGCTGTTCTTGGGTGACATCCCTGTAATGGTGCTCCGCCACTGAAGGTTGTCTCTGACGTTCTGTTTGGGACACCTTAAAAAGTATAAAAAAAAAAAAAAAATGAGTTAATCCAACAAGACCTACAAGTACAAGTAAAAACCACTGGTGGTCATGTACCTGTCTGTTTATGACATTTATCCATCACGTTATGGTGCTATTAAGAATACATAATACTGATGATTTAGATCAGCCATGCAGGACCTTTTTGAGAGATAATTTGTGGGAGTGAACTTCTGAGTGCAAGTAATTCGTCTATCAACCTTGCAATTTTTAATACCCAAAAAATAATTGTGCCAGATGGGCCACTGTTGCAGCTTACTAATTCATGTACATTAAAGTTTCATTTTGTCATGGGATGCGCTGCGCATATGTAAATTGCTAATTAATGTGTGTTAATTTAAATATTAACTTTCTTGGTAAAAATAATTGTAAACATGTGTGTAAATTTCATTATGATGTTCGGAATTTATCCACAGTAAAGACTGTACATGCTGTACATGGACGTCAGATGCATCGATGAATAACATGGAGTATTTATTAAGCCTACCTTGAATTTACTGGTCTGAACACACTGAACAGCTCTCTGAACTTGGCTGGACCTCCACATAATTAACATGTTGTCTTCACGATGATAAAAATCACCCAGGTCATGGAGGAATGGTCACCAATCAGCCTGGGCTGGAACTAAAAAGAAACACAAAATGGTTAAAAAACAGATGACTAGGTCATGTAGGTAGGAAGAAGACCGTAGTCTTTGAAATAACCAAGGTTTCACCATGTACATAAATATAGCCTAGGCCTATGCAACTTTTGCATGCATGTACAGTACATGTATGCGTATATGCACATGCATGCACATATAGGCCTGCATGTACATGCATGTAGGCCTGGCCTACACTGCCTAAACCACTAAGCATTTGCTAGCTAAGTACATGTTCGTTGTGAACACAAAGTTTTGACTCGATCAGGGCCGAGATGAACTTGGACCGAGTTGTCTCGGATATTATGTACGTAACCGGCATAGCGCATGACCGGGGAAACAGCCAAGTCGCCCCAAATATGTTATGAAGAACAACGGACAAATATGAATTATGTTGGCTATCGTTACGGCACTCATGCACTGACACTGTAAACGCAATGCGAACATTATAAGAGTTACAACTACCAGTAGGCCTACCGGACCAACTGCTTCGCTTCGGTCCGGTAGTTCGATTGCACACGCTAGTTTTCAATGAGCAGGGGTGATTGCTCAAATCCCAACCGCGCGGCTATTTTCATTTGTTTAGGCCTTGCTCCATTGCCTCCAACGTTAAACGCGGTTGACATGTCATTTGTCATGGTTGACGAAACCCGCACAGAAACAGAACTTTGCACGAATATATTTCAGTTATTTCGACAGTTAGAATAACTTCAACGACTCGGGCGTTTGACTCTATAAGAAGCATAGTATTACTTTGAAATGGATAGAAGAAACGTACTTACATTGTTTGAAAAAGCTGATTCTTGTTCGCGAAACATCGGTACACTGACCAACAAAGATGGCAGACATGACAACGAGGCGGTTTGAGCATTGTCAAAATGCGCATGCGCGATCACAATAATGCAGCTTTTTGATTGGTTCAAGTTTTCAATCATCATAATAGATTGAAACTGCTTTCAATCTTTTTCACGATTGACTCGTAAATTCGGCGCAAGGCGTTATCCTTGATAGTTTTCAATCTAAATTCAATCTATAAGATTGGGAAAAAAATCTATCGCTTCAGAGATTGAAATTTTCAATCTTAAGAATTAAGAGAGTAAATCGTCACAATTTGGCCTATCGTAGTGAAAAGTTTTGGACATGCTCATCGCAAAACTTTTTTGGATCTAGATGCTCAGTAATGCATCTGAGGCATTTCCTGGCCACTTTCCCCTGTCTTTTTGAATGAAATGTATTAGTGGGTGGGTCATCAAAGTTGATAAATTACATCACAAGCATCACATCAAAACTGTAGCTTGACTCTCTTTCTAGATTTGCGCTCTTTAGCTTGATCCATGATTGTGTTTATAGGGAAAGGGCGTAATCATACATGTCGCCATGCACTACATGTTAAGTTAAATGGAATTTAACCATGAATTTTAGTTTTCCTCAGACTTGTACTTGTGTTTTCTTAAAAAGAAGTGGTTTTCTAGCTGAGAAAATAGCAAGGAAGAACCGATATTGTGCAAGCAAAATTCAGGGAATAATCCGTTGATACTAATATCTTGTTGGAAATTCCAAAATCATTTCAGGAAAGTTGCCGCCGTGAATCAGAGTTTATGAAGGGACGGAAAGTGGGATTTGCTATCACCATCAACAGGGCCGTTCCTCATTATTTACCTTTTATGGGATGTGAATCAAATTGGAGGACGAGAGGCTCTGCGGGCGGATGTATTTTTTAGAAAAACATTTTTGTTTGCAACCAGCTTGTAGGGAAGATTTCCATTTATTTAAGACTTAATTCATACCGGTGTATGTACATGCTTGAACTGCCGAGCGTATTTGTTAAGTTTTTTCTCTTTCTAAAAGAAAAACATCAGCTCGCAGAGTCTCTCGTCCTGATTCACATCTCATTAGGTAAAGAACGACGAACGGCCTTGTTGATAGCCAATCCCACTTTCCGTCCCTTTATAAACTCTGATTCACGGCGGTAATTACTTTCTTTTTTTGGAATTTTCCAACAAGATATTAACTTCAACGGATTTTCCCTGAATTTTGCTTCCACAAAACCGGTTCTTCTTTGCTATTTTCTCATTTAGAAAGCCACTTCTTTTAAGAAAACACAAGTACAAGTCTGAGGAAAACTAAAATTCATGGTGGCGGCCAAACGTCATTCCGTTTAACTTAACATGAGGCTTAGTGGCGACATGTATGAGTACGCCCTTTCCCTTTAAACACAAACACAAAAACAAAACAAAACACAAAAAGAAAACAAGAAAAATGTGGGGCAGGGCAACGGGGGCCATGCCCCCCCCCCCAAAAAAAAAATTGAACTCCTTTTTTTTTTAAAGTGGCGTCGCAATAAAGGAAGGCACTGCGTACACCGCCATCTTTTCCTTAAAAAAAATGGTTAAAGTGGTCACATCGCACCACAGAGCATCTGGAACCCCCCCCCCAAAAAAAAATCCGCCCTTGGGGCCATGCAAGGTCTTGTATACATTAAAAAAAAAATAGGCCTGTTATTATTGGTACGGCTATAGCCGTACCTGCCGTACCGCTTCCTACGGCCATGGTTTTGGGGATTACAGTTATTAAATGTACATCAAAAATGTAACGTGAGTAACCGTGGAATTGCCCTTATGGCGTTGTGCGCATTCAGAATTAAATTAGTTGTGCATACTTCGCGCCTTAAATAACAAATTGTAATGCTTATATAGTGCTTGCCATCGTTCATCAGGCCACAGGACCATGCGGCAGCTGATATCAGCGCACATTCGGTCCTCTACCCTCACAGGTACCCATTCATACTCAAGCACTAGCTTGAGTAACTCCAGCTCCAATTCTCATCAGGAATTTGACATCTAAAACTATGTTGTAGTACATTCTAAGAGGCCCTAAAAAACGGCACTCTCTGTATCTGTATCACAAAAATGGTCCTTTTTCCATCCCAACCCAGATTCCATTAAACATAAAGAAGTATGTTTAATGGAATCTGGATATGGAAACTAGAGGGAAAAAGGATATTTACAGAGAGTCCCGTTTTTAGGGCCTCTTAGTATCTAGTATCAACAACATAGTTTAAGCTCAAGCTCTACATGTCGAATTCCTGATGAGCATTGGAGCTGGAGTTACTCAAGCTACTCAAACATGCGATAAAAACATACTGAATCATGATATTCTAAGTTCTGTGTGATATTTTCATAAAACGTGAACCTTTCTCTCTGCCTTAAAAACAAAAACTCACAATACCACTTTTATTTTGAATGTGAAAACAAGATGCCAAAATGACTACCTAAATCCAATAATTTTAACCCCCTAACCAGTTTTGTTGACAAAGCTGTTTTGTTGACAAAGCATACGTTTAACCACATTCTATCTCACTGACACACCGCTCGGATGAAAGGTCTTGTTGTCCCCTTTCATTTGATACCAAATTTGAGATTGTGATGCTTATAAGTCTAAGATTTCATACATTTTCCATATTTCAGCCATGTTCACTTTGCGTGGCCTACTTCTATCTCACTGACACACCGCTCAAATGAAAGGTCTTGTTGTCCCCTTTCATTTGATACCAAATTTGAGATTGTGATGCGTATAAGTCTAAAGATTTCATATATTTTCCATATTTCAGCCATGTCCACTTTATGTGGAATTGCCCAGACGACATTCATAACTTGTCTAGCATATTAATTTGTACCCCATTTGAATTTTGATCATATTCCTAAAATGTTTGTGTTGTTGTGGGAACTGTCGAGGTCACCTTTTGTATGGTTTATGTTGCCCGCCTGCAGTTCCATACAAAGTGCATGTAGCACACAAACACATAGTACACTGTACTGTTGACAAATGCAAAATATTGACATTTGAGTGCTAACATAAAGGATTGCTCATTGACAGGAAAAGGGGGTTTTCCCTTCTGAGAAATGTACTGGACAAAAAAAACCTTGACTTAGGCCCAAAAAAAAAGGCTCTGGTTTCTGGTCTGCACGCGCGTCGCCATAGCCATGAGCGTGGGCAAAATTTAAAAGTTTTTTTTTTCAATGTAAGATGATGTCTCAAAACCACAAAACTCACTGGAATCCTGCTGTTGCACAGTTTTAACGTGTTTTCAGATGGGGTTACGATCGATTATGAGCTTTATGTGGCCTTTTCTGGGCTCCCATACATTTTGCACTAAATTTAGTCGGGCACCATTTGCAGTCATCAGCTGACATTTGAAGAAAAACAAGTAAAAAAAACAAACAAAACGCGTCGCTGCACCACTTTTGGGGCAAGCTCCATACCAGAAACCAAAAACTTTTTTTTTTTGCGTTAGAACTGCACTCACTATTTTTTTTTATGAAATGTTATTCACATTCATACACACTTCTTTGTAATGGTTAACCCTTCTCAGTTATCTAGTTAACACTCATTATAATGTCCAGTGTTCACTGCAGCTTTTGTTTTCATATTTGGGTAATCATAACGTACTTCAATTCTGAGCTCATTTCTCTATTAAACTTTTTAGAGGTTCACATAAATGTCCCGCACACATTTATAGATGTATAGCAAAGTTCACTGACATTTTAGCTTTGTCAAGTGTGACTTTTACTTATGCTTGACTATTAATGAATAACTTGGGGGGGGGGGCATACAACTTTTCGATTCTATTCTTCCATACGGTAGACTGATATGACAAGTCTAATTTCACATGTTTGTACTTGATGCCTATGACTAATGCCAACACAGCCATAAAGTTCCTTTATCACGCAGTTCTAAACTCCCACAAAAAACATATTGTGCAAAGTCATTCAAGTACAGTCACAAACATACTTCGTACATTCAAAGTTCCTACCTTACATTAGAACACACAAAATGCAAGGGCAACTACGTGATCAACTTCACTAACTTAATAACAAGGCTACAGAGTGACTTCTCAGTTATCTAGTTAACACTCATTTTTGTCCAGTACATTTCTCAGAAGGGAAAACCCCCTTTTCCTGTCGATGAGCAATCTTTTCTGTTAGCACTCAAATGTCAATCTTTTAATACCAAGGCTACAGAGTGACACCACACGAAGGGAATACCATACTGACTGTTCATCATAACTAGTTGTCACATTATAAACAGCTTGGTTGCAGTGAAACATGGACGTAAAGAAGGGCCACTGCTGGCGTTGTGAGAAACTTCTGCCACAAAATTTAGTGTTGAAGTGCTACCAGTGTCCGTTGGCTGAGTACTGCAGCCCGGGCTGCCTGCAGAAAGACAGAGTCAGGCATGGCAGCGTGGAGTGCCAAATCTTTGGGCCGAAACGGTGCAACCAATGTGGAAAACAGGGCAATCTCAAAGAGGTACATAACTTTTTTTAAAATCAATTTTGTGTTTGCACTTCTCTTCAAAATTCTATTGTACAAATCAAAAGGACGTGTTTATTATTTATCACTAGTTATTTTTGTTAGATGTTAAAATTTTACAAGGAAATTCTTTGAGTAACAATTGAAATTTGTCGTGTCCGGACCTAATTTGTTTTTTTTCACTTTGTGGTCAAAAAGGTACAATACTTTACAGCTAATCATAATCAACATATTTATTTTAAGCCGAATTACACCGAATGTGCAAGTTTACACTTGACATGTTAATATGGTCACATGACAGGATGATTTTCTTAAGATTTCAGATTCAAAAATATATTCAGTTCAGATGTTTTAAATGAGGCCAAGTTGTCGTCGACAAATGACAATCATTCCCTCTTGGCATTCTCAATGAAATTCCTGACATTATTCATTGAAACATACATCCTCATAAATGAATTTCCAATTTTGGTAAGCCTTTTAATTGTATTGAAGCCACTAGCACTTGCAAAACCCATTAGCAATTTCTATTACCAGGGTTCGACCTTAACTTTTTTGTTCACGAGCCAGCCGGGCTACAGAAACAACTCTTAACTAGCCCGCGGGCATTTTCACTAGCCCGCGTACCCGATTGAAAAAAAAAACATGGGTATCCGGGTGCCCGTTAAAGAAACCCAAGCGAAAAATTCAAATCACTGAAGTTGCTGTTCAGAATGAGCTTGTCTTACATACGCAGTGTGGACTTCCGAACAAAAGACGTCCACATAATGTAGGTAGCACCGACGAAGTGTGGACTTGCCCACGTCCACACAGTGTTTCCCCATTTCTGGAAAACAGGTTTAGAGGCATTTTTGGGTTAGGTTTATGTGTAGCAGAATGAAGAGAAACACTAAAGGGAATCATTGAAAAAAAATTGGGTTGTAAGAGTTTTCACAGTTTGAGAAAAATGAGTTTTTCCACTGGTGTTCCTTAACTACACGAAAAGAAAGGAAAGTCCACACTAGGTATGTGAAACATATGTGGGTGTGCATCAATGCAGCAACATACAAGTGTGTACAGTGAGCATTAGCTTTTTGGTGAAAACTGCAACATTCATGGGCATCATTAACGTGAAATCTGTTTTGTTTTTCCATGTAGCTGGTTTTCATTTTGAAAATCCCCACCAATGACATTCAAAACCTTTCTTTTTCATTGTCTGAGAAGTTATTAAGTAATTTTCTTTGTCTGAGAAGTTATTAAGTAATTTGTTAAGTTGGTTATGAATACCCGATTCCATAATCTGGGCCCGGTTCCTGACATCAGCGGTCGGATACTCAGGTACCCGGTTCCGATGCACAGCCTTAATTTACTCCACCATGAATCCAAAAAAACCATAGAGTGCTGGGGTGGTTTCGGGCAGTGCACGGAGTAACAGTCGGAGCATTTTTGGGCGTTACAGGGACTATTGTTAAAATGTATGTTTTCCCTGTAAATTCTGTCTCCAGTGTTCAGCTTGCAACAATGCCTGGTACTGCAACGCAGCATGTCAGCAGCAGAGCTGGGCCAACCACAAGGATGACTGCAAGCGAGTCACCTCTTACATCAAAGCAGCAGGACTAGATTTCGGCGAACTACACACTGGAATAGGAGATGATGTTCACAAGACGGATGACCCGCCAGCTTACATCGGAAACACAATTGCCGTTGACTTTCTGCAACTCGAGGGGAATGAGTGGTCAGAGTTGGCTGATGTCGGAGAGCAAGAGCTGAAGAGAGATTATTACGTGTTGTCGGCAGGTTGCGGAGATCTACGGAATACTCTGTTGACCACTGCATCCTTGCCTCCTAGGTACGAGGGAACTGTTCACATCACACTGGACGACTTTGATCCGTTCGTGATGGCAAGGAATGTGATGTTCCTTGTCATGATGGTGAAGCATGCAGCCAGAGATGGCATCGCGCCTTCTCTGGCCACTATCTGGTACTCAGTTCACATCTCTTACAGCGACTACAAGCTGATCCAGGAGATGCTCCAAGAGCTGGTCCAGATGAACTGTGAAGGTCTTTCCGCTCTCACCTATGGGCTGGTGAGCATTCACGAGGCTGATTTTAGCTACCTGCAAGAGGTCTGGGAGGGATGGCTCAAATTACAGTGCAAACGCAGCGCTAGGAACTCCATCCAGCTCCATCAACAGAGAAAGAAGATCTTCGATGAAAACATCGGAGCCCAGATAGGGCTACCAATGTACCTGAATCAGATGCCACACGCTGATGCCAAGTTCATGAGGAAATGGTTCCATAGTGGCTTGTTCCTCTCTGAGAACAAGGACCAAGGCAGTCTTCCTTTTGACAATCCAACGCTGACCGGCCGACCATCTTTGAAATATGAGTCCAGACAAACACGTCATAATCCTGGCATGAATTCACCAAAAGATTATAGCTTCGTGTACAATGTAAACACTGACGCCACTCCTTTCAATGTCTGGGACTGTTTGAGGGTTGCCGAGTTTACTGGCCGAAGCCGCTTGTCCGTGATGGAGAGATACCACGCATACGTGACTCACGTTATTCAAGAATCCATCAACTTCATCAGTAAGAGGCGATTAAAGATCGGCATATTCCTGGCTAACTGTCTGGACTTTCCAAACCACCACCTCACACTCAAGATGCCCAAGTATGACCGAATCTTCACGTCCAATATTCAGGATTTGGTCGGTCTTGGCATACTTCTGAAGACCTTCAAACCACTCCTGAATGGTGACAACGGGCACTCTGTCATCATGACACAGACCATGAACTGGATCAGATATACATCTGCGGCAGACGTCCAGCATGTGTCATGGATGGAGGTGTTCAGGTACCTGGACATGTGCCAACAAGACACGGGCCTCAGCCGGGACCTCTGCGAAGACGTAAACAACCACAGGGAGTACTACAACAACACTCACTGGTTCCTAGCCTACCTCCGTGCAGACATCATGGGCGGGGGTACTGGGATACCAGCCAAGGATCGCGTCCCAAAGCTCACCGAAGTAATGCACTTCAATGGAATGCAAATGCGTGACTTCCGGAAGAGGCTGAATAAGTTGATACCCTTCCAGTATCGTGTGAACGCACGAAAGATAACTTTGCTGAGCGGCATGGATAGAAATTTAGAGTGGTGTCTCCCCGATCACGATGACTAAAATCAGAGTACATATCGCTAGAGAATCCAGAAACAAATACTCCCTTAATAGAGACCAAAAAAGATGCAATCAACAGTTGAACAATATTGCTGTTGTTTGCTCAGGTCCCGATTTCACAAAATGCTAAGACGTGTCTGAGGAAGGTTAACTTGTCTTATCTCACGACTTGTCCTAGGATCGATTTTACCAACACATCCTAACTTCCTTAGTAATGTGGCTGAACTTGTGTTACCTTATGATTGATCTTAGGGTCATCTTATCTCATGAATAGTGTGTAAATTTGTATATCGTCTGAATATCATTGCAATGTCTTCTCATTAATTAAGACGAGTGTCGGCTTAGAGCTATAGTTTCAAGGAAGAAAACCGACGTAAAAACAGATGAGTAGAGATTTCTGACGTGGGTAGTTTTAATAAAGGAATTATTAACTTACCTACAAAATTTAATTATATGCCAACATTCAGCACCTAGTCGACTTTTTAAAAAATAAAATACTTTGGGTTTGATCTCGAAAGAGAGTGATGAACTGGGGAGCAAAACGTTTAGGCATAAGGGTATAAATAACAAACTTACAATAAACACAAAAAAAAACCCAAATAATGCTCATCGGAACTAAATGAAAAGTCTGCAGTATTAACCTCAATGTCGGTATCGCTGGTAGTCCAGTTGTACAGGTGATCTCTTGTAAATGTTTGGGGGTTATTATTGATGGAACTTTAAGTTGGGGCCCACGCATTGAATACGTGAAGAAAACCGTTTCCTCTAACTAGGTATGCTAAAAAGAATCCGCAACTATGTTCCCCAAAGCAGCCTGCACTCTCTTTTTGTTAGCTAAGTTATGCCATCTTTAGATTAGTGAAGTACTGTTTGGGAAGGACGGTACATATTTAATGACAATATCCTCAACAAATGTCTGAAAAGAGCAGCGCGGATAATCCTGACGTGTGCATTTTTAACTCCATCAGTCGATATGTTTGCTAGACTTAATTGGATGTCATTCTCTGAAAGAATTGAGTATAAAAAGGCAATTCTAATGTTTACAAATGTTTTAACAAATTACTCCTCTCTATATGACAAATCTGTTTACACCACTTATTCAGACTCGTGAAACGAGGACAATCCACTGACGTGACACTGAAGATGCCTTTTGCAAAAAAAAAAAATGTTATGCCTCGAGCTTTGCCGTAACTGGTACATTCATAATGGAATAACTTGCATGTACAGTTGAGAACCATGACTTCTCTAACCTCATTCAAATCTGAACTACATAAAACATTCAGTCAGTAATATTTCCGCATTTATGTGAGTATTTTTGTTGTTGCTACCTTCACTGATTATACAAATTTTCCATTTTTCAGCCATGTTCACTTTGCGTGGAATTGCCCAGACGACATTCATCACTTATCAAGCATTTCCACCTCATTCGAATTTTGATCATATTCCTGAAATGTCTGTGTTCATTGCTGTAAGAACTGTTGAGGCAACCTTTTGCATAGTTTGTGTTGCTGGCCTGCAGTTCCATACAAAAGTGTACGTATCACACACACAAACAGTACAGTTCACAAATGTCAAAGGAATGACATTTGCGTGCTAGTAACAGGAAGGATTACTCATATGGACAGCAAAAGGGGATTTCCCTTCTGAGAAATGTACTAGACAAAAATAAACTTGACCTAGTCCTGCACTCACTACTTTTTTTCATGAAATGTTATTCATAAACACTTCTTTGCTATGCTTAACCTTTCTCAGTTATTTAATTAATTGTTCAGTGTTCACCATGTACAGCTGCTTTTATTTTCATATTTGGGTAATCATATTAATCTACAATTCTGAGTTCATTCCTCCAATAAACATTTTAGAGGTTCACCAACCGTGTCCTGCACACATTTATAGATGTATAGCATAAGGTCATTTACGTTTTAGATTTGTCAACTGCGACTTATATTTACTCTTGACTATTAACAACTACCTTTTTTTGGGGGGGGGGGGGCATAGAACTTTTCGATTCTATTCTTCCATATGTCAGACAGATAATACAAGTCTACTTTATCATAATGATGCCCATCAATAATGCATGCGAACACAGCCACATAGAAATGTCCCTGCAGACACCGCACGATTGAAATAGACCATACTGTTCAGATATTATAAGCGGCTTCATTGCAGTAAAACATGGACGTAAAGAAGGGCCACTGCTGGCGTTGTGAGAAACTGCTGCTGCAAAATTCAGTGTTAAAATGTAACCAGTGTCCGTTGGCTGAGTACTGCAGCACAGGCTGCCTGCAGAAAGACAGAGTCAGGCATGGCAGCGTGGAATGCCAAATCTTTGGGCCGAAACGGTGCAACCAATGTGGAAAACAGGACAACCTCAAAGAGGTACATAATTTTTTTTAATTAACTAGCGGGATGCCATGCTTCGCTTGGCACTGCTAGCTGGGTGTAGTCATATTACTAATGTTTTACTTTGACCTCAATTTGCATGTTGACCCCAAGTGGGCATGGGAAGCCTTGGTGAACAATTTTAATTGCCACATTTTTCATCATCAACATTATGTTTTGCATATTAGCGATACGTTTTGGAGTGTTTTCATAGAGATAATGTTGTAGTACTTACTTATTCAAAGTCTGAAAGAACAAATTTGCCAAAAAAAAGCAAAAATTTTTTTTTTTTACGTGCCAACTGTGACTTCAGAGGACAGTGAAATTGGAGCATATGTATACCATTTAAGGACCTGCATACAATAACCACGCCTTCCTAATTATGCACTCTTTAGGCCTTTCAAAAAAAATGTGACACATACATCAGACAGACAGACTGACAGACAGACAGATAGGGTAGGATCTTTTAATAAAGGATTTTGCTTTTGCACTTCTATTCAAAATTCTATTGTACAAATCAATATAGTGATTATTATCACTAGTTATTATCGTTATTTATTAATTCATGTCTTTATTAAATATTCAAGGCATGTAACAGTGTCAAAATCTAGGACATTATTATCAAAACACATTTCTAATGTGTAGAAATGAGAAATTTTGAAAGGATTTTATATTAACAGTATACTAGGGGGACTGGAGAATGGTCAACTGCAATTCTGCCAAAATATGCAACTATTCCTTCTGCATAACACTAAACCTTTTATCAGAGAACAAATTTTACAGGAAGTTCTTGGAGTAACACTTAAAAATTTGTCTTGACCTATTTTTTTTTTTTTACTTTGTTGTAAAAGACTGTTCCTTTGGTACAATACAAATACAGCATATTGAGCCAAATTGTACTAAATGTGCAAGTTTACACTTGACATTATATGTACCTTGGTCACATGATCTGTTGATTTTGTTTTTAGATTTCAGACTCAACAAGAAATTCAGTTCAGATGTTTTAAGTGAGACCAAGATGTCATTTGTATTGCCTTTGATGCATAGACATGGGTTACCCCCCCAATATTTTGTAAAACCTGCCCCTTCCCATTCAAATGCCCTTTTTTTCACCAGCGCTTACCCCTCAAATATTTTGTAAAGAGTTCTCTTTTTTAGTGCCCTTTTTCTGAGTGCCCTTTTTTAAAAGAAGTGGTACCCTTTTTTGTGCCATCAATTTTTTTTTTTTAATTTCATGCATGTATTGCCCTGAAAAGCACAATGTATTGTCCGTTAGTGTGCATAATCGTCGGTTTGAACAGCGCCCCCATCGACAAATGGAATCAGCCCCCCCCCAAAAAAAATACAATTTGCACTCAAAATTCAATTGTGAGTGCATCTTGCCCAAATCTACAACATATCCAGCTATTTCAAAGCCGGTTTTCTCAGTTGCCTAATTCAAACTCCAAGGAAGTAGTTAATATGAAAATAAACATCATACCTCCAGAATGGGAAGGGCTACAGAGCTCTATTATATACCAAATGAAGTCTTACATTGTTGGCTTTCCAACCATGTATATTAGCTAAATTTCACCTTTTTTTGCGACATAACACCCAGTTTTGTGGAGTGGGTCACAATTTTGTAAGCTGTATTTTTTTCGCTGTGAATTCTGTTTCCAGTGTTCAGCTTGCAGCAATGCCTGGTACTGCAACGCAGCATGTCAGCAGCAGAGCTGGGCCAACCACAAGGACGACTGCAAGCGAGTCACCTCCTATATCAAAGCAGCAGGACCAGTTATCGGAGACATGCACACTAAAATAGGAGATCAAGTCCACAAGATGTCTGACCCGCCAGCTTACATCGGCAACACAATTGCCGTCGACTTCCTGCAACTCGAGGGGAATGAGTGGTCAGAGTCGGCTGATGTAGGAGAGGAAGAGCTGAAGAGAGATTATTACGTGTTGTCGGCCGGTTGCGGAGATCTACGGAATACTCTGTTGACGATTGCATCCTTGCCTCCTAGGTACGAGGGAACTGTTCACATCACTCTGGACGACTTTGATCCGTTCGTGATGGCAAGGAATGTGATGTTCCTTGTCATGATGGTGAAGCATGCAGCCAGAGATGGCATCGCGTCTTCTCTGGCCACCATCTGGTACTCGGTTCACATTTCTCACAGCGACTACAAGCTGATCAAGGAGACGCTCCAAGAGCTCATCCAGATGGACTACGAAGGTCTTTCCGCTCTCACCTATGGCCAGGTGAGCGTCCAGGAGGCTGATTTCAGCTACCTGCGCGAGGTCTGGGAGGGATGGCTCGGGCTGCAGTGCAAACGCAGCGCTAGGAACTCCATCCAGCTCCATCAACAGAGAAGGAAGATCTTTGATGAAGACACCGAAGCCCAGATTGGGCTGCCACAGTACCTGAATCGGATGCCTCCAACTGATGCCAAGTTCATGAAGAAATGGTTCCATAGTGGCTTGTTCCTTCCTGAGAACAAGGACCAAGGCAGTCTTCCTTTTGACAATCCAACGCTGACTGGCCGACCATCTATAAAATATGAGTCCGCTCTTGGCATGAACTCACCAAAAGACTATAGCTTCGTGTACAATGTAATCACTGAGGCCACTCCTTTCAAAGTCTGGGACTGTTTGAGAGTTGCCGAGTTCACTGGCCCACCCTGTCTGTCTGCGATGGAGAGATACCACGTATATCTAACTCACATCATTCAAGAATCCATCAACTTCATCAGTAAGAAACGATTAAAGATCGGCATATTCCTGGCTAACTGTCTGGACTTTCCAAACCACCACCTCACACTCAAGATGCCCAAGTATGACTGAATCTTCACGTCCAATATTCAGGATATGGTCGGTCTTGGCATACTTCTGAAGACCTTCAAACCACTCCTGAACGGTGAAAACAGGCACTCTGTCATCATGACACAGTCCAAGAACTGGATCAGATTTGCACGCATGGCAGACGTTTTCCAGGTGTCATGGATGAAGATGTTCGACTGCCTGGACATGTGCCAACAAGACACGGGCTTCAGCCGGGACCTCTGTGAAGACGTAAACAACCGCAGGGAGTACAATAACAACACTCACTGGTTCCTAGCCTACCTCCGTGCAGACATCATGGGCGGGGGTACTGGGATACCAGCCTCGGATCACGTCCCAAAGCTCACCGAAGTAATGCACTTCAATGGAATGCAAATGCGCGACTTCCGGAAGAGGCGGAATAAGTTGATACCCTTCCAGCATCGTGTGAACGCACGAAAGATAACTATGCTGAACGGCATGACTAGAAATTTAGAGTGGCGTCTCCCCGATCACGATGACTAAAATCAGAGTACATATCGCTAGAGAATCCATACACAAATACTCTCATAACAGAGACCAAAAAAGATGCAATCAACAGTTGACGCATTGCCGTTGTTTGCCCACAAACGTTCGCTGATTTCAGGAAATGCTAAGATGCATCTTAGGAAGATTTAACTCGTCTTATCTCGCGACTTGTTCAAGGATCTTACTATTAGGAAGATTTAACTCGTCTTGTCTCGCAACTTGTCCTAGGATCGATTCCACCAAACTTAAGACGCATTCAACACATCCTAACTTCCTTAGTAACGTGGCTGAATTTGTCTTACCTTATGATTGATCTTAGGGTCGTCTTATCTCATGAATAGTGTATTAATTTGTATATCGTCTGGACATCATTGCAATTGCTTCTCGTTTAGGACCAGTGTTGGCCTAGAGCCGTAGTTTCAAGGAAAAAAGAACGCTGTAAAAACAGATGTGCAGAGATTTCTGACATGGTAGTTTTAAGAAAGAAATAACTTACCTAACAAAATTTAATTATATGCCAACGTTCAGCACCTAGTCGACTTTTTTAAAAGTAAAATACTTTGGGTTTGATCTCAAAAGAGAGTGATGAATTGGGGAGCAAAACGTTTAATCTTAAGGGTATTAATATACAATTGGTGTGGCAGCAACAAACTTACAATAAACGCCAGAAAAACCAAATCAATGCTCACTGGAACTAAACGAAAAATCTGCAGTATTAACCTTCATGTTAGTATCGCTGGTAGTCCAGTTGTACATGTGATCTCTTGTAAATGTTTGGGGGTTATTGTTGATGAAACTTTAAGTTGGGGCCTACACATTGAATACGTGAAGAAAACTGTTTCATAAAACTAGGTATGCTGAATAGAATTTGCGACTGCATGTGTTCCCCAATGCAGCCTGCACTCTGTCTTTGTTAGCTTACTGATGTTATCTTTAGATTAGTGTAGTACTGTATTGTCCAAATACTTCGTGTTCGCTCAATTTACCTTAGGCCGTTAGAAAAGTCTGCTATAGCGATGTCGTTGTAAACTGTACATGTTTCTTTTTAATAGTTGTACAATATTTACAATAACAATAGTAATCCCATATGCTTTTATCTTATTTCATAGTGCTGTATTGTATTTGTAATGTATTGTGCTTGTACATGTGTGTAGTCATTTGTAGTGTATGCAGGGCGCCAATGGAAACCAGTTTTTAACTGTTTTGGCATACCCTGGGTAGAGAAATGTGATAATATAAATAAATACATTGTAAAGTGTCTTGCCCAAGAACACAAGCACCATGTTTCATGTCAGCGTTTAAACCCATGTACCACAGCATGTGGGTCGAACACTGTAACCACTGGACCACAGCGCTCCACACTGTAGCAGTGATTACAAACAAAAAGAGCTTGACGAAAAGCGGCGTGCCCAAGGAGGGGGGCCCCAAAGGGGGCTTGTCGCCCCCTCCTGAGACTTTTTGACCGGTTTGATCGTGGTGATACGTATGTGGCCTATTTTCGAGTACCATAATAGGGTGTAATTGGCGCCACCAACTTCAAAATTGTCTGTCTCCCACCCCCAAAATCAAATATTTTCTGCAGCCAAAAAAAATTGGGCCCAAAAAAAAATTAGAGATTTTTTTTTCGAGCTCCCCCCAAGCCAAATGCTTGGTGCCACTGTTCACGAATGTTGTCCACCCCCATACTGTCAACACCATAGACCTTTATCATGCTGCCACCATTTCAGTCATGTTCCATGTACCCAATAACAGTACCGAATGATACTGTTTTTTGGTGAAAAAAAAGGAAACAGAATATTTTTCCTTCCTGACTCGCTTTGGTTACGTTGATCTGAATGGGAACAAAAATCAAGACATGATAATGGTATATACCACTTTGGCCTTGCTTGATTTGTACAGTGCTTTGTACTTTTGTGCCAGTGCCTAGGGCGGGGTAGGGCCTACGGAACACTGGTGCCTAGGGCCTACGTAACACTTAATCCGGGCCTGACTGCATGCGAGCATTGAAAAAACTACAGTCACAAGCGCTAAAGAAAAAGAGGACGATAATGGCGCAGCCTCGGACTGTTGCGGACCCTGGCGCAGGAGGGCGCTGACACAGGAGGGCGCTGTAGCACGCTATAACAAATCTTTAGTGGTTAAGTTACGTAGAAATATGTAATTATAGGTCCAACAGGTAAATAGGGAACGAAGTGGACTACAAATATCAATGAATGTGACAATCAAAACTGTCCTTACCTGTTGGGCAAAGGTAACGTATCTCGTAGTCCTGGCACGTGTCACCGCCTGACTGGTCGCTATCGTAGCAAAGTAGTCCCCTCTGTAGATTACAGCTGCTGGATAGGACCTGACCGGCGGAGTAATATGGCTGCTGGTTGCTTGCGAGGCGGCACTCCACACCCAATGGGGCGTAGCACATCTCCGCATAGTCCTGAGAGATAAAGTCACATGTCATTTTGTTTTTTACAAATCCAAACACTTGTTTGAGACTGTCCTTCATGATTCACCTTGGTCCAAGTGTCATGTATAAATTGCCAAAATGCTTGTTAAGGATTCGCTGTTAACAAATAATGTTTATATAGTTATTACTGCTTATAAGTTGTAAAAAAAAGCGTTAACGGAAAGGGGGGGGGGGGGTGCCACCCAAATGGAGGTGAAACCCGAACATACAAGGCGGACTTATATTTGCCCCATGTGGGTTAAATTCTTCTTCTTCCTTGTAAGTGCAGCCTTCATATAATTGAAGATATCACACTACCACAAACACCTAAGCGAACCCCTTCTCTCTTAGTGATAATTATGTGTTACTGGGTTCTTTAACGTGCATTACACAACACACGGGCCCAACAGCTTTACGTCCCATCGAAGGACGAAGCAGTAATGGTTAAGTGTCTTGCTTAAGGACACAAGTGTCAAGACCGGGACTCGAACCCACACTCTGCTGATCAGAAACACCAGAGCTTGAGTCCGTCTTTAAAAGTGATTAAATAACCAGTTGACAACAGAAGAAACAGGGAAAAAGGACAAGACATTCCTCTCCCAAAAAAAAGAAAGAAAAAAGGGTGACAATTGGAGAAGGCGTGTTGGCTCCCCCCACCCCCTGATTCACTACTGAAAAATGCACCAGTTACCAAACTGACATGGAGCTTTAACTAAACCAGCATAGCCCCTAATAGTCCAGCGGATATGTGACAAAATATCGATGAATTGTGCACTTTTGCATAAAAGCGTGAAACTTGGCACAGATGTTTATATTCATGCGAGAAAATGTTTTAGATGTGGAGCCATCGCAAATTTACCCTTTTAGGGGCGTGGCATCCATTTAAAAAAGGGGGGCAGGACTTGTCGTGCCCGCAGTAAAAATGGTTTTCCCACTTGTTACAAAAGCAGGAAACTTCACAAAGACATAATTATATAGATTATTAGTGTTTTCCAGATTCGGAGCGACCACAAAAGTTCCTTTTCAGGGGCGTGGCAGCCATTAAAAGAAAAGGGGGGGTTTAATTATTATGCCCACTTTGGAAAACATTGTGCCCATATTTCATGAACGAATAAAACGTCCCACAGACGTTTATATTCATGAGGAAAAAAAATCCAGATGTGGAGCCATCTCGAACACACCCTTTTAGGGGCGTGGCAACCATATAGGAAAAAAAGGGGGCGGGGTTTTCATTATGCCCACCCTGGAAATATTGTTCCCACACTCATAGAGAAATGAAACTTTCCACAAACATTGACATTCATGAGAAAACAAATTCCAGATGTGGAGCCATCTCGAACACACCCTTTTAGGGGCGTGGCAACCATATCAGAAAAGGGGGGGGCGGGGTTTTCATTATGCCCACCCTGGAAATATTGTTCCCACATTCATAGAGAAATGGAACTTTTCACAGACATTGACATTCATGATAAAAACAATTCCAGATGTAGAGTCATCGCGAACACACCCTTTTAGGGGCGTGGCAGCCATATTGAAAAAAGGGGGCGGGGTTCTCATTATGCCCAACATGGGAAAAATGTGCCCACATCTCATAAACGAATGAAGCTAATTTCCACAGACATTAATACTCACGAGATAAAAATCACACGTGGAGCCATCGTAAACACACCCTTTTAGGGGCGTGGCAGCCATAATAAAATGGGGGGGGGGGTAGTCATGATGCCCCTATAAAAGAAAGTTGTGCCTACCTTTCATAAATGGATTAAATTCCACTCGGACAATATATTCATAAAAATCTTTTTTTTTTTAATGTGAGGCCATCACAAACCTACCCTTTTAGAGGTGCGGCATCCATTTTTAAAAGGGGGGGGGGGTACTCAATATGCACAAAGTGGAAAATTTTGACCGCGTTTCATATAATAAAATCCACCTCAGATAGCTGTTTAATGTGTTGGAGTAGGGCCGCCTTTATAGTTGGAATTTACTGTTGACAAACCCTTTGTTATCTTACACTATGCATTCTTGCCTCATCTATATTAACCCAGTTACTGTTTTTTTTCGTCTGTAGAATTATTGATAACCTTCCAACTGCATCAATATCTGAATTAGGGGTATAAACTGGGGTGCCTCAGTTAGTCCTGGAAAGACTAGTGTTACTTCTTCAAATACATTGTTTCCCCTGCCTTTTTTTCCTGACAGACCAAAAGGCATATGCAGTGTCGCACCTGTATAACGTATAATTTTTTTTTAATGGATTTGGTCGGGGTAAAAAAAAAAACACTCATAAGAGCTTGATATACCATTTTTAAGAGAACAGAGGTGTTGTGTGGTGGGGGTACACAGATTAATTGAATGTGAAGTCATAGTTGACGTGTCCACCACTTTGTGAGGCGAGTACATCGTGTTGTTACCCAATCTGCTGTCAATGCGGCGCAACGGGTAGGGGGTAGGGGGATTTTACCCTCCCCCCCCCCCCCCCCCCCCCCCCCCCCCCCCGTAAAAAAGGATTTCCATGGCCCTTTAATGTTAAATGTTAGAGTTTAGGGCTGCCATTGTGTGCTGTGTATTTGTAATTATGAAATCACTCTGGAATTTAGATGTGCATGATAATATAGGTGCAAGTACACACATTGAACAATATAACACGGGTTAGCCTACCGGTACTTACCCATGCTCTTTGGGGTAAGTCATTGTATTACCAAATAATATAGGTTATGGGCCAATCAACATTATAAGAAATCAACAACAAAATATGAAAATTGCAATTGTGGGCACAGTGAGTAGGCCCCTCACACCTCTAAAAGGATGAGTTTGCTGTGGCTCTAAATAAGAACTTTCTTTTATAGGGGCATCATGACTACCCCCCCCCCCCCATTTTACTATGGCTGCCACGCCCCTAAAAGGGTGTGTTTACGATGGCTTCACGTGTGACTTTTTTTTTCTCTTGAATATTAATATCTGTGGGAATTAGCTTTATTCGTTTATGAGATGTGGGCACATTTTTTCCCCATGTTGGGCATAATGAGAACGCCGCCCCCCTTTTTTTCAATATGGCTGCCACGCCCCTAAAAGGGTGTGGTCACGATGGCTCCACATCTGGAATTGTTTTTCTCATGAATGTCAATGTCTGTGGAAAGTTCCATTTCTCTATGAATGTGGGAACAATTTGTCCAGGGTGGGCATAATGAAAACCCCGCCCCCTTTTTTTCCCATATGGTTGCCACGCCCCTAAAAGGGTGTTTTCGAGATGGCTCCACATCTGGAATTTTTTTTCTCATGAATATAAACGTCTGTGGGACGTTTTATTCGTTCATGAAATATGGGCACAATGTTTTCCAAAGTGGGCATAATAATTAAACCCCCCTTTTCTTTTAATGGCTGCCACGCCCCTAAAAAGGTACTTTTGTGATGGCTCCGAATCTGAAAAACACTAATAATCTATATAATTATGTCTTTGTGAAGTTTCCTGCTTTTGTAACAAGTAGGAAAAACCATTTTTACTGCGGGCACGACAAGTCCCGCCCCCTTTTTTTTAAAAGGATGCCACGCTCCTAAAAGGGTAAATTTGCGATGGCTCCACATCTAAAACATTTTCTCGCATGAATATTAACATCTGTGCCAAGTTTCACGCTTTTATGCAAAAGTGCACAATTTTTTCACATATCCGCTGGACTATAATCAAACCTACCGCCAAAATGGTGGATCTTAACTCAAGGTCTTCTCCTGTAGCATCGTCTGTGTTGAACCAAGACGTCCACTCCGAGCCTTATAATAGAAAAACAAGACAATGGTACAAAAAAACAGTACATGAAATTGCTATCATCTATTAAAGAGCTACACTGACATTTCATAACTCAAAGAGTTTGCACTACAGGGTGAGTAAAAAAAAGAAACAAAACCCAAATGTTGGGACCATTGTTTTAGTGAAGTTCTGCAAGTAGCACTTTCAAATCTAGGATATGAAAGCCCAATTCATAAGCTTTCTTTCAATACAAGAATCATTCAAATCGCTTATGTAATTTTCATGTTACAGAATTTTAAAAACAAGCACCGTTTTAAAGTTCTGTCTACAGATCACAAAAAGGTAAATGTTCTTTCAGCAAAATCATATAGGGATGTGTGTGAATTGGTTTTGTTTTGCTGAAAGGACTTGGATCTTGTTTCATAAAAATAAGAATCCTCTATATTTTCCTTATATTAAAACATTAGTCACGTACCGCCCAGAAATGCCCAGCTAATCTCTGTAATGCCCGGAACCGTCTGAGCACACGGGAAACAAATACAATGTAATACAAGTGATCCACGACTCATCAAAATCCATGAAAGCATGTAGAGGTTACCTATACATTTTTTTCAAAAACTTGACCTAAACTTTAACTTACGGTCATGCGGAGATACGGTCTTACAGAATGTAGGACTGGTAAGTGTCCCCCAAAACTTTGATCAGGCGACACAATAATAGACATTTATCATGCTGCCACCATTTCAGTCATGTTCCCTGTATCTAATAAAAGTACTGAATGAAAATTTTTTGTGCAAAAAGGAACCAGACTATTTTTCGTTCCAGCCCTGCTTTGGCTACGTTGATTTGAATGGGAAAAATCACGATGGCCGCAACACGATAATGGTCTCTACATAAACTAATGGGTTAAACACATGTTCATGAATGATGACGACACAACCTACCGACGCAGTCCCACGTAAGGTTGACGTACAGCGGGAAACCGTCACACTTTGGGTACGACGCGCCAGTCTCGGCAAACATGGCTTCGCTGATGTAAGCCGTGCAGTGACGCTTGTTGTCACATTGGCGCTGCAGGCGATACATGACGGTCTCAGCGTCATACTCACAATCTGGAAAAAAAATAGAACGACCATTGTTATACTGTGAAACCTAGGAAAGCTGGTCCTGACTAGTCTAAGTCTGAGCTCACACATTTCTGTTTAACTGATTCATAATAACTATTCCCTATATAGCTTTTCACGCATCTGGTAAATACAATGGGCCAGATTTACTTTTATATTTATATTTAACCTATTTTCAGTATAGACAGTAAAACAAATTAAAGGAAAACAACAGAAAACAAAAATAACCTAACAGCTCCCAAAGGATCACCCAAAAAAGATAAAGTCTCGGTCGAGGGGCTCTCCTGACTGAAAGGTTCACAAAAAAATTGAATTAAATTAAATTAATTAGATAAAAATAAATTAAGAAGAATAAACACTATAACAAACAGTTACATGTACACACAGAAATAACAATTACACATGAACTAGAGGAATAAAATAATGGCAGAAGAGCGATGCAAAAATTAAACGTTAATCAAAACAAAATTAACTTTTCAAGCAAAACAAGGAAAGTAACATGAGCAAGAAAGCATGCGTACAATAAAAAAAAACAACGTATGATGAACTAGACATAAGACCTTTACATACATACATGCGCAAAGTGAAAGGACTTAACAGTTTGGTAACATTGAACAAAATCCAAAGCAAAATTTAAAGATGAATGAATACAATCCAATCAATTCACTGCATATTTCGTAACAAAAATTAAGGAAAAGCAAAGCGAAATGCAGGCAAATACAACACCGAAAGCAGGTAATGATTTGCAAAATTTCATTGGCATTACAGAGCTATCCTATACAATAGCACTGCCCGGCTCTTTTCACCAGTCTACAAGCAATCTAGACCACAGGTGAGAGTCAGTCAGTCAGTCAGTCAGTGAGATAGGTGCAAAGAGGACGCTAGGCTGGCCCTCTGGGACCAGCTCAAAGTGGTCAGGTTTTTAGGTAATAGAGGTTACGAATGAAGAAATCAGTCAGTTTGTGTGAGTTGACAAAGTACATTATTATCTTAGCAGTGTAGTACATCATTATAGTAGAATAGATTTGAACAAAGATAGTAGATTAGAATCTTGCTCTCATTTCGTAATACTTACCGGTTGGGTAGAAGTCATCATAGATGATGCACTTTTCATTATGTGCCCTGCCATAGGCGGCGCTAGTTATCTTGATGTATTCTCCTTCAGGACATTTGAATTTCAAGATCTCGTCGTCGCATTTGATAGTCCCCCCAAGAACCGTCGGTAAACCTGTTCATTGCAAGAATGAAGATATGTATTTCAGGGGTTAGATTAGGGAAATGAAAATTTCACAAAATAACTGGCTGAGAGTTTTAGGGTCACTGGGCCCAAAGCAACGTAGGTCTAAGGTACATGTTTGCATTTGCTAAAAGCACCCCCAAAATATCCATGTAAACCTTTTTACGGGAATTCGCCGAACAAATTGGAAGTCATTTTTGCAGTGGTGCCATGCTCATGCACATGCTGCACGTGTTCTCAAAGACAAGGCGCGTGCATCTAAGTAACCCTATTGGTCAAAGGAACCAGGAGTGCGCGCGTATTACCTGAGCGCGACTCACGCATGCCTGGTGCCATTGCAGAAAATAGCTGTCCCAAAATATGGTCAAATCCCAAAAATTACAAATTTCAAAGGCATTTTTTAATAAAAAATCCTGAAATCATGAAGAATCACTTCAAATCTCAACCCTTGTATTTATCACACAATAAATTTGTTTAATTTAAAGAAAAAATAGAAATTTGTTTCAGAGCATTTGAAACCAATTACCGAACAATATATAGCCTATACTTTGCACTGCCCACCTTTATGATTGTAGAACGACTTCCGGTTGGAGCCGTACACATTCTCCGCGACACACGTGTAGAACCCGCGGTCGTCTCCCATTGGATGAAACCGAACCTCGGTGATCATGTGATAGTCGTCTTCCTGATAGGTGACAATGGTAGCATTGACGCCCCCCGTGTAGCGGTAACCGTCACGTTCCCAGCGCATAGTGGGTAAAGGAATGCCGAAGGCGTGACACTGGATGGTACCGTTGTACTCGTAGTGAAGCTTGGTGGTGTTGACGACCTCTAGAACTTCGGGTTTATCATCTGTGGCAATGCCAACACAACTCAAAATTAACAAAGTATTACGTGATGTATTTGTCTCTGTACTGCCCCAAACTGCCCTGCATGTTATTCCCTGTGCCGCCTTAGCACTGTGTCTAATAGTCTCGTCACAGCAAATAAATACAATGTAATACATTTGTAACATGATATGTCAAAACCAGGTGTCATTGTGCAGAGCTACAAATGGAGAAACAGCTACTAAATGACACGGGCGTGATTTACAGTGATTTTGAGATTTTTTTGCAAACCAAAATCAAACCAGTTTCATTGCTTCTGTATGTCCGTTGCTAAGGTAATATTGTTTGTTATGACACCTTTTCTGAATAACACTTTTCTACTAAACTCAACTAAAAAGGTCAAATTTCTCATTTTTGACATTTTGGACGGTCAGATTTCAAAATTTAGCAACATTGCTATGGAATATCAAATTTCAAAAAACAAAGCGACATTGGTCAAGGTCAAAGAGCAACAAAGAGCAAGGTCTGCATCTTACTAATATTGCAATAACTCAAATTGACTTCTTGCCCAAACGTGCCTGATTTTGACATACCACATCACATTTTAATACAGGCGCTATTGAGTAAATTGTTGTTTTTTCAATGCAAGAAACTGAAAGCAAAAACTGGATTTTTGCTATAAGAATGAACTTGGCTAACAGCGAAACTGCAAATTTTTTCTCAACACTGTCTTATCGAGAGCAGTACTTTAGGTCACAGTACTATTGTTTAATTTCAGTGGTGGACAGCTAAATTTTATGATCTTGTTATTAAAATAGACATAACTTGGGAATAAATTATGCAAATTGTGTGAAATTTTCACAGTAATTACTAGTCAATAACAAGTGCTTTATCCCAATGTTAATTTTACGAAAAATAGCGAGCCAAATATTTTTAAAAATATGTTTTTCAAATGCGGCCACTTTCTTTTTGACTCACCCTGTGAATGAAGTGACCCAAAACTATACCAACGCAGTCTGAATGCACTGAAGTTACCTACCTTGCAAGTAACACCCATAGACCTCCAATCGCAGGGCAATTTCCTCAGTCCAGTTGAGGGGTATCAAGCGCAGGTAGCGAGCGAACATGAAATGATCAAAATACTGATAGTCCACCGAGGTACTGTCGTTATTAGCTTGGAAAATCTGGGGAGAACATTGACAAGTAATTAGTATCAATTAGTTATGTGGACAATGACTGATCAACGACCAATTTTTTTGTTAAAATTATTAACGATTTAACCCTCCTGTTATCTGAACGGTCACAGACAGTCAAAGAATCAATCCTCTTCCCTGCCATGCCTTTTACACAGGCTAGACACCAACAGTCAGATCATATTTCTAGCAAGCACTTGACTACTCAAATTCAGTCAACAGACAAAAGCAGACAAGTGGTAAACACAGCTCGCTTATTAATCATCTACAGTCGAAGCATAGCTGTATCAAGTTACATAAACAGTCACAGCCAGTCAATCCCAATTTATGTAGGCCAGGAGTTCTCAACTGTTGAAAACAGTCACTTGATTGATTTTGACTGAAAGGACAACTTGGCACAGAATGTGTATTTGCATGTTACCTGATATGAGCTCTGTGCACAAGTACCCCCTCAACGGTGAGAAAGGGAGAGTTGGGGGAGACCACTGGGAGAGACATTCAAATGCATTGCTGATGACGTTGACATTCATGCGGAGATGCTATGGCTTTGTGCCATATTCAGACTAAATTTGGTCTTGCACACTTCGCGCACTATGAGCCAGTCCGCTCACAAACCCTATGTGTTAGTCCCCAAATAATAACTCTTTTTTTTTCAGAGCTTTGTAGACATTAAGAAAATATGAGGGAAAAAAGGTTTTGAGTTGGAAAATCATACAAGTTGAAAATTTATTGATAGAAAAAAATTGTAATTTTTTTAAAGAGCCAAGGAACCTGACTTTAAGCCATGCCTACCTTGTCAACGCCGTCCTCTTGATACGTCATCCATACACTTCCATTGGCCGTTGCATTGACCGTGTAATCCAGCCGATACTGCTCAATCCAAAAGTCGTACTTCGGATGACCCTGCGTGGCTATCTTCTTGACCCGCATGATCCGCTCAAAGTCAATCTGGTAGTACTGGTCGGTATCCCGTTCCCTGGCGACCCAGGCACCATAGGGGGCATGGAGGCGGGCATCCCATTTGAAGGAGTCCAGCGTGGCTAGCAGCTTGGTGCTAGAGACTTCCAGCTGATGGTTGCCAATAGTCTTATCCATCATGCCAAAAGTTAGCATACAATCTGTGGATACATCGGATGGTTTCAGAAATGACACAATGTATTTTCAGATATGACACACCTAGTTTTTTTACAGATATGACACACATGTATTTTCAGATCGGATACACATGTATTTTCGATATGGCACATGTATTTTCAGATGTGACACACATGTGTTTTCAGATATGACACACATGTATTTTTCAGTTATGACACACATGTATTGTCGGATATGACACACATGCATTTTCAGATATGACATACATGTATTTTCAGATATGACACCAAAATGCTTTAATTCACTTTGGTTAAAAACCCTGGAAATGCAACAAAATGCAGCACGTGTCAAAATGACAAGCCTGCTGCCGATTTTCATGAAACAGTGCGTAACGTAGGGTTTAAGCAACAAATTTGTTGCATAGTTTTGCATTAACCTATGATCAATGTCACAAAACTTGGCACAGCTGTGAAACATTTCAAATAATTTAAACATCTTACAGAAGGGGATAAACAGCATTGACGTCGCCTGTTTGTGTATAATTTCTGCTGTTTGCGTATAATTTCAAATTGGCTACAAGACAATAATTCCATTTTTGCGTGATAGGCTGGTTCCTACGGAGCTTTTAAAGGGACATAGATGAAAAAAAAAAAATTGAAAACATCTTCGTTAGAAAGAAAAAAATCTGCGTTCGAACGAAAAAAATCTGCGTTCGAACGAAAAAAATCTGCGTTCGAACGAAAAAAATCTGCGTTCGAACGAAAAAAATCTGCGTTCGAACGAAAAAAATCTGCGTTCGAACGAAAAAAATCTGCGTTCGAACGAAAAAAATCTGCGTTCGAACGAAAAAAATCTGCGTTCGAACGAAAAAAATCTGCGTTCGAACGAAAAAAATCTGCGTTCGAACGAAAAAAATCTGCGTTCGAACGAAAAAAATCTTCGTTCGAACGAAAAAAATCTTCGTTCGAACGAAAAAAAATCTTCGTTCGAACGAAAAAAATCTGCGTTCGAACGAAAAAAATCTGCGTTCGAACGAAAAAAATCTGCGTTCGAACGAAAAAAATCTGCGTTCGAACGAAAAAAATCTGCGTTCGAACGAAAAAAATCTGCGTTCGAACGAAAAAATTCTGCGTTCGAACGAAAAAAAATCTGCGTTCGAACGAAAAAAATCTGCGTTCGAACGAAAAAGCTGTTTGCTGTAAGCTGTTTGCCCTCCCTGTGCTGCCCCACCACTTATGTGGGTGATTTTTGTGGGTCAAAACATTCTTTGCCCTGAAAACTGTTGTACCAAACATGTAAAACGTATCAATCATGATGTGACTCATATCATGCTCTTGTAAGTGCAACAGTTTCTCCACATTTAACTGATTATCCATGGGCCACCAAAAAACATGTCGGGCTAGCCATGGCTATCAGAATAGCCCGACATGTCTGTCGATTGCTATGAGTATGAGTAGGAATCAGCTAATTAGTGAATCCCGTATCTGAAAGTGAGGAAGCAGAAAGTACATGTACATGTACAAGTGTTAGACTAGTAAAATAGGCTTATTGAAAGCCAGAAATGATCAAACAATATATACATGTCAGTCGCTTCTAAAGTTTGGAACTATTACAAGGATTAGGAATGAAAATTTATACTGTAAAGGATTTGTGGATAGACAAATTTCTGAAAATCACAATGACGACCAGTTATATTTTTTTACCTGAAAAATTTGAAAGATAATTATATAGCTTTTTTAAATTATTTTTTTAAAACTTGCCTCACTTTATAAAAAGAAACCAAAAAGACAAATTACTTTTAAAAATGTCTCATAAGTGTGTTGCCTCAGCATAGCATAATGGGTGGGACTGATGGGGTGTGGGGGGGGGGGGGGTTGTGTTGTAGCTAGTATTGTAACAGGATAGGGACTCTTAAAAAAAGAAGGACAATTAGCTAGATCTTCATTGCAATGGTTAAAGTTCATGACCAACTAACAGCAAGCCCTAGTAAGACCGTTTGAAAGCTCATAGACTGCTTTAAGACCAGTTATTGAAATTCCTGTACTTGGGCCACGGACCTACATTGGGCACATATGTCATGCATGTTGGACCTGAAAAAACATGACCAAATCACCCACATAAGTGGTGGGGCAGCACAGGGAGGGCAAACAGCTTACAGCAAACAGCAAACAGCTTTTTCGTTCGAACGCAGATTTTTTTCGTTCGAACGCAGATTTTTTTCGTTCGAACGCAGATTTTTTTTCGTTCGAACGCAGATTTTTTTCGTTCGAACGAAGATTTTTTTCGTTCGAACGCAGATTTTTTTCGTTCGAACGCAGATTTTTTTCGTTCGAACGCAGATTTTTTTTCGTTCGAACGCAGATTTTTTTCGTTCGAACGCAGATTTTTTTTCGTTCGAACGAAGATTTTTTTCGTTCGAACGCAGATTTTTTTTCGTTCGAACGCAGATTTTTTTCGTTCGAACGCAGATTTTTTTCGTTCGAACGCAGATTTTTTTCGTTCGAACGCAGATTTTTTTCGTTCGAACGCAGATTTTTTTCGTTCGAACGCAGATTTTTTTCGTTCGAACGCAGATTTTTTTCGTTCGAACGCAGATTTTTTTCGTTCGAACGCAGATTTTTTTTCGTTCGAACGCAGATTTTTTTCATTCTTACGATGATTTTTTTCAAATTTTTTTTTTCACCTATGTCCCTTTAAAAGCTCCGTAGGTTCCCACCCAACATAACTATTGATAATGTATGGACTGGGAGCCAGTCTGCTAACAATTCAATTAAATAAGTTAGAATAGTTTCATATGGGGACCTGCTACTACATTAGATTCGAACCAGCCAACCGATGCCGTTAGCTCGGTAGTCGAGTGGTAAGACGTCTGCACTAGAAAGCAGAATGTTGTTGGTTCGAGTCCCACCTGAGTGATTTTTTCCTCGCTTTCACTTGGAGGGTTACATGCTGAGTATACAATGTTTGTAAGTCAATGAAGGGCAAAACCTTACACTGAATTTACATCAACCCTACGCAAATTCTTATGAATATCACCTTTATATTTAATACTAATTGCATGAACCTTGGAACCATTCAATAATCTTTCCACTAATTTTTCCATAACAAAAGTTCCAACCCAAGTAATGTCTTCTGCAGGCTTGGGTATCACAATGGTCGCAAGAGAAACTGCATGATTGCTTACCTTGTTGACAAATGAAAGCGTTCTGGTTCCCGCACGCTGCGTCCTCCCACTGAAAGTTTTCGTCCCCTCTCAGCTCGATGCATCGCTCGCCCGCTACCGACACATAGTTGGCGTTGAAATCGGTGAACACATGCCTGGTTCCGTCGCGCCATCTACACGTATTGTTGTCAGTCTGGACACATCCGACCCAGTAGTTGGTGTCAGTAGAGTAGTCTGACAACAGACCCGCCAAGAAATCCTACGTTTAAAACAACACGTACTTTCGTTAAAAAAAATTACTATTGGCAATAGCACAAACTTTGAAAGAGTGTTGCATCCTGATGCCACTGTTTTGGTTGTGCACAAAGTCTATGGAGAGTCTAGTGCATTTTCAAAGTGTTTTCCAACAAAATTGGAAATGTTTTTCAGTCCCAGATTCATGTCTTTTCAACATTTTTGCAATTACTGTCCCTCACTGAGATAATATATGATGAAAAAAGTGGAGTAAGGATGTAACATTCTTTCCTTTTCATCACATATTATCTCAATGAAGGTCACTCATTGCAACAAATGTTGAAAAGACATGAATCTGAGACTGAGAAACATTTCCAATTTTGTAAGAAGAATATTTTGAAAATGCACTCGACTCTCCAAAGACTTTGTACACAACCAAAGAAGTGCCGGCTGGATACTACATTCTTTCCCAAACTTTAACAGCACATTTCTTTTGGGGTAGGGACAAATGCCTTATACTGACTAACAAATCAACTGAGGCTGGTCCACAAGTGCACAAAATTGGATTCAATTGATTCAAAATGGCTATTCACTGGAAGTCTTTTCATGCATCTGGTCTACGCAATGGGCCGGATTTAGCCCATTCATCTGTGTTACAGGGTAAATTATTGCAAGCCTTATCCAAGAAAGGCCGTGTTCGAATTACTTGACTGCGGCTTGAAATTACACGCGGGTCTATGGGAAGTGGCTTCGAACACCACCTAATTCAGATGTGGCCTAACCTGTGTATTAGATGCAGGGATACCAGCCAGATGACCGTGCAGCTCATTACACTGGTCGTCGGCATCCTCAAACTTCAAGGATGCATTGGGGAAGGCTCGGATGCACCGGTAGTCGTGCTTCAACCATCCGCTCTCACATTCCCCCTGGAATTCATCTGAAAGACAAGAGATCAAGAAAAGGCATTTTAGTCAAGTGCATCACAAGTCCATCACAAGTCCTCAAAGGTCCATAAGTCCCCATAAGTCCATCACAAGTCCTCACAGCCATCACAATAAAGTAATCACATGTCATTCAAGATCTTTTAAAGAGTTATAACAATCAATACTTACAAACATCTTGGATGATGATTTCATTGGACACACATGTGTAGTTCACGTCAAGATACTTCGCAACACCCTCGCATGGATCTGAGCCAAACGACGCCACCTCTACTGCGATCTTACATTCGTGGTGACCCTCGCAATAGGTGCGGACAGTCTGGAGGCTGGACGAGGACGTGCAGTTGGTCGGTGCGTACCGGTCTGGTCCCGGGCACACTGAGTTGTCCATGGTGCGTCCGTACATGGCTTGCACGATGTGAAGGACTTCATCTTCGGCTGGGCAGCTCAGGTACAAGAAATCATCCTGGCAGGCTCGGGCATATTTGATGTCATCTAGTGATAACAGACAATTTATCAATTAACTTTACAATTTCAAAGATGTTCAAGAAAAAGAACACTTCTTTTTTGAGTGATCCCTGTTTGCTATTTCCGAGGTCTGCAGCATTGCTAAGGTTGCTAGCATCGTGACTTTGTGTGCGATGGCTACATTGCACATTCGGGTTTATGGCTTCTGATGAGCACCCAATGAACAAAGACATTGATAAAATGTGAACTGCCAACCTAGGGCTGGATAGCTCAGATGGTAGAGCACATGTACGGTATTCTGGAGGTTCCAGGTTCAAATCCTGCTCCATTTTGGCAATCGTGGGGAATGCAGTGTATTGGTTGGCACAATGGTCTTTTGTTTTAAGCAGCAGACTTGTGAGCACATTTGCACATTGAATACATCGGAAGGTTTCAGATATATATATATTTTTGGATATGACACACATGTATTTTCAGATATGACACACATGTATTTTCAGTTATGACACACATGCATTTTCAGATATGACACACAAGTATTTTTTTTAAAAGATATGACACACAGGCATTTTTAAAAAATGATATGACACACATGTATTTTCAGTAATGTGACACATGTATTTACAGATATGACATAAATGTATCTATAGATATGACACACATGTATTTTCAGATTTAACATGCACTTATTTTCAGATAAGACACATGAATATTTTCAGATACGACACACATGTATTTTCAGATATGACATACAAGTATTTTCTGATCGAAACTTAGATAGTGGAAGACAAGCGCAAATGACTATACCTTGAACACAGTGGTATGAAGTAGTGAGGTAGACGTGGACGTTGCTCTGCGAGCACGGGTAGCTGAACTCAGACACGTCAGCCAGACCCCCGCACCGCGTGGTGTTGTCGCAGTCGCTCTCCACAGCACTCTGCACAGTGTCAGACGAGCAGGGCAGAATGCTGGTGGAGAAAGCGCCCTCTTGTGGGCAGGTCTGCCAGTCAGCAGTGCGCCCCCACTGTACATCGGTGACGTTGACTTTGTGGGTGTCAGGACAGGCAATCAGCCAGTCATTCTCGCCACACACAGTATAGGTTGTCGATTCTGTTTTTTCAAAATAAATTATTTTGTTAAAGGGAATATACATCATTTGCTTTTGCTGTAATTTTCAGAAATGGATGGAATTGGGGGATTGGAAATATAAAGCAAATATAGTTACACTGACTTTTTGGAGGTTTTGGGTTCGAAAATGCTATAAAAACCAAGAAAAACGATCATTTACCTGTAGTCTTGTTCCCTGACTCCATATATATAAGAAGAAACAGAGCAGTTTACATACATTGGGGAATTGTAAGGTCAGGGAACCAGTCTAGCTGGCTCGTACCCGTTCATAGGTTTGTAATCGATTGCAAACAAGTGCAATAGTCAATTGGGGCCAGTATTTGAAAAAAAGCCAGTTGTTTCCAACGCTGATCGGCCGATCAGCGTTGGAAATTGATACAAAAATACCACTTTTCTTGAAAATGACAGTATACCAGGTGCCATAATTTTACAGGATGCTTTAGACTGTCATTTACCAACGTCCTATTAAGGTATTTCGCAAAAACTTGGTAGTTTTATTTTTCGATGTTTGCAAATGTTGTATATTCCCTTTAAAGTTAAGTGGGAAAAGTTTGATACAGTGGAAACAACCTTGTGTTTCTACATATTTTGTTTCTCCCGTTCTTGATGCATGCTTCTACGTATGTAACCTACCACCACAAAATGAGAATGAGGTTGGACTTGAGATATGTTTTATTTCTGGATTTTGCTGAACAAAACCTTTTTTATGGTATATCACATTTTGGGCGGCAAGTTTAGTAACGGAAATACCGCCAACTAAGCTGAAGTAGTTTTGGGAAAATGGCATTTGAAAATCCCGCTTTCGTATTACAGTGAGTGAAGATTCAAGTTATAAAACAGGACGAAAATAGGTTTTATCAAAACAATTAGGAAAGGTATAGATAAGGACTTTAATTGATACCGACTGAGGTTCACCAGAAAATAAAGGATCGACCACCTCTTCAAATTTTGGCTTTTGCCCTACTGTATTGACAAATGGCATTTTCTGACTTAACGATCATTTCATGTTGACAGGTCACTTAGTGCTCCTAATTGTGAGACCATTACACTTTTTTGTGGTAAATATCATCCTCTGCAGTGACCAAAAATTACTAACACGTCAAAACTTTGCTTGCAAAAGAAAAAACATCTCAAAACCCACCATGGAAAAGCCATGGTGCCAAAACTACCAAAGAACATTGAAGAGTATTTTGTTGCAGTTCTGAAAATGCAAAGCAGCACTATAACTTTGCAACGATTTTGCCAAGAATTCATAGAGAAAACACAAGTGTCCGTTATCAAGATTTTTGAGGAAAATGTCAGTTATGCCAATTTAATGAAAATCATCAAAGGCTGCCAAGTTTAGAATAGTGAAGAAAGAAGTCGTTTATGAACACTTACGCCTTTCATATTCGCATGCAAAGTTCCTGATGTCAGCACAGTCTACAGACACCCATCGTCCGTCTTTTTCCTTAGACAGTGCCGTGCATTCATCAAACGCATCATCAGAAGGATTTTCAGCCGCCCAGGCTGAGTAGGCATAGAATGTCTCGTCACTCCAGACGAAAGTCTTGAAATCATCCCTCCTGTTCAGATCAATTAAGAAGTCCGTCTCGTCGTAGGCTCGGGGAAAGTTCTCCAAGAATTCTTGCTCGCGAAGTGAGTTAATGATTACCAGATGGCCGCCTGGGTATTATTTTGATAAAAATAAAACTAAATTATCTTGAAAAGAAAAGAAGGCTTAGGCCAAAAAAAAAAGTCTCCAGTTTCTGGTATGGAGCTTGCCCAAAAAGTGGTGCGGCGACGCGTTTTTTTTTTTTTTTACCTGATTTTTGTGCTTCAAATGTCGGCTGATGACTGCAAATGGTGCCCGACTAAACTCAGTGCAAATATATGGGAGTCCAGAGAGGCCACATAAAGCTTATTCTCGACCATAACCCAATCTAAAAACACGTTAAAATTGTGCAGCAGCAGGATTCCAGTCAAACCAGTGAGTTTGGCAGTTTTGAGACATCATCTTTCATTGAAAAAAAAAAACTTTTTCATTTTGCCGACGCGCATGGCTACGGCGACGCGCGCGCATACCAGAAACCGGAGACTTTTTTTTTTTTGGCCTTATTGGTAGGCTGTGCATTTTCAAAAGATTTAGCATTTCAATTATTCCTAATATTCGAGTATGGATTTTGAAAATGCATTGATGACAACCCTCCTGCTGTCTGAACAGTCACAGACGGTCAAAAAATCAATCCTATTCCCTGCCATGCCTCGTACACAAGCTGTCACCAACAGTCAGATCACATTTCAAGCAAGCACTGTGACTAGATAAAATTCAGTCAACAGACAAAAACAGACAAGTGGTATGCACAGCTGGTTTGTCAATCACCTACAGTCAAAGCATAGCTGTGCCAGTCACCAACAGTCAGATCATATGTTGAGCAGACATTGTGAATAGTCAAATTCAGTCAAAATATAGCTGCGTCAAGTTACATAAACAGTCACAGCCAGTCAATCCTGCAGGGAAGCTCTTAACCGTTGAAAACAGTCACTTTATTGATTTTGACTGAAAGGTAATAGGAGATTTAAGTTAAACATGCGCCCACCTAAATTGGCCACCAATTGGACTTTGAATGCTCGTGAGCTTGTCTTAAATCAGCACACAGTTAATTAAACATGTTTTTATATTATGGTTTCTGACAGAATATTTCCATGGGAATAGAGAGATTTCAAGTTCTGAGCTTGCAGGTTCCAAGTAAGTTCATATGCTTATGTTAACTACCTTCGCTCTCGCACACACTCTTGGAAGACGACCAGTTCCTGGTGTCGTTCCGATAGAACTTGTAGCAGGAATTCTCGAAGGCTGACCAGCCGTTCTTGCAGACAGATGGAACTGCATGGTGTAAAAAAAAGGACGTAATGTAAATATTCTAGTCAAATTTTTCAAGTGATATTTTTAGTCCTACCAAAATCGTTGAAGCTTCCATTCATCCCGAAAACTAAAATAATATCAGGCGTTTATACCTGCAGCGCTACATCCATACAGCTCAAGTCTCAGCCCAACGGGGTCAGTCGTGTTGATCTCTGATTGGATGCGTAGGTAGCGCAGGGTCAAAGGTCGTAGGTCATCCTCCCCATCTGCAGTCAACTCAACGAGGGTCACATCAATGCTGTCAACTGGTCCCGAAAGAATCTACAGCAGTCATAGAAAAGAAGTATACATTAGTTTAATGAAAAGTTATTGCAGTTCCAACTACAAATATGAATTACAAACTGAAATGTGTCACAAAATTGACGGTCAGCTTAGTAAAACTTGGGCTAGTCAAACAGCTAGTATAACAGAAAATTCCTGTCACTAATTTCTTAGCAGCAGCAAAAATTAAGGTACGCGTGCACTTTTGTCCCCAGATTGCTGAAATTAGGTATTTTATATTGTTTACTGACATTATTTCAAAGGTGATGTGTGTCCGACCACTGTCGGAAACTGATCCAAAAATTCCACTTCACTTGAAAATGACATCACACCAGGTGCCATGTTTTCTCAGGATACTTGAGGCTATTTTGATCACTTACAGTCAAGTAAGGTATTTCACACAAAAACAATGGTAGTTTGCTTTTTTGATATTTTGCAAATGTTGTATATTACCTTTATTTATGTCATTAATGAGCAAAATAATAAACTCCCTCCGTACTAAAAAATAATGACAGTCCTGCAAACTCTACCTGTGTCTCGATGCTGTTCATTTTCCGCATGGCGTTCCAAATCACATTGTCCTCACTATAGTGCAGGCTGAATTGGCTCATTCCCACGTCCCCCTCTGGTAACTCAACACCCTGCAGGGCTATCCCGGTCAAAGTCACCCTCTCCCCAAAGTCCACCATCAACCACTGGTCAAGGGAACTGACCAGGTCGCCCGGTTCAGACACCCAGCCGTTAAGCCCAGAGGCAGGACTTTCTGGGTTGTGCAACTGGGCGCATTGAGGGTGGTACTTGGTGGAATTACTCGGCAGGGCGGTGTCGCTACTCAAAGTGGAGTTCAGGATTGAGGACACGGTGATGCGATCCATGTCAAAAGCGTGGTCAGCGATTCCGAACGTGTCGAAGCAAACTGTGAAAAAAGGCAACGTAATGGTGTCATTTTTTAAAAAGCACAGAAATTTGAACCACTGTCAAACCAAAGAAGAAAAAATCATGAGTATGCCATGCCAGAGCGCAACAAAAAGTCGGCTGAAAAGGCGCGATTTAACAGGTATGACGACAAAAATTGGAAGCGCATACATTAATAATAATGGTAGTTTGGGAGGCTAATCATCTTTACTCGCAGCTGGGTTGCTAAATCGGGAAGGACGCGGCTACAACATGGTTGGGCCGCTGGCACTTAAAGGCGCCTATGGCTGCCGGCCACATCGACCCATTAAGACCACGGAGCACAGCCTGAGATCGAAAGTGTTTGATTTTTCCGGAGGGAGGAAAACCAGAGGGCCCAGAGAAAAACCCTCGTGGCACAGGAGAGAACCAACGCACAACTCTACTCACACGTGATCCGCGGCCAGGATTCGAACCGTGGTCACCTTGGTGAGAGGCGAGCGCTTTACGCACAAGCCGCCCATATTCATTACGTGAAACTCCCATTTGCCAAAACCCCTGACCTGTACCTACCGATTTCACTGTGACTCTTATCAGCTGTTATCAGTAAAGTAATTATAAGATAAACACTTACCCTGGCACCCACTTCCCCAGGGCCAGTGACCATGAGCTGGTGGTGTCAAATAACGGAAACCTTGAAGAGCATGGCTGAAGTCGGACTGTTTCTTATTTGATATCTCGAGATATATTTGATCGATTTTTATGATTCAAAGTTGCTCACATAATAACTTTTGACACTTTTCCAAATACTTTACATTATAAACAAGAACCTAGTAGACTTTGGTAGATATTTTTTGTCAGTAAGCTCACAGGCAGAGGCACCATACACCACCTGTTCACGGCTCGTTAACTCTTGATCAGATAAGAGAGATCGCGTTGAAAGCTGCTGAATCTGGAATCGGTAGGTACGACCCGAGTTTGTCATAGGCAAACTCGGGTCTAGCTCAAATGGGAGATTCACATAATGTAATGTATGCACTGTTGGCACAGAGAAAAATCTAACGCTCATTTACTGATTGGCATTCATTTTTTGGCTTATTGGCTTCATTTGTGCCTCCCTTCAAATACAAAATGCAGTATGCATTGATTGAACGGAATGAACAAATGACCAAACATATTACCAGTGGTTGAGGGTGCTTCATCAGCTGTGTTAGAGGAAGAACAGCCGTAGATTCTGACCGTTATTGATATGCCAATGTTGACCTGGGTGGGTACCAGTCGCAGATAGACTGCCTCAATTACGTTGGCTAGGGGGTTGGTAATAAACTGGTCAGCGTCAGAGTTACCAATGAACACCTATGAAATAAAATAAATGAATACACAATGTGTTGTGTCAATGGATGTCTGACAGCTCAGAACAGACCCTCCTGTGTGTCAATCAAGCAGTGTGCATTGACCATTAAAGGCAGAGTAGATCATTTGCAGCTATCCAAAAAGTAATCAACAACATTATTGTTGACAAGCTTACTTGGTTTAAAGGTACATTGTAGTAATGACACTTCCTGTGAAATTATTCCTTTTGGCATGCTATCATTTTGAAGATAAGGTGTTCTTAGATTGTTGTGGAGTGTCATGGCCTATAATGGTTAAGAGCAGTGGACTCATGCTCTGGTGTTTCAGAGGCAACAGTGGTGTGGGTTCAAGCCCGGGTGGACACTTGTGCCCTTAAGCAAGGCACTTAACCATTATTGCTCCGTCGTTCGGATGGGACGTAAAGCCATAGGTCCCGTGTGTTGTGTAATGCAATGCACATGAAAGAACCCATGCAGTGACACTTATCGCTAAGAGAAGGGGTTTGCCCTGGTGTTTCTGGCCTACTCTTAAACTCCCCTGCGGAGTCCTGAGGAGAAAAACAAACCAAGAACCAAGAAGTTAAATACTGTATTGACAACATTTTTTTACTCAGGGCGGGTGACACTTTCTTTCTGAAGGCAGAGGCAAAAATTATCACATGCATGCATCACAGATTGAACTGCCAAATTGTGCTCGTCACATCAATTTTCTATTTATTTTAGCAGTTCCTGATGACTTACCCTGGGTTGACCATCCTCAAGATACAGGGCCCAGTCCACGTCATTCTGGCTGAAGTACAAGTAATAGCCCAACACCCAGTTACTGCCTTTGCCTTCGGTGCTGATCATGGTAATTGTATGAAGCGACGACAACGTGATCTTCAGGTAGTCTGGTGACCCGGACTGTTCAGCGAGAGTGCTGCTTAGTAGAGTACTGCTGCTGCTACAAGCTGGATATTGGGAGACAGACATTTTTTTAAAGTCATTCTGAGTGGTTCAACTCTGTGGTGTGACAGTACTGACAATGTCAGTACATTTTATAATAATTAATTTTCAATTACTCCACATTTTTTTGGTCAAAAAAATGTATACTCCACAAGTTCCCGATTGAGACATAGATTATTGTGGGTGCCCCTGTAACCCTGGTTGAACTACTGACACAGACTTTCTGAGGCAAAGATCAGACCCAGGCCAACTCCCATATGATTTGTAGTGTCACCTGTAGTGCTGTAATTGTATCGTATGGTAAGTATAGCTGCTGTATCAAAAAGCCAACAATCATCCTGTCACTAGGCCCAGTCTTGAAGCCTGAAAACAGGTGGTCCTCGTCCTTGATAGCTATACACGTAGCCTCCCAAAAACATCTTTTGTCCTTTTTTTAGACATATGTAACCCTCTGTAAAGAGAGTTTTTGTTTTTGGCACAAAAACAGATCCACTTTGTGAGCAGACTCAGGCTCCCGGTCCGTACATTATCGATACTATCTGTGTGGCGGGAACCAGCCTACCCTTCGAGAACGGGAATTGTCTGGCAGCCAATAATTCGCAATTGTAAAGTAATAATTCAATAACTAAACATGGGCCTATTCTTTTAGGTCTAAGTCTCATTCAAAAGTGAATAACTTTACATATTGCTAGAAAAAAAAACAATCATGAACAGGACTCAGAAATATATCAAGAGACAGCAACTATAAATTTGCATTTTTTCCTTTAAGAATTCCGTAATAATTCAATACCTGTAGGATCATACATTCCGTAGAGTTCAGTCCGTAGGCACGGAGCGTCATTCCATTCATGGGGGTACAGGCGGATGGACACTACGTCACTCAACGAAGGTTCAAGCTCAGTTTTAACCACACCAGTCTTGTCAATATTGCCGTAAAATATCTGGAAAAAAAAGAATCACAAGAGAAATTATTAAGGGAATAAATAGGTTTTGGGAACTTCCATGGTCCGAACCAAAGCAAAGGACATTATCGGTGACCAGGCCATGACCAGGCCCCGGTTTTAAATGACTTGTTTAATTCAGCCAAGCACATATTTATTCCCATTCGTGTCAGTCAAATATCAGAACAAATCAAAAATTATAAGTTTTCAACAATACTGTTCCACAATTTTACTCCATGTTTCAAAACACATTCTAGCTATGTTATATGGTATGTGTCTCTCGCGAATAGTTCGTAAATATCTCCTTACGTAGAAGTCAAAATTATAATTTCTAACAATATTGTTCCACAATTTTACTTCATGTTTTATTTAAACAGGTTCTAGCTATGTTACATGGTATGTGCCTCTCGCGAGTAGTCATAAATATCTCCTTATGTGGAAGTTAGCGTCGTAAGTGCGACACTTCGTAGGTGTACTTATAGCACAAAACATTGACTGTTATATGTTTTTTTTATCATTTTTAAGACATTATACGAAATGGTGGAGGCATGATGCAGTTTTAACGGAAAACAAGCTCGCGGGGGACTAGTTACCTTAAAATATCAACTGAAATATTCCAGGCTAACTCATATTTACACTGGTGCATTTTCCATTTACAACACCACGCACATCGTCCCAGTATTAAAGTCTCGTTTATGTAATTTTTATGACATAAAACAGGCTTACAAAAGGACGCACCTTATTTTGCAATGACTACTAGACAAGTCTTTCAACAAATTGTATTAAATGGGTCATATGACGCGTTGCAAGTTACGATGTGTTATGTGTTTCTTTGTGAAATTAGGTGCTGGTAACACGGACAAAACATACTCTCTTGTTTTACCAAACTCTCTAGGACAATGCTTTGTGTTTCCCTTTGTCCCTGTAATATAACACTCTCCCACAGACTAAGCACACAAACTTACTACAGAGGACCATTTCCAACAAAAGACCCAACTCCCGAGGACTGAAAGGATCTGTTGTTCTCCCTTTGCGTGTCGGTCCTCGGGGGTTATGTAGAAAAAGTACAGAGGGACAACATAGAGACAGACAGAGAGCCCGCCAAACCGCCAAACCAACAAACCTTAGCATCACCATTGGAGTCCTCATAGTTACTCCACGTTTCTCCATCGGTGCTGTAGGACATGTTGTAGTACGTGACCCACTGGTCCCCTGTCTCCATGCCTTGGACACCAATCATGCTCAGCAGGGCTGGTGTGGTTAGATCTATCTGTAGCATATGGGGACCGGTGGTGTTGACTGGTTCCCAACACAACTGACCTGAACAATTACAAGGTAGTATTTCACTGCTTAATTTGGTAAATAAGCAACATAGAAAAGTTTACACTCTTCTTAATTTAGCAAGATGAATTTGGTATCACTAAAGGCATATAGGATCATTTGCATTTATCCCAAAAGTCACCTACTAAAATATTACTTTGACTAAAAGATCGTACTGATACTAAACATCCATGAAATTATTCCGTCTGGCTTGCCGTCATTTAGGAGAAATCTAGAAATGTAGGTGATTTCCAACTATCAGTCAATTGACTGATTTTTGGAAATAAATGAGTGCTATTGACAAAATCTTGTTTTGTGATCAAAAGCTTGTGAATGGTTTTTCACTGTTTTCTTAAAGAGTATTATATCCACTGAGCTGAAACTTCAACAGGCTAAGTTTTGAACATTCTTCTTTGGATTTTGAGTGGTGGTATTATTTTTAAAATGAACAAAATGCATGAAATGCAAATGATCCTATATGCCTTTAACATTTGCGGCAAAATTTGTTGCAACTGTAAACATGATAACATTTTTTTGCTCATTTGCAACGAGATTGTCTTGAGGCCATAAAAATTGCAACTTGGGAGATTTGTTTAGAAAAAAATTATGCTGAGACAATTCAAACGTTGAATGTAAAAAAACACAAATTTGTATAAAATGGTTGTACAAAAAACATGGACTACATCACAGTAGATTTAAACATAAAAACATTAGTTTTTCAGAAAAAAAGCCTGTCGATTATTTTCAATCTTTTGTTACTCTCACCGCCTGTAGTGCCGATGTTCAGTCGGGCGTGCCAGGGTTGGTTGTCTGTGAGTGATTTGACCGATGACGCAGTGATCTGGTCGTCCTTGATCCGTCCGTCAATCATTCCCAGAGTTTCATAGTTGTCTGTCCAATCAAAATTTATTAATTGATTAAATATGCAAATTACATGCAAATCACGTCAGGCATGCAAATTACATGTATTCAGAAAAGTGAGCGGAGTCAATGGCAAGGCAGTGATCTGGTCATCGGTGATCTGTCCATCAATCATTCCTAGGGTTTGATAGTTGTCTGTCCAATCAAAATTTACAACTTGATTAAATATGCAAATTACATGCAAATCACGTCAGGCATGCAAATTACATGTATTCAGAAAAGTGAGCAGAGTCAATGGCAAGGCAGTGATCTGGTCATCGATGATCTGTCCATCAATCATTCCTGGGGTTTCATAGTTTGTCTGTCCAATCAAAATTTACAAGTTGCTTAAATATGCAAATTACATGCACATATGCATATGACATACATTCAGAAATGTGGGCGGAGTCAAGAGCAAGGTGCTGCTATTTCAAAATTTGGGGATAAGCTTTTTAAAGATATATTTATTCAAATGACATCACAAATTTTCAAATTACACGCATTCAAAAATATGGGCAGAGTCAAAAGCAAGGTACTGCTATTTCCAAATTTGGGGATATAGTATTTTATAGATATGCAAATTACATGTAATTTACATCATATTTGCCAATTACAATGCGTTTCAGAAATGTGGGCGGAGTCAAGAGCAAGGCACTGCTATTTCCAAATTTGGGGATATAGTATTTTATAGATTTGCAATTTACTTGTACTTTACATCATATTTGCCAATTACAATGCGTTTCAGAAATGTGGGCGGAGTCAAGAGCAAGGTACTGCTATTTCCAAATTTGGGGATATAGTTTATTGAAGATATGCAAAATACATATGAATTACATCAGATTTGCCAATTATAATGCGTTCAGAAATGTGGGCGGAGTCAAAGCAAGGCTAGCGCTATTAATAAAATTGGGCATTTGTTTTTAATGTGACCTCAGTTCTGTTAGGACTGACCAATACATTTAAGCAAATAAAGTTTCCCCAAATAAAATGCTTAATGTCAAATTCATAGCAACAAACAATAACAGTCAAAACACATTGCATAAAACTAAATTGACTTGTACAGTGTGTACCAAAAAAAAGCCAACAAAATACAATGGAATGCCAGACATAGAATGAGTAACCAACATAGTATAGGTATGATTCCCACTTTAAAATGAGACTTCAAAGTCAAAATCTGATAATTTTGACAGAGTTATGAGTAATTTTCCTAGAGAGGTCAAATTGACCATGGGACCAAGTTTTCAATTTTAGGCATCGGGACAAAGGTAGCCTAATTGCCTCTGTGTGGATATTTGCCTGGCCTTCAAGAAAATGTGTTTTGCGAGTAAACAATTTCAAACACTTTCTTGCTATCACCTCATGCTAAAAATGTTGAGCATGTAAACATGTTTACAAATTGGGGAAGTGTTTAGAATTGTGTTTACTAGCCAAACACATTTCTGTAGGCCAGGCAATTATCCACACAGAGGCTATTAGGCTACCTTTGTCCCAATGCCTAAAATTGAAAACTTGGTCCCATGGTCAATTTGACCTCTCTTTGAAAATTACTCATAACTCTGTCAAAATTTATGAGATTTGGACACCTGATGTCTCATTTTAAAGTAGAAAGGCGTATCTTTCAAACCATACCTGTATTATCTATGTTGGTTACACATTCTACGTCTGACATTTGCTGGTATTTGGTCTGCATTTTTGTTTATACACACTGTACCAAAAAAAAAGTAAAGGAGCGATATTTTGTCGGTGACACACTGATCACTCACCGCCACAAGCACTGGATGCATCACACGTCTGGAACTCCTCTGTGTAGTCTGGACTCGGGCAGTCACTGCCATTGTACTGGGGTGTAGGGTTCGTGCACGTACGGGTCCGGTGCTTCAAACCCTGAGTCCCACAGCTAATTGTGCAATCGATGTTAGCCCATTGAGTCCATTCGGTGAAACCGCCATCAACTGCAAGTTACAAAATGAGAAATTAATTTTTAAGAAATACACAGTTTAAGTTCCACAAAATAATAAAGAGAACAATTTAATTATAAAGTTTACTCTAACTTATTGTAGAAGGGCAGTACTTCATTTGGTAACTAATTAAACACCTTGTGAAATTATTTCTTCTGGCATACTATTATTCAGAAGAAATCAAGCAATGTAGGTGATTCTCAACAATCAGTCCATTGACTGATTTTTGGAAAAGAGTGTTACTGATCAAATCACGTATCTTGACAAAAACGTTGTGCCTGGTATTTCAATGTTTGCTCCTCGAATGGTGTATTTATCCACTGCGCTGAAACTTCAACAGGCTAGGTTTTGAACATTCTTCTTTAGATTTTGAGTGGTGCTGTGATTGGATTAAACAAACAAAATGCATGGAAAGCAAACGATCCTATGCTGTGGAACTCCGCTATAACAAACACCACGGGATCCACAGTAAACGTTTGCAATAGGAATCGTTCAGTATAGCGATTTTTAAGCCGCCGGTGATCATTTTTCAGTAAATAAATAACATACCCTGGTTACTGAAAGACCACTTTGAACACGTGCCGACTATTTAATTCAATTCAATTCAATATTACATTTATTTCCATACTGAAACAATACCATAACATGAAGCAAAATACAATATTGTGGAGGCACAATCCTAATAAGCCAAGGCTTGTAGCGGAGTGCCTTTAGAAAAGAAAACAAAGACATGAAATAATCAAATAGTTAATTAGTTAAGTCAAAGACAAAGATTAACAAGAGGACAAAATGATCTGACTAGAACTAAATTAACCGGGAAAGAAACGTAAAACTGCAAGAGAGGTGGCAACACTGGAGAACAAACCAAAGGAAAACAACCAAACTATGCTACATATTGGGAAATAAGATTCTCTATTGAATTATGTAATTACACAGTTTTTGAGCTTACTACCTACAGCAACAGGTGTCTTTCCCCTCCTATTCCTTGAGGAATAATAGTCACTTGTCGCTCCTCTGTTGACATTTTTCAACAAAAGTGTTTGGTACATTTCGTACAAAATATATTGGGAGCCAAGGACGATGCTTGGTATAGCCAAATGTTTAAGATAGGGGTGTTTGGTATAGCGACGTTCCACTGTATGCCTTTTAAGAGCCAAACTATAATCAAGAAAAACCAGTTTGAGGTGCGTCCCCACTTACTAGGACAGGGGTGAGTGTTACAATCTCTCGTCTGCGAGGACGCATCGCCTGAGGGGCAGTCATCTCCGCCGTACTTGGGAGCAGGACTGTCGCAGGTTCGCTGGCGTGTTTCCGTGGATCCGGCACACGTGACAGAGCAGGACGTCCATGATGTCCACTGGCCCCACTCACCGTCAACTGTTGACAATGGTACAATCAAGATTTATTAATAACAAGCTCGATGGGAAATATCTGCGGGCCTACGAATTCGTGTTCATGCACAAGTCACGTGATTGTGCCATGTAATTTCTGATTACCTCTAATGCCAATACATGGGCTAAATCGGCATACTGTGCTGACCATATGCATGAAAACCTCCAAAGAATAGCTGATCTGAATCATTAATGGACTGAAATTTTGTGCACTCTGGCACCAGACTTAATACGACTGCCTTGTTTAAAGTTGTTTAATTTTTTCTATATACTAATGCCTTGTTTAAAGTTGTTTTATTTTTTCTTCGGGAAACACTTACTGGCATTGTATTTGCCATACAGCTCCACTCTCATAGCGATAGCTTCATTCCAAGTGACTGGGTGGAACCTGACATAGTTGGTCTCGTTGATCGGGTCAGCCAAGCTTGCCGCTACCTCGGTACCCGCATCGTAACTTCCTTGGAAAACCTGCAGGATAGAGGAATTAATCAGGTGAACAAAATTAAGAAGCTGGGTCTCAACTTGTGAGACCTGTAATAACATTTAAGTGGTCTATCCAGTGTCATTTTATCTCTAAATTTGGCAATGTAGATGCTAAAATTCATATGTCAGGCTGTTGGATGATCTGGAGAAATTGCTGTAGCCTGGTTTGCAGCAAGCACGGATGAATTTAGGCCCTCACAAGTCCTGTCAATTGCAAATCATGTACAACTTCTCACAAGTCAACCACAAGTCCTCACAAGTCCCAAAAAGTCAACAACAAGTCAACTACAGGTCCTCACAAGTCAATCAAAAGGCAGTTACAAGTCCTCACAAGTCAACTCAAAGTCCTCGCAACTGCTTACAAGTCATCCAGTCTTAAGTCAATTTCAAGTTAAATACTAGTCATCAAGTTCTCACAAGTCAACCACAAGTCCAACATAGGTCAACTACAAGTCCTCACAAGTTCTAATTTTTTAGTCCTCACAAGTCAATCACTTATCAACTACAAAGCCTCACATTTCTACACGAGTCAATCACAGGTCAACTACAAGTCCTCACAAATCTGCACAAGCCAATCGCAAGTCAACCAAAGTCCTCACAAGCCAACTACGTATCCTCACAAGTCAATCACAAGATATCCAGCCCAATGTCAAATACATGTCCTCACAACTCATCACAAGTCATCACGTCTAAAGTCAATTACAAGTTTTCAGAGGTCCTCACAAGCCAATCACAATTAAGTCAACTATACATGTCCTCACAACTCCTCAAGTTATCACAAGTCCTCACAAGTAAATCACAAGTCAACTACAAGCCCTCACAAGTCATTTCATTTAACTTGTAAAAGACTTGAGATTGACTTGACCCCAACTTTGATTCGTTGCCCACCTTGACTTGTCCAGACTCGGTGTAATCGTCCCAGTCTGATCCATTCAGACTAGTCGAGAGAGTGTACGTCGTCACCCATTGATCATTCCCCGAGGATGGACTTCGTCCCTCGATGGCCACACGCTGAAGGGTGATGGTGTCTGGAAGCTCAATCTGAATATAATCACCTGAGGAATGCGAAAGAATTGATTTATTTCAATCCTAACTCTATTGGCATTTTTGCAGGGAATTTTCCTGTATCTTCCAAAATCCTCCATGTGCAGTGTCCTAGGTTAATGGTCATAGTGTTGGTCTCCCGGTAGCATGGTACTTGTGTTCTTGGGCAAGACACTTTACAACAATTGCCTCTCTCCAACCAAGGTAGGGTACAGCTGCTGCAAAATATAGTCTCATATTGGCCTGATGAACAGGGGTAATGATTGTGAAGCACCTTCAGATTTTATTGTATAAAGCACTATAATATACTAGGATATAATAGCTGTAAAGTTTGTCTATCGCGTGCGCGTTTCATCTTTACTATGCATCAAGCTAGTTTGCCTGAAGATGAATTAATAAAAACATTTCTTGTGGAACAAGGAAAATGTAGTGCGTCTGTGTTCCATATGCAACTTAGCCTATGGCCTCATGGCACATGAGACACGTCACTACAGTATTCCATATCCGTGGAATGGCAAATTCTTTGTACATTTTTGAAGAATTAAACAAACTCAATGAGCCCAAATTGTCCCAAACCTCCTGCTGGAATGTAGGTTTTGAGAGGGTATAAGGTACAAGGTATTCTCTTTACCTGTGTCAGGAGTAGCTGGTACCCATGCATGGTCAGCCTTGCTATCATGCAGCCTGGCATAGCTGCCTGTGTAGCTGTTACCAGTGTCCTCTGACACGGTGATCATTGAGTCGGTGATGGTGCCATCCTCCATGCCCAAAGCGTAGTTATCAGCAACTTGCAAGACAAAAAAAATATATATAATGTTACCAAAAAGTAAAAGGTAAAACAATTATTGATAACCCTGGAGCACGGGCCTTTGCTAGAAGAGGGTGTGTGCATGGGAGTGTCATTTTTGTCTTCAAAATCATCAATCTTTTAAGCAACATCATGTCTCTATTGATAAGTATGTTGTAATGAATAGTGCCTACTTTTGTCCAAAATACTGATTTCTACATACTGACTGAATATAGGATATGTCTATCACAACGTGCATTAACTTATGGGCAATTTCAGTGTTGTTAAAGGCAATGATATGTCCGTGACAGAGCAGTTAGCCATGATATATATTCACTGATTCAGAGAAATGATCCAAAACTCCTAATTTGTAATCTCATTGCTAGATAATGGATGTAGAAGATTTGAAACATAAATTGCAGGTTTATTCAAAGAGCTCTTTAAAGCTGTTACAGACATTACATAATGCTGGAATTGCCTATATGCCGCTCTTTGAGCAGTCAGCACCTGGTCTTCCAAGAATGGCCACCGATATACCAACATTCATCTCCAATTAATGTTCTACACATACATAGAGCATGCGCTGTATCAAGATTTGAAGTGATTTTTGTTCACGTACACATATTATGATGACTAAAAAAGGACAACTTTCTGTCGTGATTATATCCACAAATGTCATAAATAGTGACATGCTGTGAATCTTCTTTTAACAGAACACCCGGACAGTGTTGTAGTCGAGTACTTTTTGCTAAGTACCGAGTACTGCCGAGTATTTAGGTTGCCAAGTATGAGTACGAGTACTTGTACCTCTGAGTACAAGAACGGGTCTCCGAGTACGAGTACTTGTACTTCCAAGTACGAGTACAAGTACGAGTACTTGTACTTCCGAGTACAAGTACGAGTACTCGCATTTCCGAAAACAGCCATACGGCAAATGGTTCATTGTGAATAATTGGCCCAGGCCCAGTCAGACCAATATACAAACTCACTCACGGCTAGCTGTTAAATGTGTTTGTCCGGACTTGAACAGAGGAAAATCAGGAAATCTCGATTTCTCAACAAGCCAATCAACTATTTCAAACTGAAAGGCCATGGTAAGTGAAGCTATAACATTTTTTCCCCCGAGTACTGCTATTCGAGTACGAGTACTTTAATAATCGAGCACAATTTTGACATGTCGAGTACGAGTACTTGCTGCCCGAGTACGAGTTCCGTCATTTTGAGTACGAGTACTTTGACATTCAAGTACGAGTACGAGTACGAGTACTCTAAAAAAAGTACTCGAGTAGTACCAGAGTACGAGTACCGAGTACTACAACACTGCACCCGTATATTCGGGTATGTCATCAAAATTGTACCAGGATTTCCAGAAATTGAGTGTCTTTAATTTTGATCATCAAATATGCAATAATGATGTCTGAGGAATTGAATAATGTGCCTATTGTTGGGCATTAGCTGCAGGATGAATTGAATTTTAAAGGGAATATACAACACTTGCAAACATCCAAAAATAAAACTACCAGGTTTTTACGAAATTCCTTACTAGGATGTTGGTATATGACAGTCTAAAGCATCCTGTAAAGTAATGGCACCTGGTGTGAAGTCATTTTTAAGAAAATGGTATTTTTGTATATATTTCCCATGCCGACCACCGTTGGAAAAACCTAACTATTTTTCAACTCCTGCTCCAAATTTATCTTTTTTCAGTCCAAATATTGTCTGCTATTGGTTACATGTTCATGAACGGGTGCAGGCCAGATAGACTGGTTCCCTCACCTTACAATTTTTCGGCATCTATAAACTGATCCATTTCATCTTTAGTTGAGTCAGGGAACCAGACTACTTGAACACTTTTTTTTCTTGGTTTTTCTAGCATTTTCGAACACAAAACTTCAAACATGTCAGTGAAACAATATTTGATCTATTATACTAACCCCTCAAATAGTTCATTTCTGAATATTACAGCAAGAGCCAATGATGTACATTCCCAGTTCATGCTCATTTTTAGCTAATTGTTAAGTACAATCTTGGACGCTAAATTTAAAGCAATTTTTATGTTCTCCCATTTTAAAATTGCATTTGTTTCATACTGTGCAATGAGAATATACACCCTATAGGGAGTTAAGGTTATGTAACGGCAAACAACCAAATCTATGACATGGCATAATTTCAGCACTATTAATTGTGAAATCGGCCGCTTGTCACATTCTTTTTTTTTAATCCGAAATGCGGGTTACCTGAGCAAAAAGCCGCAGCAGTGCAGCCCACCCACTGTTCACTGGTACCCGTGCAGTTGGTCCCTCCGTACTGCGGTGTAGGGTTGTTGCAGTAACGTTCCTGCATTAGTGTGCCATAGGAACCGCAGTCCACTGTGCAGTCCGTCACGTCAGCCCACTCACTGTAGCCACCGTCAACTATAATGAGAAAGAGAAAATTGGAAATTATTCAGAGTTGTTACACATTCACAAAAATAACACACAAGCTTCAAGCCTAAGTATTAAGTTGCCATCTCATAACACATCCAAGATAAATTGCTGTAAGTGAAGGGGCAGCATGGCCTAGTGGTATAAAACTCTTGATCAGAGGGTCAGGGGTTCAAATCCAGCTGCTGGTCATATATTGCGTCCTTGGGCAAGCCACTTTACTCCCACTTGCCTCTCCCCACCAAAGAGTACAAACTGGTACCTATATTAGCTGGGGAGTAACCTGCGATGGACTGGCATCCCATCCAGGGGGAGTAGAAATATTCTCAGTCATTTCATGCTACCTGATGGGCCACATTGGCTCATGACAGGGGGGGGGGGGCGACAGCCCCCCGATGAAACCTTGTCGCCCCCCCAGTCGCCCCCCCTCCCCCCCACTGAGATTTTGAGTTTCTAAAAAAATTATCATTGATCTACATGGCGCCCCCCCATGAAATGTTCCAGCCCAGCGCCCCCCACTGAAAAATTCCTGGCTACGCCACTGCCTGATGGACATCAATGAATGGGAGGTTTGCGGTAACACCATGTGAATGGCATCTTTTTGTGAGTTAATTGTGTGGTTCTGAGAAGAACCAGTTGGTTTAACTCGATGTTTTGAACAGTATGCTCTGCTCCTCATCAGGAGAACAAGTCAATAGCTGGATCGTTCAGACATCAGGCCATTTTAATAATTTTTGATTTAAAAATAAATATAAATATACTCTTTGTTTTGCAACTGGTTTTTACTTTTTTAATAACTGAAATTGGTAGGTACTGAAAAAGAAAATACCTCGACGGTGTCTGAAAAAAAAAAACACCAAGAATTTCATATTTCAAAGACATATATAGCAAAGGTCATGCTGTTTTAAGCAGTCAGACAAAAACATTCTTTAAAAATATCTTCAAGAAACATATCAGCTTTTATTTTTGTCTTCTTGAGAACAATATGTTTTTTGTCAATACTCCAAACACGAACACATATTGATGAGGCAGTATGCACAACCACTTATGCAGTTTTGCACGACTGTTCTATTGATCCTAAATTTTCCTGGACCCTTATTATGTTGGTAGCGCTCTTGTCTTCTAATGGTAACCATGACAATTTAAATGACAGACAATAGAAGTACCAATATTGCTAGGTCTATATGTGTAGTATCCACATATTAAGTACAATGGTGCAGCAAATGGTTTGGTGGGTGGAAATAGTAGCTTAATTGTGGCTGAAGGACAGAGAATACAAAGCAAAAACAAGAATAACAACGTCACGGTTGCAAGACTGTGGACAGGACACATTTTCAGCATCGTCATCAAGCGCACAACTACAATCCAGGGTTGATGGTAATAATACCCTCATTTCACCACTGGGAACCAGTCTGGTAACATCTGAAAAAGATGTTGTCCAAACGTCTCGTCTTTGGCTTGATAAGCCTTTGTCTTATGATCAGATGCACTGGTGGTAATGAGAGGTGTGGAGCCTCCATTAGAGGGGCGTGTCCTCCTGCTTGGAGCCAGTGGGGTGACAAATGCTTCAAAAAATATAGCAAGAGTCTACCATGGGCTGAGGCAAACCAGGAGTGCATCAAGATGGGAAGTGTCTTGGTCATGCCACAGTCTCAGGAGGAAAATGAATTCCTGCTGAATAACCTAATCCACTACTTTTGGATCGACTGTAGTGATCTGCAAGTTCAAGGTTTGTCAACTTCTATTGCTTAAACAATCAATGAATACTGTTCTCCAAGATTTTCGTAGGAAACAATTCTTCTCTCCTTTTGGAAAGGAAAAAAAACATTATTAACATTTCAAACTTCAAACAATCATGGTTCTCATTTCTAAGGCTTCATTGTAAACATCTAACCAAATACAAACCAGACATTAATATTCTCTGTGTGTCAGGTACATGGGTATGTCAAGATGGCACTACTGATGTGGAGTACAGAAACTGGAGGAATGGTGAACCGAGTAATAGCGGAGGAAGAGAAGATTGTGCAACAGCGGGAGAATCTGGTTGGAATGACATTCCATGTGACTATCTCGCTCCTGCTATCTGCCAACGACCAGCACCACAGCTGCACTTTTAAGTGTTAACAAAAACACTGAATGCTCATCAAAAAATAAGTACACATAGTAATTTCTTTTCTTTGATTGTAAATTATATCCCTCAAAAAAGCAAGGTATCATGTAGACAGTACTGTGAATATGCAACTGAACAATTTAAGGCAATCGTAAATTTTGGGCAAACAATTTAAGAAGATGAAAAAAACAATTTTAAAAGATTGCTGAGGCATGAGGTACTCTGTATAGAATACTTAGTTCTAAACTAATGTCTTTTTGTAATTTGCGCTTGTTGGAAAATAGTTATTTGTCTGTATTTTTCATTCATGAAAATTGTGTTGTCAACATATGCAACTGAACCACTTAGACAATCACAAAATTTGGGCAAACAATTCGACATAATGAAAAACAGAAGAAATGTTTTTGTTTTAATAGTAGTCCTCATTGAATACATTGTGTGAATGTATCTATTTTATTTGTGCTTGCGGAAATATTTTTAATTACAACTTTATTTCGTTCAGTTGCAGAACTGTTCAATTTTGTTTTCCTTTTGTAAGATAGGCCTAATCTCAATCTAGTTTTTAAACAAGTACGTTTAAAACAAGCTAAGGACCTGGCCACAAGTTTACAACCGGCCAGCAGATATTTATTCCTATTTCATTTATATCTTTCAGTCAAAAATTCAAATGAAGTCAAAAATTCACAAATTTCTAACGATTTTGTTCAACATTTACTTCATGTTTTGTGAAAACACCCCTCTGACACGTTATGGCTGTTTAAATTTCACATTAATCGACATGTCAAAAAGAGAAACTACTGAGAAAAAAAGGCCTTTAAAGTATTGACTTTTGTATTCGTGAAAAGGAAAGATACCAATTGTTTTTCCTAAAAAAAACCTTTTATTCCACGATGTTTATGTTTTTCTCTAAATTACGTGTAGTTCACATATCAAAGATTACAAATATCAATAAAGGTGCACAAACAAAGTTCATTCCCATTTGATTTTTGCATTTTCTTCCACTAAGGCATGTGCAAAGTTCCGTCTCATTTTGCCAGAACGCCTCACATATAAAACTAGAAAAGCTATCGGCTACTTCGACTGATCAGGTCTGAGGTGCTATATCTTACCAACGCTGCTTTGTAAGGAGTTGCACATCATTTATTAGTGTTTGGCCTACAATGTGGATGCATACGTCTCCTACTGGTAATCATGGCAACAGAGGTAAATACACATGAGTTATATGGCTTCCAACTCACAAAGCAGAGTCTTGGAAATATGTCCAATTAGAAATTTCCTTTTGTGTCCGTTTGGTCAGAATAAATAAGGAGACTACATGTGGTTAATGAAAAGAAAATATTTACAGCATCGTCAAGCTCACTACTGCAATCACGGATTGGTTAAAAGAGAAAAGAATCGTCATTTTACCACTGGCAACCAGTCTGGTAACATCTGATAAAGATGTTGCCTAAACGTCTCATCGTTGGCTTGATAAGCCTTTGTCTTATGATCAGATGCACTGGTGGTAATGAGAGATGTGGGGCCTCCATTAGAGGGGCGTGTCCTCCTGCTTGGAGCCAGTGGGGTGACAAATGCTACAAGCAACTCAGCAAGAATCTACCATGGGCTGAGGCAAAACAGGAGTGCATCAAGATGGGAAGTGTCTTGGTCATGCCACAGTCTCAGGAGGAAACTGACTTCCTTCAGAAGAACGTGTACCACTGGTTCTGGATCAACTGCAATGATCTTCAAGTTGAAGGTTTGTAAACTTACATTGCTTAAACAATGAAGGAATTCTATTTTTTGAGATGTTCAAAGGAAACAATTTTTCTCTCCTATTGGAAAGGAAAGAAATTTCATTGTTTACGTTTCAAAGTTTAAACATACATAGGCCTACGTGATTTTAAATTCTTAAAGCTTGACAGTCAAATTCAAGCCAAATAAAAATTCGTATTCTATGTGTGTGTGTGTTAGGTGCATGGGTGTGTCAAGATGGCACTACTGTTGTGGAGTACAGTAACTGGGGTAAGGGTCAACCTAGCAGCACCAGCGAAGATTGTGCAGTGGTGACAGATAACGGTGATTGGAATGACGTTCCATGTGACGATCTCTCTCCTGTTATCTGCCAACGACCAGCACCACAGCTGCACTTTTAAGTGTCAACAAAAACACTGACTGCTCATCAAAAATAAGTACACAGAGTAATTTCTTTTCTTTTATTGTAAATTATATCCCTCAAAAAAGCAAGGTATCATGTAGACAGTACTGTGAATATGCAACTGATCAATTTAAGGCAATTGTACATTTTGGGCAAACAATTTTAGAAGATGAAAAACAATTTTAAAATATAATAATAAACAAGATTGCTGAGGCATGAGGTACTCCTTATAGAATACTTAGTTCTAAACTTATGTCTTTTTGTAATTTGCTCTTGTTGGAAAATAGTTTCACTTATCTGTATTTTTCATTCACGAAAATTGTGTTGTCAACATATGCAACTGAACCACTTAGACAATCACAAAATTTGGGCAAAAAAATCGACATAATGAAAAAAAAAGAACTTTTTGTTTTAATAGTAGTCCTCATAGAATACATTGTGTAATGTATCTATTTTAAGTTGTGCTTGCGGAAATATTTTTAATTACAACTTTATTTCGTTCAGTTTTAGAACTTGTCAATTTTCTTTTCCGTTTGTAAGATAGGCCTAATCTCAATATAGTTTTTAAACAAGTACATTTAAAACAAGCTAAGGACCTGGCCACCAGTTTACAACCGGCCAGCAGATATTTGTATTCCCATTTCATTAATATCTGTCAGTCAAAAATTCAAATCAAGTCAAAAATTCACAAATTTTCAACGATTTTGTTCAACATTTACTTCATGTTTTGTGAAAACACCACTCTGACACGTTATGGCTGTTTAAATTTCACATTAATCGACATGTCAAAAAGAGAAACTACTGAGAAAAAAAGGCCTTTAAAGTATTGACTTTTGTATTCGTGAAAAGGAAAGTACCAATTGTTTTTCCTTAAAAACTTTTATTCCACGATTTTTATATTATTTCTTTAAATTACGTGTAGTTCACATATCAAATATTACAAATATCAATAAAGGTGCACAAACAAAGTTCATTCCCATTTGATTTTTGCATTTTCTTCCACTAAGGCATGTGCAAAGTTCCGTCTCATTTTGCCAGAATGCCTCACATATAAAACTACAAAAGCTATCGGCTACTTTGACTGATCAGGTCTGAGGTGCTATATCTTGCCTGGTACGCTGCTTTGTAAGGAGTTGCACGTCATTTATTAGTTTTTGGCCTACAATGGGGATGCATACGTCTCCTACTGGTAATCATGGCAACAGAGGTAAATATACATGAGTTATATGGCTTCAAACTCACAAAGCAGAGTCTTGCAAATATGTCCAATTAGAAATTTCCCTTTGTGTCCGTTGGTGCGGAATAAATAAGGAGACTAGTTAATGAAAAGAAAATATTTACAGCATCGTCAAGCTCACTACTGCAATTAAGGATTGGTTAAAAAAGAAAAGAATCGTCATGTCACCACTGGGAACCAGTCTGGTAACATCTGCAAATGACGTTGCCTAAACGTCTTATCGTTGGCTTGATAAGCCTTTGTCTTATGATCAGATGCACTGGTGGTAATGAGAGGTGTGGGGCCTCCATTAGAGGGGCGTGTCCTCCTGCTTGCAGTTTCCTTTTGTAAGATAAACTCAATTGGAAATGTAACAATTTGATGGCATGAAATAAATGAAAATCTGATGCTGCAGTATTTAGTCAAGACCTAGTTATTTGTTATATCTGTGCTTATGGAGCACCTTTCTCAGATTTTTTTGGTCTAATTCTTACAATTTCACCTTCTTTCAAGTCTTTTTCTCATTTTAATTTTAAATAACATCAGTTCTGTTACAGTGTTAACTTGGTAATATGAACCCAATGCATTCACTGATATAGCTACTAAGGGAATAAATACGTGCTTGGCCGTTTTTAACCAAGTACGTTCAATACCAGCTAGGGACCTGGTCACCAATTTTGAACGTACTTGTTGAAAACCATCCAAGCAGATATTTATTCCCATTTCATAAGTACCTTTTGGTCAAAAAATTCAAAGCAAGTCAAAAATTCACTAATTTCCAACAATCTTGTTCTACAATTTTCTTCATGTTTTCTGAAACATCCCTTTGGTCATGTCTACAGAATGTGCCTCATGCGCGTGGTGCTGAAACAGATACGTTTTATTTTTTAGCATAAATAGCATTGGCATTGAGAAGGGACAGGATATTTATTGTCATTGATTTATCAAAATAAAAGTAGGCCTAGGTTATCAGTATCATGATCATGTTCTGAACAACCAGCCAAATATTATGCAAGTTGCAATTATATTGGCTTGCAATGTAGTAAGCTCTAACAAAGACTTCTGTCCTCCGTAGTCGTAGTAACCAACCTCTTTCAATGCCCATAAATATAGTGAATTTTGTATCAATTGAGTTCTGCGGGCAGAATGAAATTCGCAGCGCAGTTTATCGATTAATTTCACCAGAAATATATGAAGTGTGAATTCTTTTTGTATCCACTGGCGCAACACTTATAATGTGAACACTTTAAAATTAACTGCCATACAGCTTCCATTGTAGCACTGAAGAATGACGTCTGAGAAAGGGGTACGCAATGCGCATTTTACCACCAGGCACCAGTCTGGTAACATCTGAAAAAGATGTTGCCTAAACGTCTTGTCGTTGGCTTGATAAGCCTTTGTCTTATGATCAGATGCACTGGTGGTAATGAGAGGTGTGAGGCCTCCATAAGAGGGGCGTGTCCTCCTGCTTGGATCCAGTGGGGTGACAAATGCTACAAACAAGGCAGTGAAGATCTACCATGGGCTGAGGCAAAACAGGAGTGCATCAAGATGAGAAGTGTCTTGGTCATGCCACAGTCTCAGGAGGAAACTGACTTCCTTCAGAAGAACCTGATCCACAAGTTTTGGATAAACTGCAATGATCTTCAAGTTGAAGGTTTGTCAACTTATATTTCTTAAACATTAACTGAATTCTATTTCCAAGTTGTTCACAGTCTTTCTTTCCTTTTAGAAGGGAAAGTAATTTCATTATCAACATTTCAAACTTCAAAACATACATGCTTCTCAATTCTTAAAGCTCAAAGTAAAATTCAATCCAAATAAAACCGAACATTATTTTTCTCTGTGTGTGTCAGGTACATGGGTGTGTCAAGATGGCACTACTGATGTGGAGTACAGAAACTGGAGGGATGGTGAACCTAGTAATTTCGGGGGAGGAGAAGATTGTGTAGTAGCAAAAGAGGCTGGTTGGAATGACGCACCATGTGAGACTCATGTTCCCACTATCTGCAAACGACCTGCACCACAGCTGCACCTATAAAGGGCTCATGCAATGTAATGTTTTGGATGCAATCCTTGAAAATGCACCTTTGTGTCCCACTTAGCCTTATTTTGGGCCGTTTTTATGCTAATAAAAATTTACATATTCATGAACAGAAGTGTGATGTCATTTCAGGCAAAAACCTTCATTTCATCGTTATTTCAGCACCAAACTTTATCAGAATTGTGGGCATGTTGCGGTCCTAAATGTTCTTTTTTTTAATGATTCATTGCTATTTCAGTGCAAGACAGTAAACCGATGAGCAAACTTTTTCTCACAATGTTTCAGTACGCAAAAACTGTTTGAACAGAAAACCCCTAAACTGAAAAGTGTCTTCCTGAAATGACATTACACAAACAGTGCCTAATGTTTAAAGAAGGGTCCTTTTCAATAAAATAACAATATAAGAATGTCAAACAGTTTTCATGCATTTCTAAGATGTAAAAAGTTGCACAAACATGTTCCCATGTAACATTCATCTCATGATCTCATTATATGGCAATACAAATTTTGATTTCAAATCAAAAAGTAAAACTCACAAAGTTAGTTATTTATTTAATCATAATATTAAAGGTAACATGTAGAATGTAAAAATTGTACAGTCTCAACCACTGTGAAATTTTGGGCAACAATTTGTTTTTTAAAAATAGCTATGTTAATGGTAGTCGTTATAGAATACTTGAGAATATAGAATAATTTTGATGTGGAATTAACTCGTATTTTACTATTTATTTATCTTTCTTTCAATTTCAGAGATTTCACATTTTCATTTTAGTTCCTCACTTTCAATTTACATTGTTGCCTGGGCACTACGAGCCAATGTATCAATTGGCCACACAGATTTTTGCTTTCAAAATGTAAATGTAGCATTTGTTCGTTAAGGAAGCTGACTGGCAAAAATTAATAACTTCTCCACTCCAAAACAGGGGCAATATTCATTAGGGCTATCTGACTTGCTTTGACAGGAATTGTGATTAGTTCAAAACTTGTTGGGTTCTGCAAGGTTCCAAGGCAAAATCGGGACTACAAGTTTATTTCGGTCTAAAACTCAAAACAATAATAGGGGAAAAAAATAACTTTCATCAGATATTATTCTAGATTTCAAAGTATGTTCCTGGAAATAAGGTTGACTTGAGCCGCAAACTACCCATATTTCTATTTGTGTATAGCACTGTGAATGCATGGACACCTTTATGAGGTTTTTTGCTAGAATCCAAAAACAAATTTGGCATTTTCTGATGAATCTTCTCAATGCAGAACCGGTACCTTGTATATTCCAACCATGAGCATAAGCTTTCATCCGTGAAGCCATTTTTGAATTGTTTACATTACTTGTTGATTAATTTATTATATTTATTCATCGACTCATTTTGTGTTTGGTATTTTTAGCAATATTGAAATAAATGTATGAATAAATGAATACAACAGATTTTATGGACCGATGCTTGTAGTCATAGAAATCGTGGTAACCATGGCAATTCAAGTAAACAAGCATCAGAAATGTGTTATAAAGGCACACAGCAAAGGCTTGCTAACATATCCAATTGAACAATTCTCTTTGTGTCAATTGGGGCAGAATAAATTTACGGCATCGTCAAGCGCACTACTACAATAAAGGATTGATGACAAAATCACCCTTCATTTCACCACTGGGAACCAATCTGGTGACATCTGAAAATGATGTTGCCAAAACGTCTCATCGTTGGCTTGATAAGCCTTTGTCTTATGATCAGATGCACTGGTGGTACTGAGAGGTGTGGGGCCTCCATTAGAGGGGCGTGTCCTCCTGCTTGGAGCCAGTGGGGTAACAAATGCTACCAAAAACACAGCGAAAATCTACCATGGGCTGAGGCAAACCAGGAGTGCATCAAAATGGGAAGTGTCTTGGTCATGCCACAGTCTCAGGAGGAAACTGAGTTCCTTCTGAAGAACCTGGCCCCCTTCTTTCGGATCAACTGTAATGATCTTCAAGTTGAAGGTTTGTCAACTTATATTGCTTTAACAATGAATAAATTCTATTTTCCAAGACATTCATATGAAACCGTTTTTTTTTAATTCTGGAAAGGAAAGTCATTTCATTATTAACATTTCAAACTTCATACAAACATGGTTTTCACGTCTTCAATTCCAACCAAATAAAACCAGACATTAATATTCTGTGTGTGTGTCAGGTACATGGGTGTGTCAAGATGGCACTACTGATGTGGAGTACAGAAACTGGAGGGTGGAGCCTGCGGAACCTAATAATGGCGCGGGAGGAGAGGATTGTGCAGTAGCAGACGAAACTGGTTGGAATGATGTATCATGTGAGTTTCATGCTCCCACTATCTGCAAACGGCCTGCACCACAACTGCACTTTTAAATGGCAACAAAAAGACTCACTCCTCACAAAAAGTAAAGCTCACAAACCTACTTAATTAAGTAAATAAAAAAATTGAAGGAAATCATGTAGAAAGCATTGTGAATAGGCAATTGAACTCTTTGAACCATCGTAGCTTTAGGACAAAAAAAATGGAAAAAATGGTTTCGTTGATGGTAGTCCTTATAAAATACTTGAGAAAAGAAATGTGGAAACAATTGTTCGTTATTGATTGATAAATATCTTTGTTCATTTTCACAGATTTTCAATTTAGTTCCTCATTTTCAATGTTCAGTGTTGCCTGGGCAACAAATGTATCAATTGGCCACACAGATTTTTGCTTTGAAATTTGAATTTAATTTTGAATTCATTTGTTTTCCTTTCCAAGCTTTGAGAGATCACACTGATCACATAATATTTATCACAAAAAAATCAAACATAAAATGGATTATGTACAATGTAGTTGATGAAGTGTTCTGAATAATTAATCAATTAAATCATTGGGGGCAATTGGATATTTGGTAGCAATGCAACAAACGGTTAACATAACAATATGCAAAATCTGATGCTGCAGTACTTAGTCCAAGGGTACAAAATACTACAAGTCAAATATCTTTGCTTGTGGAGCCATGTTTTTCTGAGTTAGTAGAATAATTCTTTCAATTCTTTATCTCACTTTTAATTTCAGCCAAATCAGTATACTGTGAGTGTTACATGTACCTTGATAGTATGAACCTACCGGTCGTCTTGGTACAAAACAAGACTTGGATTTTTATTCGCCGTATAGTACAGACCGTCCGTGACAAGCAAGGTCAATACCAACAAGATGAATCAAATCCAGTCTTTGCAATATTGGCAGCGCTACCCAGGGCATTCCGACCATACCGCATGCACGCTGTATTCAAGCTAATGCATGCATGTGAGGTATGCTCGGAATACCCTGGGTAGCGCTGCCAATATTTTCAAGACTGGATTTGATTCATGTTGTTGATAGAGACCTCCACCACTGCCGCAACTTAACCGCGTTTGTCACGGGACTGGCTGCAAAATAAGGGAATAAAAAAACCACCTCAGTCTTGGATCATGACTAGTATGAACCTAATCCATGAAGATGGGTACCATGATTTAATACACATGTTTTTTTTAGATTACCAACTGAATTGTCACACTGTATTGTTGTTAACATTTTCAATCTAATTTAGACTCAAATTGTTGAAAAATAACAAGTTCTATTGTACAAAGCTATACTTTTTCAGTTAAATATAAGACATATATAATAACGCATAATTCCTTTTTTGACTAATGTCCATTTTTAGTGCAGTTGATCATTTGTGTAGGCTTTGTGACTTTTAAATGCACAACTTTTATTTTTGCTGAAATTCACAGCATATTTGTACTAAACAGTTGTTCTTTTTGCTCGATGTTGTCTTTGCTCTATTTGTGGTTAATAAAGTCGGAGATGAAACTCTTGCACTGGTACAATGCTTCATGAGGAGTTGTGCGTCGCCCGTGAGTTTTGGGCCTAAACTTTGGATTAAAATACATCTCCAGATTATTGGCATTGATGACTGAGGGAGGCGGTTTATTCATGTTGAATTGTTGATGGATAAATGCTTGGACTGTAGATCTTACTATTGGTAGTATGTCGGTGGTATGAGAACTGGCAAGGCCTTCTATGTGATCTTGTTTGTATCATGAGGGTATACAGGAACTTACAGGAGCTCTATAACTTCACAACATACCACTGAGATATTCAGCATTTAAAATATATTTGTATGAATTTTGAGGGTAGAATCCAATGACAAATTTGGCATTTTCTGATGCCTCAGCAAAATGCAATAAATATACCTTGCATATTCCAACCATGCATCTAAGCTTTTATTCATAAAGCAATACAAGAGATTGTTATGGAGCAATAAAATCAGCCTTCTCTTTCTAACAAGCCACTAATTGTAAAAGGACTCGTTATGCAGGTGAAATTGTGGTAACCATGGCAATACAAGTAAACAAGTATCAGATACGTGTTCCAAAGGCATATTGCTAATGTGTCCCATTGAATAAACCATTATCTTTGTGTGCATTGAGGCAGAATACATTTACAGCATCGTCAAGGGCACTACTATAATAAAGGATAGAAGACAATAATACCCTTCATTTCACCACTGGGAACCAGTCTGGTAACATCTGAAAAGATGTTGCCAAAACGTCTCATCGTTGGCTTGATAAGCCTTTGTCTTATGATCAGATGCACTGGTGGTAATGAGAGGTGTGGGGCCTCCATTAGAGGGGCGTGTCCTCCTGCTTGGAGCCAGTGGGGTGACAAATGCTACAAGAAACTCAGCAAGAATCTACCATGGGCTGAGGCAAAACAGGAGTGCATCAAGATGGGCAGTGTCTTGGTCATGCCACAGTCTCAGGAGGAAACTGACTTCCTTCTGAAGAACGTGCACCACTGGTTCTGGATCAACTGCAATGATCTTCAAGTTGAAGGTTTGTCAAAATAGAACGCCTCAAAATTGCACGAGTTCTATTTCAATTTGTTAATGTGAAGGTTTGTCAACTGATTGTGTTTGAACAATTTCCAAGTTATTGATAGGAAATAATGTTTCTTTTCCTTTGGAAAGAGAGGTAATTTCAGTAAGTATTTCAAACTTTGAACAAACATGATTCTCAATCCTTAAAGCTTCACAGTAAAATTGAAGCCAAAATGAACTTGATACATGTATTTATATTCTCTGTGTGTTAGGTACATGGGTGTGTCAAGATGGCACTACTGACGTGAAGTACAGAAACTGGGGTAATTGGCAACCTAGCAATGGTATCAGAGAGGATTGTGGGGCAATGAGAGATAGCGGTGACTGGAATGATGTACCATGTGAGAATCTCGCTCCTGTGATCTGCCAACGACCAGCACCACAGCTGTACTTTTAAGTAACATCAAACAGCTGGTTGCTAATCAAATTCAACAACCCTCCCCCCCAAAAAATAAAGAATGGAATCATATAGACAGTATTGCAAATATGCACTCGATTGATGGAACCATTTGGACAATGATGATTTTGGGGTATACAATTTGAGAAGATAAAAACACTTTAACAATATAATTATAATAATAAAATGCTGCTGCATATGGTACTTCTCATAGAATACATGTATCTTTGTAAGTTGTGCTCTTTGGAAAATAGTTTCACTTTTTTCTGAATGTTTCATTCACAGAAACCGTTGTGAAAATATGCAATTTAACCACTTTGACAATTACAAAGTTTGGGCACACAATTTGAGATGATGAAAAAAACAAGTCATTTTTTAAAAAAATCTTGTTGAAAGTCCTCACAGAAAACATTGTATGAGTGTATCGTTTTAAATTTGTCCTTGTGGAAAATATCATTATTATATATGTTTATTTCTTTTAGTTTCAGAACTTTTCAATTTTTGTTTCCTTCTATAAGATAATCCCAAATGAACAAGTAACAATTTCGATGCTGCAGTATTTAGTCAAGTTATATACTGAGTCTTTTATATATCTTTGATTGTGCAACACCCTTTTCTGAGTAGAGTATCTGTTTTCGTTAATTTCACAGATTTCTGTTTTTATCAAGACTTTTTCTCACTTTAATTTTAAAACCGGATCAGTTCTGCTACAGTGTTAACTTTGTAACATGAACCTCAAACAAACAGAACAAATGTTTAAAAATACCTTATGCACCACCAAATACAACATTATATTAACGCCAAGTTGTGCACTAATTCTGTGGTATAGAAATTACAGTTCTTGTTTAAACATCTGTAATACTTTTACACATTGTAATTGTGGATAACCAATAAAACATTTGCAACTTCAGACAACGATTAAGCATCAGCACGCACTGATTCCGGAAGTATTAACAAATCCCACAAATGTTCCTTTTTTTAGGGGGGGTTGGGTTTAGAAAACAAATTTGCTTGAATACGCCTATGGTCACATACGTTGTTGAAAATGTCCTTCGCCATCATTTTGTATTGGTGGGCAAACTTACACAAAATGACAAAATATAACGGAAGAAGCATACCCAATTTCATCCAAATTTGGCGTGCAGGTGTTGAAGTGTAGATCACGTGACTTCCCCTCTAGAATTACTGGCGTTTTGTCTATGTACAATTTAAACACTAAACATGCGCAACGTTTGTGCTGTCTGGCTTGTGGCATTGAAGTCACTCAAGAAATCTGAAACCTTTTAAATTTGGTCAACCACTTGATTAGCTTCTCAGCGCAGTAATGACATGTCACACACAAAGAAAGAAGCAGTAATTAGCGACCCAGTTTGAAGCAGGCTTCATAACGGTGAGTCAATCTTCATTAACTCATACAACAAGTTTAAGATGAAATGCCTTGACTGATACAACGCACTAAAGACTAGCTGCACACCATCAATTAAAACTCCAAGTGAAGGGCGAGTGTCAAATTTCAACGAAATACTAACAACCCGAAGCAATCTAGTGAGATCACTGCTGAAATCATCTACCAGTCAGTAACTCAGCCAGTCACTTGATACAAAGTAGAAAATAACGACCCAGCAAAAGATGTGGAGCATCTGTGACAAAATTGCAGAAGCTTCATAAGAGTGAGTCCATCTTCATTAACCGAAACAACAAATCTCTGTTGAAGTCTGTTGGCCGATACAATGCATTGAAGATGAGTTGGGTCAAGCCAATATATAGCTTGACACATTTATTCAAAAGACTCAACTTGAAGGGCAGGTTTAATATTGGAAGAAAATATTGACGGTAGCTCTTGATGAGCATAATAGCTCCGGCAATAATAGGGTACAAACAGTAGCTGACAGTGAGAGCGTAGCTTCATATCTACACTGAGCACTAGTGAGGTAACATCTTGAAATGATGTTGCCAAAACGTCTCATCGTTGGCTTGATAAGCCTTCGTCTTATGATCAGATGTACTGGTGGTAATGAGAGGTGTGGTGCCTCCATTAGAGGGGCGTGTCCTCCTGCTTGGAGCCAGTGGGGTGACACATGCTACAAGCAACTCAGCGAGAATCTACCATGGGCTGAGGCAAAACAAGAGTGCATCAAGATGGGAAGTGTCTTGGTCATGCCACAGTCTCAGGAAGAAACTGAGTTCCTTCTCAAGAACCTGATCGACTACTTTTGGATCAACTGTAGTGATCAGCAAGTTGAAGGTTTGTCAACTAATGAATGAATAAATTCAATTTTCCAAGTTTTTCATAGGAAACAATTTTTTTCTCCTTTTGGAAAGGAAAGAAATGACATTGTTAAGATTTCAAACTTCAAACAAAAATGGTTCTCATTTCTTACAGCTTCACAGTAAACTTCTAACCAAATAACTAAAACCAGACATTAATATTCTCTGTGTGCCAGGTGCATGGGTGTGTCAAGATGGCACTACTGATGTGGAGTACAGAAACTGGAGGGATGGTGAACCTAGTAATGGCTGGGGAAAGGAAGATTGTGCAGCAGCGGGAGAATCTGGTTGGAATGACGTTCCATGTGACGATCTCGCTCCTGTTATCTGCCAACGACCAGCACCACAGCTGCACTTTAAAGTGTCGACAAAAACACTGACTGCTCATCAAGAAATAAGTACACTGAGTAATTTCTTTTCTTTGATTGTAAATTATATCACTCAAAAAAGCAAGGTATCATGTAGACAGTACTGTGAATATGCATCTGAACAATTTAAGGCAATCGTACATTTTGGGCAAACAATTTTAGAAGATGAAAAACAATTTTAAAATATAATAATGAAAAAGATTGCTGAGGCATGAGGTACTCCGTATAGAATACTTAGTTCTAAACTAATGTCTTTTTGTAATTTGCGCTTGTTGGAAAATAGTTACACTTATCTGTATTTTTCATTCACAAAAATTGTGTTGTCAACATATGCAACTGAACCACTTAGACAATCACAAAATTTGGGCAAACAATTCGACATAATGAAAAAAAAGGAACTTTTTTGTTTTAATAGTAGTCCTCATAGAATACATTGTGTGAATGTATCCATTTCAATTTGTGCTTGCGGAAATATTTTTAATTACAACTTTATTTCGTTCAGTTTTAGAACTTTTCAATTTTCTTTTCCGTTTGTAAAATAGGCCTAATCTCAATCTAGTTTTTAATCAAAACAAGCTTAGGACCTGGCCACCAGTTTACAACCGGCCAGCAGATTTTCTTTATTCCAATTTCATTAATATCTTTCAGCCAAAAATTCAAATCAAGTCAAAAAATCACAAATTTTCAACGATTTTGTTCAACATTTACTTCATGTTTTGTGAAAACACCCCTCTGACACGTTATGGCTGTTTAAATTTCACATTAATCGACATGTCAAAAAAGGAAAATACTGAGGAAACAAGGCCTTTAAAGTATTGACTTTTGTATTTGTGAAAAGGAAAGATACCAATTGTTTTTCCTTAAAAAAACCCTTTTATTCCACGATGTTTATGTTTTTCTCTAAATTACGTGTAGTTCACATATCAAAGATTACAAATATCAATAAAGGTGCACAAACAAAGTTCATTCCCATTTGATTTTTGTATTTTCTTCCACTAAGGCATGTGCAAAGTTCCGTCTCATTTTGCCAGAATGCCTCACATATAAAACTAGAAAAGCTATCGGCTACTTTGACTGATCAGGTCTGAGATGCAATATCTTACCAACGCTGCTTTGTAAGGAGTTGCACATCATTTATTAGTGTTTGGCCTACAATGGGGATGCATACGTCTCCTACTAGTAATCATGGCAACAGAGGTAAATATACATGAGTTATATGGCTTCCAACTCACAAAGCAGAGTCTTGGAAATATGTCCAATTAGAAATTTCCTTTTGTGTCCGTTTGGTCAGAATAAATAAGGAGACTACATGTGGTTAATGAAAAGAAAATATTTACAGCATCGTCAAGCTCACTACTGCAATCACGGATTGATGAGAGAAAAGAATCTTCATTTCACCACTGGGAACCAGTCTGGTAACATCTGATAAAGATGTTGCCTAAACGGCTCATCGTTGGCTTGATAAGCTATTGTCTTATGATCAGATGCACTGGTGGTAATGAGAGGTGTGGGGCCTCCATTAGAGGGGCGTGTCCTCCTGCTTGGAGCCAGTGGGGTGACAAATGCTACAAGAAACTCAGCGAGAATCTACCATGGGCTGAGGCAAAACAGGAGTGCATCAAGATGGGAAGTGTCTTGGTCATGCCACAGTCTCAGGAGGAAACTGACTTCCTTCAGAAGAACGTGTACTACTGGTTCTGGATCAACTGCAATGATCTTCAAGTTGAAGGTTTGTAAACTTACATTGCTTAAACAATGAAGGAATTCTATTTTCCGAGATTTTCAAAGGAAACAATTTTTCTCTCCTATTGCAAAGAAAGAAATTTTATTATTTACATTTAAAAGTTTAAACATACATACATGATTTTAAATTCTTAAAGCTTGACAGTAAAATTCAAGCCAAATAAAACTATTCTGTGTGTGTTTGTTAGGTGCATGGTTGTGTCAAGATAGCACTACTGATGTTGAGTACAGAAACTGGGGTAAGGGTGAACCTAGCAGCACCAGCGAAGATTGTGCAGTGGTGACAAATAGAGGTGATTGGAATGATGTGTCATGTGACGATCTCTCTCCTGTCATCTGCAAACGACCAGCACCACAGCTGCACTTTTAAGTAACGCCAAACAACTGACTGCTAATCAAATTTAACACCCCTCCCCAAAAATTAAAGAATGAAATCATGTAGAAAGTATTGCAACTATGCAAGTGATTGATAGAACCATTTGAACCATCATGAATTTTGGATATACAATGTGAGAAGATAAAAACACTTAAAAAAATGTTGTTCTCATAGAATACATGTATCTCCGTAATTTGTGCTCTTTGGAAAATAGTTTCACTTTTTTCTGTATTTTTCATTCACAGAAACCGTTGTGAAAATATGCAATTTAACCACTTGAACAATTACAAAGTTTGGGCACACAATTTGAGATGATGAAAAAAACAAGTCATTTTTTTTTAAATCTTGTTGGAAGTCCTCACAGAAAACATTGTATGAGTGTATCGTTTTAAATTTGTCCTTGTGGAAAATATCATTAATTATATGTTTATTTCTTTCAGTTTCAGAACTTTTCAATTTTTGTTTCCTTCGGTAAGATAATCCCAAATGAACGAGTAACAATTTCGATGCTGCAGTATTTAGTCAAGTTATATACTGAGTCTTTTATATATCTTTGATTGTGCAACACCCTTTTCTGAGTAAAGTATCTGTTTTCGTTAATTTCACAGATTTCTGTTTTTATCAAGACTTTTTCTCACTTTAATTTTAAAACCAGATCAGTTCTGCTACAGTGTTAACTTTGTAACATAAACCTCAAACAAACAGAACAAATGTTTAAAAATACCTTATGCACAACCAAATACAACATTATATTAACGCTAAGTTGTGCACTAATTCTGTGGTATAGAGAAATTACTGTTCTTGTTTAAACATCTGTAATACTATAACACATTGTAATTGTGGATAACCAATTAAAATGTTGCAACTTCAGACAACTAATAAGCATCTGCATGCACTGATTCCGGAAGTATTAACAAATCCCACAAATGTTCCTTTTTTTAGGGGGGGGGGGTGGGTTTAGAAAGCAAATTTGCTTGAATACGCCTATGGTCACATATGTTGTTGAAAATGTCCTTCGCCATCATTTTGTATTGGTGGGCAAACTTACACAAAATGACAAAATATAACGGAAGAAGCATACCCAATTTCATCCAAATTTGGCGTGCAGGTGTTGAAGTGTAGATCACGTGACTTCCCCTCTAGAATTACTGGCGTTTTGTCTATGTACAATTTAAACACTAAACATGCGCAACGTTTGTGCTGTCTGGCTTGTGGCATTGAAGTCACTCAAGAAATCTGAAACCTTTTAAATTTGGTCAACCACTTGATTAGCTTCTCAGCGCAGTAATGACATGTCACACACAAAGAAAGAAGCAGTAATTAGCGACCCAGTTTGAAGCAGGCTTCATAACGGTGAGTCAATCTTCATTAACTCATACAACAAGTTTAAGATGAAATGCCTTGACTGATACAACGCACTAAAGACTAGCTGCACACCATCAATCAAAACTCCAATAGAAGGGCGAGTGTCAAATTTCAACGAAATACTAACAACACAAAGCAATCTAGTGAGATCACTGCTGAAATCATCTACCAGTCAGTAAGTCAGCCAGTCAATTGATACAAAGTAAAAAATAACGATCCAGCAAAAGAAGTGGAGCATTTATGACAAAATTGCAGAAGCTTCATAAGAGTGAGTCCATCTTCATAAACTGAAACAACAAATCTGTGATGAAGTCTGTTGGCGGATACAATGCATTGAGGATGAGTTGCGTCAAGCCAAAACGGCTTGACACATTTATTGGAAAGACTCAACTTGAAGGGCAGGTTTAATATTGGAAGGAAATATTGACGGTAGCTTCTGATGAGCATAATAGCCCCTGCGATAATAAGGTACACATAGTAGCTGACAGTGAGAGCGTAGCTTCATATCTACACTGAGCACCAGTGAGGTAACATCTTGAAATGATGTTGCCAAAACGTCTCATCGTTGGCCTGATAAGCCTTTGTTTTATGATCAGATGTACTGGTGGTAATGAGAGGTGTGGGGCCTCCATTAGAGGGGCATGTCCTCCTGCTTGGAGCCAGTGGGGTGACAAATGCTACCAAAAACACAGCGAGAAACTACCATGGGCTGAGGCAAAACAGGAGTGCATCAAGATGGGAAGTGTCTTGGTCATGCCACAGTCTCAGGAGGAAACTGACTTCCTTCAGAAGATACTGGCCCCCTACTTTCGGATCAACTGTAATGATCTTCAAGTTGAAGGTTTGTCAACTTATATTGCTTTAACAATGAATAAATTCTATTTTGCACGATATTAATATGAAACCATTTTTCTCCCTTTCTGGAAATGAAAGTCATCTCATTATTAACATTTCAAACTTCAAACAAACATGGTTCTCATTTTTGAGGCTTCATTGTAAAATTTTAACCAAATAAAACCAGACATTAATATTTTCTGTGTGTCAGGTACATGGGTGTGTCAAGATGGCACTACTGATGTGGAGTACAGAAACTGGAGGGATGGTGAACCTAGTAATGGCGGGGGAAGAGAAGATTGTGCAGCAGCGGGAAAATCTGGTTGGAATGACGTTCCATGTGACAATCTCGCTCCTGTTATCTGCCAACGACCAGCACCACAGCTGCACTTTTAAGTGTCAACAAAAAACACTGACTGCTCATCCAAAAAATATGTACACACAGTAACTTATTTTCATTTATTCTAAATTACATCCCTCAAAAAAGCAAGGTATCATGTAGACAGTACTGTGAATATGCAATTGAAGAATTCGGAAAATCGCAAATTTTGGGCAAACAATTTTCGAAGATGAAAAACAATTTAAAATATAATAATACAAATTATTGTTGATGCATGAGGTACTCCTTATAGAATACTCAGTTCTAAACATTATATCTTTTTGTAATTTGTGCTGTTGGAAAATAGTTTAACTTATTTTCCATGTTTTTTATTCACGAAGAATGCATTGTCAGCATAGGCAACTGAACCATTTGGACAATCACACTATTTCAGGCACACAATTTGAGATGATGAAAAAAACAGTTCACTTTTATTTAAATCCTGGTAGCCCTCACAGAATACATGTATGAATGTTTCTTTTCTAATTTGTGCTTGTGAAGAATATTGTTAATTACTTTCAGTTTCAGAAATTTTCAATTTTCGCTTCGATTGGAAGATAACCTCAATTGGAAATGTAACAATTTGATTACATAAAATATTAAAATGAAAATCTGATGTTGCTGTATAGTCAAGTTATATACTCTTTTGCTATATATTTGCTTGTGCAACACCTTTTTCTAATTTAATTATCTGATTTTGTTAATTTCATAGATTTCTGTTTTCTCAAGTCTTTTTCTCACTTTAATTTTAAAACCAGATCAGTTCTGTTACAGTGTTAACTTCATAACATGAACCTTAAACAAACAGAACAAATGTTAGAAAATACCTTATGCACCACCAAATACGGCATTATATTAACGCTAAGTTGTGCACTAATTCTGTGGTATAGAGAAATTACTGTTCTTGTTTAAGCATCTGTAATACTATTGCACATTTTAATTGCGGACTACCAATAAAAATCTTGCAACTTCAGACAACGAATAAGGATCTGCATGCACTGATTCCGGAAGTATTAACAAATCCCACAAATGTTTCTCTTTTTTTGGGGGGGGGTTTAGAAAACAAAGTTTCTTGAATACGCCTATATGGTCACATATGTTGTTGAAAATGTCCTTCGCCATCAATTTGTATTGGTGGGCAAACTTACAAAGAAAGACAAAATATTGGGTGCAGGTGTTGAAGTGTAGATCACATGACTTCCACTCTAGAATTGCTGGTGTTATGTCTATGTACAATTTAAACACTAAACATGCACAACGTTTGTGCTGTCTGGCCTGTGGTATTGAAGTCACTCAAGAAATCTGAAAACTATTATAAATTGTGTTGACCACTTCATTAGCTTCTCAGTCACACACAAATAAAGTAGCAGTAATTTGCGGCCCAGTTTGAAGCAAGCTTCATAACAGTGAGTCAATCTTCATTAACTGATAGAACAAATCTCTGATGAAGTCTGTTGGCCGATACAATGCATTGAGGATGAGTTGGGTCAAGCCAATATATAGCTTGACACATTTATTGGAAAGACTCAACTTGAAGGGCAGGTTTAATATTAGAAGAAAATATTGACGGTAGCTCTTGATGAGCATAATAGCCCCGGCAATAATAAGGTACAAATAGTAGCTGACAGTGAGAGCGTAGCTTCATATCTACACTGAGCACCAGTGAGGTAACATCTTGAAATGATGTTGCCAAAACGTCTCATTGTTGGCTTGATAAGCCTTTGTCTTATGATCAGATGCACTGGTGGTAAAGAGAGGTGTGAAGCCTCCATTAGAGGGGCATGTCCTCCTGCTTGGATCCAGTGGGGTGACACATGCTACAAGCAACTCAGCGAGAATCTACCATGGGCTGAGGCAAAACAGGAGTGCATCAAGATGGGAAGTGTCTTGGTCATGCCACAGTCTCAGGAGGAAACTGAGTTCCTTCTGAAGAACCTGATCTCCTACTTTTGGATCAACTGTAGTGATCAGCAAGTTGAAGGTTTGTCAACTAATGAATGAATCAATTCAATTTTCCTAGATTTTCATAGGAAACATTTTTTTTTCTTCTTTTGGAAAGGAAAGAAATGACATTGTTAAGATTTCAAACTTCAAACAAAAATGGTTCTCATTTCTTACAGCTTCACAGTAAACTTCTAACCAAATAACTAAAACCAGACATTAATATTCTCTGTTTGTCAGGTACATGGGTGTGTCAAGACGGCACTACTGATGTGGAGTACAGAAACTGGAGGGATGGTGAACCTAGTAATGGCTGGGGAAAGGAAGATTGTGCAGCAGCGGGAGAATCTGGTTGGAATGACGTTCCATGTGACGATCTCGCTCCTGTTATCTGCCAACGACCAGCACCACAGCTGCACTTTTAAGTGTCAACAAAAACACTGACTGCTCATCAAAAATAAGTACACAGAGTAATTTCTTTTCTTTTACTGTAAATTATACCCTCAAAAAAGCAAGGTATCATGTAGACAGTACTGTGAATATGCAACTGATCAATTTAAGGCAATTGTACATTTTGGGCAAACAATTTTAGAAGATGAAAAACAATTTTAAAATATAATAATAAACAAGATTGCTGAGGCATGAGGTACTCCTTATAGAATACTTAGTTCTAAACTTATGTCTTTTTGTAATTTGCTCTTGTTGGAAAATAGTTTCACTTATCTGTATTTTTCATTCACGAAAATTGTGTTGTCAACATATGCAACTGAACCACTTAGACAATCACAAAATTTGGGCAAAAAAATCGACATAATGAAAAAAAAAGAACTTTTTGTTTTAATAGTAGTCCTCATAGAATACATTGTGTAATGTATCTATTTTAAGTTGTGCTTGTGGAAATATTTTTAATTACAACTTTATTTCGTTCAGTTTTAGAACTTGTCAATTTTCTTTTCCGTTTGTAAGATAGGCCTAATCTCAATATAGTTTTTAAACAAGTACATTTAAAACAAGCTAAGGACCTGGCCACCAGTTTACAACCGGCCAGCAGATATTTGTATTCCCATTTCATTAATATCTGTCAGTCAAAAATTCAAATCAAGTCAAAAATTCAAAAATTTTCAACGATTTTGTTCAACGTTTACTTCATGTTTTGTGAAAACACCACTCTGACACGTTATGGCTGTTTAAATTTCACATTAATCGACATGACAAAAAGAGAAACTACTGAGAAAAAAAGGCCTTTAAAGTATTGACTTTTGTATTCGTGAAAAGGAAAGTACCAATTGTTTTTCCTTAAAAACTTTTATTCCACGATTTTTATATTATTTCTTTAAATTACGTGTAGTTCACATATCAAATATTACAAATATCAATAAAGGTGCACAAACAAAGTTCATTCCCATTTGATTTTTGCATTTTCTTCCACTAAGGCATGTGCAAAGTTCCGTCTCATTTTGCCAGAATGCCTCACATATAAAACTACAAAAGCTATCGGCTACTTTGACTGATCAGGTCTGAGGTGCTATATCTTGCCTGGTACGCTGCTTTGTAAGGAGTTGCACGTCATTTATTAGTTTTTGGCCTACAATGGGGATGCATACGTCTCCTACTGGTAATCATGGCAACAGAGGTAAATATACATGAGTTATATGGCTTCAAACTCACAAAGCAGAGTCTTGCAAATATGTCCAATTAGAAATTTCCCTTTGTGTCCGTTGGTGCGGAATAAATAAGGAGACTAGTTAATGAAAAGAAAATATTTACAGCATCGTCAAGCTCACTACTGCAATTAAGGATTGGTTAAAAAAGAAAAGAATCGTCATTTCACCACTGGGAACCAGTCTGGTAACATCTGCAAATGACGTTGCCTAAACGTCTTATCGTTGGCTTGATAAGCCTTTGTCTTATGATCAGATGCACTGGTGGTAATGAGAGGTGTGGGGCCTCCATTAGAGGGGCGTGTCCTCCTGCTTGCAGTTTCCTTTTGTAAGATAAACTCAATTGGAAATGTAACAATTTGATGGCATGAAATAAATGAAAATCTGATGCTGCAGTATTTAGTCAAGACCTAGTTATTTGTTATATCTGTGCTTATGGAGCACCTTTCTCAGATTTTTTTGGTCTAATTCTTACAATTTCACCTTCTTTCAAGTCTTTTTCTCATTTTAATTTTAAATAACATCAGTTCTGTTACAGTGTTAACTTGGTAATATGAACCCAATGCATTCACTGATATAGCTACTAAGGGAATAAACACGTGCTTGGCCGTTTTTAACCAAGTACGTTCAATACCAGCTAGGGACCTGGTCACCAATTTTGAACGTACTTGTTGAAAACCATCCAAGCAGATATTTATTCCCATTTCATAAGTACCTTTTGGTCAAAACATTCAAAGCAAGTCAAAAATTCACTAATTTCCAACAATCTTGTTCTACAATTTTCTTCATGTTTTCTGAAACATCCCTTTGGTCATGTCTACAGAATGTGCCTCATGCGCGTGGTGCTGAAACAGATACGTTTTATTTTTTAGCATAAATAGCATTGGCATTGAGAAGGGACAGGATATTTATTGTCATTGATTTATCAAAATAAAAGTAGGCCTAGGTTATCAGTATCATGATCATGTTCTGAACAACTAGCCAAATATTATGCAAGTTGCAATTATATTGGCTTGCAATGTAGTAAGCTCTAACAAAGACTTCTGTCCTCCGTAGTCGTAGTAACCAACCTCTTTCAATGCCCATAAATATAGTGAATTTTGTATCAATTGAGTTCTGCGGGCAGAATGAAATTCGCAGCGCAGTTTATCGATTAATTTCACCAGAAATATATGAAGTGTGAATTCTTTTTGTATCCACTGGCGCAACACTTATAATGTGAACACTTTAAAATTAACTGCCATACAGCTTCCATTGTAGCACTGAAGAATGACGTCTGAGAAAGGGGTACGCAATGCGCATTTTACCACCAGGCACCAGTCTGGTAACATCTGAAAAAGATGTTGCCTAAACGTCTTGTCGTTGGCTTGATAAGCCTTTGTCTTATGATCAGATGCACTGGTGGTAATGAGAGGTGTGAGGCCTCCATAAGAGGGGCGTGTCCTCCTGCTTGGATCCAGTGGGGTGACAAATGCTACAAACAAGGCAGCGAAGATCTACCATGGCTTGAGGCAAAACAGGAGTGCATCAAGATGAGAAGTGTCTTGGTCATGCCACAGTCTCAGGAGGAAACTGAGTTCCTTCAGAAGAACCTGATCCACAAGTTTTGGATAAACTGCAATGATCTTCAAGTTGAAGGTTTGTCAACTTATATTTCTTAAACATTAACTGAATTCTATTTCCAAGTTGTTCACAGTCTTTCTTTCCTTTTAGAAGGGAAAGTAATTTCATTATCAACATTTCAAACTTCAAAACATACATGCTTCTCAATTCTTAAAGCTCAAAGTAAAATTCAATCCAAATAAAACCGAACATTATTTTTCTCTGTGTGTGTCAGGTACATGGGTGTGTCAAGATGGCACTACTGATGTGGAGTACAGAAACTGGAGGGATGGTGAACCTAGTAATTTCGGGGGAGGAGAAGATTGTGTAGTAGCAAAAGAGGCTGGTTGGAATGACGCACCATGTGAGACTCATGTTCCCACTATCTGCAAACGACCTGCACCACAGCTGCACCTATAAAGGGCTCATGCAATGTAATGTTTTGGATGCAATCCTTGAAAATGCACCTTTGTGTCCCACTTAGCCTTATTTTGGGCCGTTTTTATGCTAATAAAAATTTACATATTCATGAACAGAAGTGTGATGTCATTTCAGGCAAAAACCTTCATTTCATCGTTATTTCAGCACCAAACGTTATCAGAATTGTGGGCATGTTGCGGTCCTAAATGTTCTTTTTTTTAATGATTCATTGCTATTTCAGTGCAAGACAGTAAACCGATGAGCAAACTTTTTCTCACAATGTTTCAGTACGCAAAAACTGTTTGAACAGAAAACCCCTAAACTGAAAAGTGTCTTCCTGAAATGACATTACACAAACAGTGCCTAATGTTTAAAGAAGGGTCCTTTTCAATAAAATAACAATATAAGAATGTCAAACAGTTTTCATGCATTTCTAAGATGTAAAAAGTTGCACAAACATGTTCCCATGTAACATTCATCTCATGATCTCATTATATGGCAATACAAATTTTGATTTCAAATCAAAAAGTAAAACTCACAAAGTTAGTTATTTATTTAATCATAATATTAAAGGTAACATGTAGAATGTAAAAATTGTACAGTCTAAACCACTGTGAAATTTTGGGCAACAATTTGTTTTTTAAAAATAGCTATGTTAATGGTAGTCGTTATAGAATACTTGAGAATATAGAATAATTTTGATGTGGAATTAACTCGTATTTTACTATTTATTTATCTTTCTTTCAATTTCAGAGATTTCACATTTTCATTTTAGTTCCTCACTTTCAATTTACATTGTTGCCTGGGCACTACGAGCCAATGTATCAATTGGCCACACAGATTTTTGCTTTCAAAATGTAAATGTAGCATTTGTTCGTTAAGGAAGCTGACTGGCAAAAATTAATAACTTCTCCACTCCAAAAAACGGGGGCAATATTCATTAGGGCTATCTGACTTGGTTTGACAGGAATTGTGATAGTTCAAAACTTGTTGGGTTCTGCAAGGTTCCAAGGCAAAATCGGGACTACAAGTTTATTTCGGTCCAAAACTCAAAACAAAACTAGGGGGAAAAAATAACTTTCATCAGACATTATTCTAGATTTCAAAGTATGTTCCTGGAAATAAGGTTGACTTGAGCCGCTAACTACCCATATTTCTATTTGTGTATAGCACTGTGAATGCATGGACACCTTTATGATGTTTTTTGCTAGAATCCAAAAACAAATTTGGCATTTTCTGATGAATCTTCTCAATGCAGAACCGGTACCTTGTATATCCAACCATGAGCATAAGCTTTCATCCGTGAAGCCATTTTTGAATTGTTTACATTACTTGTTGATTAATTTATTATATTTATTCATCGACTCATTTTGTGTTTGGTATTTTTAGCAATATTGAAATAAATGTATGAATAAATGAATACAACAGATTTTATGGACCGATGCTTGTAGTCATAGAAATCGTGGTAACCATGGCAATTCAAGTAAACAAGCATCAGAAATGTGTTATAAAGGCACACAGCAAAGACTTGCTAACATATCCAATTGAACAATTCTCTTTGTGTCAATTGGGGCAGAATAAATTTACGGCATCGTCAAGCGCACTACTACAATAAAGGATTGATGACAAAATCACCCTTCATTTCACCACTGGGAACCAATCTGGTGACATCTGAAAATGATGTTGCCAAAACGTCTCATCGTTGGCTTGATAAGCCTTTGTCTTATGATCAGATGCACTGGTGGTACTGAGAGAAGTGGGGCCTCCATTAGAGGGGCGTGTCCTCCTGCTTGGAGCCAGTGGGGTAACAAATGCTACCAAAAACACAGCGAAAATCTACCATGGGCTGAGGCAAACCAGGAGTGCATCAAGATGGGAAGTGTCTTGGTCATGCCACAGTCTCAGGAGGAAACTGAGTTCCTTCTGAAGAACCTGGCCCCCTTCTTTCGGATCAACTGTAATGATCTTCAAGTTGAAGGTTTGTCAACTTATATTGCTTTAACAATGAATAAATTCTATTTTCCAAGACATTCATATGAAACCGTTTTTTTTTAATTCTGGAAAGGAAAGTCATTTCATTATTAACATTTCAAACTTCAAACAAACATGGTTCTCACGTCTTCAATTCCAACCAAATAAAACCACACATTAACATTCTCTTTGTGTGTGTGTCAGGTACATGGGTGTGTCAAGATGGCACTACTGATGTGGAGTACAGAAACTGGAGGCTGGAGACCGGTGAACCTAATAATGGCGCGGGAGGAGAGGATTGTGCAGTGACAGACAAAACTGGTTGGAATGATGTATCATGTGAGTTTCATGCTCCCACTATCTGCAAACGGTCTGCACCACAACTGCACTTTTAAATGGCAACAAAAAGACTCACTCCTCACAAAAAGTAAAGCTCAGAAACCAACTTAATTAATTAAATAAAAAAATTGAAGGAAATCATGTAGAAAGCATTGTGAATAGGCAATTGAACTCTTTGAACCATCGTAGCTTTTGGACAAAAAATTGGAAAAAACTGTTTCATTGATGGTAGTCCTTAGAAAATACTTAAGAAACAAAATGTGGAAACAATTGTTTTTTATTTGTTTATTTATCTTTGTTCATTTTCACAGATTATCAATTTAGTTCCTCATTTTCCATGTCCAGTGTTGCCTGGACAACCAATGTATCAATTGGCCACACATATTTTTGCTTTTAAATTTGACTTTAATTTTGAATTCATGTATTTCCTTTCCAAGCTTTGAGAGATCACACTGGTCACATAGTATTTATCACAAAAAATCAAACATAAAATGGATTATGTACAATGTAGTTGATGAAGTGTAATGAATAATTAATCAATTAAATCATTGGGGGCAATTGGATATGTGGTAGCCATGCAACAAACGGTAAATACAATATGCAAAATCTGATGCTGCAGTACTTAGTCCAAGGGTACAAAATACTACAAGTCAAATATCTTTGCTTGTGGAGCCATGTTTTTCTGAGTTAATAGAATAATTCTTTCAATCCTTTGTCTCACTTTTAATTTCAGCCAAATCAGTATACTGTGAGTGTTATGATGTACCTTGGTAGTATGAACCTACCGGTTGTCTTGGTCCAAAACCAGATTTGGATTTTTATTTCCCGTATAGTACAGACCGTCCGTGACAAGCGAGGTCAATACCAACAAGATGAATCAAATCCAGTCTTTGCAATATTGGCAGCGCTACCCAGGGCATTCCGATCATACCTCATGCACGCTGTATTCAAGTTTAATGCATGCGTGTGAGGTATGCTTGGCATTTCCTGGGAAGCGCTGCCAATATTTCGAGGACAGGATTAGATTCATGTTGTTGATAGAGACCTCCACCGCTGCCGCAACTTAACCGCGTTTGTCACGGGACTGGCTGCAAAATAAGGGAATAAAAATTCCACATCAGTCTCGGATCAAGACTAGTATGAACCTAATCCATAAAGATGAGTACCATGATTTAATACACATGTTTTTTAGATTACCAACTGAATTGTCACACTGAATTGTTGTTAACATTTTCAATCTAATTTAGACTCACATTGTTGAAAAATAACAAGTTCTATTGTACAAAGCCATACATTTGCAGTTAAATAATAGGCATCTTTAACAATGCATCATTTCATTGTTTGACTAATATCTATTTTTGGTGGAGTTGATCATTTGTGTAGGTGATGTGACTAAATGACAACATAATTTATACTCAATTGTTAACACAGTTTCAGCTGAACTGCCAACAGTTTTTCTCTGTTGTCTTTGCTTTATTTGTGGTTAATAAAGACTGAGATGAAATCTCTTGCACTGGTACAATGCTTTATGAGGAGCTGTGCATCGTCCATGAGTTTGTGGCCTAAACTCTGGATTAAAATACATCTTCCGATTATTGGCATTGATGACTGAAGGATGGGGTTGATTGATTGATTGCGGTTGATGCGGTTGGTGTTGAATTGTTCAAGGGTATTTGCTTGTGCATGTACTGTTGATCTTACTATTGGTAGTATGTCGGTGGTACGAGAACTGGTGAGGTCTTCTATTGCATCTTGTTTGTACCATGAGGGTATACATAACTTACAGGAGCTCCAAAACTTTACAATACATTAATAAAATATAATTTGTAGAGAGGTAAATGTAGCACTTGATTGTTGAGGGGGCTGAAGGCCAAAAGTTATAAACTTATCCATTCCAAAAAAGGGGGCATATTCATTAGGGCTATCTGACTTGGTTTGACAGGAATTGTGATTAGTTCAAAACTTGTTAAGTTCTGCAAGGTTCCAAGGCAAAATCGGTACTACAAGTTTATTTCGGTCCAAAACTCAAAACAAAACTAGGGAAAAAAGAGTTAACTTTCATCAGACATTATTCTGGATTTCAAAGCATGTTCCTAGAAATAAGGTTGACTTGATCGAGCCGCAAACTACCCATATTTCTATTTGTGTATAGCACTGTGAATGCATGGACACCTTTATGATGTTTTTTGGTAGAATCCAAAAACAAATTTGGCATTTTCTGATGAATCTACTCAATGCAGAACCGGTACCTTGTATATATTCCAACCATGAGCATAAGTTTTCATCCGTGAAGCCATTTTTGAATTGTTTACGTTACTTGTTGATTAATTTATTATATTTATTCATCGACTCATTTTGTGTTTGGTATTTTCAGCAATATTGAAATAAATGTATGAATAAATGAATGCAACAGATTTTATGGACCGATGCTTGTAGTCATAGAAATCGTGGTAGCCATGGCAATTCAAGTAAACAAGCATCAGAAATGTGTTATAAAGGCACACAGCAAAGGCTTGCTAACATATCCAATTGAAAAATTCTCTTTGCGTCCATTGGGGCAGAACAAATTTACGGCATCGTCAAGCGCACTACTACAATAAAGGATTATTGACAAAATCACCCTTCATTTCACCACTGGGAACCAATCTGATGACATCTGAAAATGATGTTGCCAAAACATCTTATCGTTGGCTTGATTAGCCTTTGTCTTATGATCAGATGCACTGGTGGTACTGAGAGGTGTGGGGCCTCCATTAGAGGGGCGTGTCCTCCTGCTTGGAACCAGTGGGGTGACAAATGCTACAAGCAACTCAGCGGGAAACAACCATGGGCTGGGGCAAAACAGGAGTGCATCAAGATGGGAAGTGCCTTGGTCATGCCACAGTCTCAGGAGGAAACTGACTTCCTTCAGAAGAACATGATCGACAAGTTTTGGATCGACTGTAATGATCTTCAAGTTGAAGGTTTGTCAACTTATATTTCTTAAACACTGACTGAATTCTATTTCCAAGTTGTTCACAAGAAACAATCTTTCGTTCCTTTTGGAAGGGAAAGTAATGTCATTATCAACATTTCAAACTTCAAAACAAACATGCTTCTCAATTCTTTAAGCTCAAAGTAAAATTCAATCCAAATAAAACCACTCATAAGCATTCTCTGTGTGTGTGTGTCAGGTACATGGGTGCGTCAAGATGGCACTACTGATGTGGAGTTCAGAAACTGGAGGAAGGAGCCTGCTGAACCTAATAATTTCGGGGAGGAGAAGATTGTGTAGTAGCAAAAGAGGCTGGTTGGAATGCCGCACCATGTGAGACTCATGTTCCCACTAACTGCAAACGACCTGCACCACAGCTGCACCTATAAAGGGCCCATGTAATGGGCCCTTTATAGTCGTATATACCATGTAAAGGTAATAAGCAAAGGTTTGATATCACTTCAGGCAGAAACCTCCAATTTATAGCTATTTCAACACAAAAAGAATTGCGGACATTTTGCGGTCGTAAATGTTCTTTTCTCTGGTGATTCGTTGCTATTTCAGTACAAGATGGTAAGCAGATGAGCAAAGTTTTCTTACAAATGTTTCAGTATGCAAAAATGTTTGGGTCACAATTTGAACAGAAAACCCCTAAACTGAACAGTGTTTTTCCTGAAATGACATTACACGAACAGTGCCTAATGTTTAAGAAGGTTCTTTTTCAATAAAATAACAATATAAGAATGTCAAACAGTTTTCATGCATTTCTAAGATGTAAAAAGTTGCACGAACATAGTCCCGTGTCAAATTCATCTCATGGTTTCTTTGAAATGGCAATAAAAAATCTGATTTCTAATCAAAAATTTAAACACACAACGTTATTTATTTAATTAATTAAATAAATATTAAAGGTACCATGTAGAATGTAAATTGTACAGTTTAAACCACTGTAAAGTATTGGGCAAAAATTAGGTTTTCTTTAAATAGCTACGGTGATGGTAGTCCTTATAGAACACTTGAGAATATAGAATAATTTTGCTGTGGAATTAACTCTGATTTTACTATGTATTTATCTTTCTTTCAATTTCAGAGTTTTTCAATTTTTATTTTAGTTCTTCATTTTCAATTTACATTGTTGCCAGGGCAATACAAGCCAATGTATCAAATGGCCACACAGATTGTTGCTTTCAAAATTTAAATGTAGCATTTGTTTGTTAAGGAAGCTGACTGGCAAAAATTAATAACTTCTCCACTCCAAAACAGGGGCAATATTCATTAGGGCTATCTGACTTGCTTTGACAGGAATTGTGATTAGTTCAAAACTTGTTGGGTTCTGCAAGGTTCCAAGGCAAAATCGGGACTACAAGTTTATTTCGGTCTAAAACTCAAAACAATAATAGGGGAAAAAAATAACTTTCATCAGATATTATTCTAGATTTCAAAGTATGTTCCTGGAAATAAGGTTGACTTGAGCCGCAAACTACCCATATTTCTATTTGTGTATAGCACTGTGAATGCATGGACACCTTTATGAGGTTTTTTGCTAGAATCCAAAAACAAATTTGGCATTTTCTGATGAATCTTCTCAATGCAGAACCGGTACCTTGTATATTCCAACCATGAGCATAAGCTTTCATCCGTGAAGCCATTTTTGAATTGTTTACATTACTTGTTGATTAATTTATTATATTTATTCATCGACTCATTTTGTGTTTGGTATTTTTAGCAATATTGAAATAAATGTATGAATAAATGAATACAACAGATTTTATGTACCGATGCTTGTAGTCATAGAAATCGTGGTAACCATGGCAATTCAAGTAAACAAGCATCAGAAATGTGTTATAAAGGCACACAGCAAAGGCTTGCTAACATATCCAATTGAACAATTCTCTTTGTGTCAATTGGGGCAGAATAAATTTACGGCATCGTCAAGCGCACTACTACAATAAAGGATTGATGACAAAATCACCCTTCATTTCACCACTGGGAACCAATCTGGTGACATCTGAAAATGATGTTGCCAAAACGTCTCATCGTTGGCTTGATAAGCCTTTGTCTTATGATCAGATGCACTGGTGGTACTGAGAGGTGTGGGGCCTCCATTAGAGGGGCGTGTCCTCCTGCTTGGAGCCAGTGGGGTAACAAATGCTACCAAAAACACAGCGAAAATCTACCATGGGCTGAGGCAAACCAGGAGTGCATCAAAATGGGAAGTGTCTTGGTCATGCCACAGTCTCAGGAGGAAACTGAGTTCCTTCTGAAGAACCTGGCCCCCTTCTTTCGGATCAACTGTAATGATCTTCAAGTTGAAGGTTTGTCAACTTATATTGCTTTAACAATGAATAAATTCTATTTTCCAAGACATTCATATGAAACCGTTTTTTTTTAATTCTGGAAAGGAAAGTCATTTCATTATTAACATTTCAAACTTCATACAAACATGGTTTTCACGTCTTCAATTCCAACCAAATAAAACCAGACATTAATATTCTGTGTGTGTGTCAGGTACATGGGTGTGTCAAGATGGCACTACTGATGTGGAGTACAGAAACTGGAGGGTGGAGCCTGCGGAACCTAATAATGGCGCGGGAGGAGAGGATTGTGCAGTAGCAGACGAAACTGGTTGGAATGATGTATCATGTGAGTTTCATGCTCCCACTATCTGCAAACGGCCTGCACCACAACTGCACTTTTAAATGGCAACAAAAAGACTCACTCCTCACAAAAAGTAAAGCTCACAAACCTACTTAATTAAGTAAATAAAAAAATTGAAGGAAATCATGTAGAAAGCATTGTGAATAGGCAATTGAACTCTTTGAACCATCGTAGCTTTAGGACAAAAAAAATGGAAAAAATGGTTTCGTTGATGGTAGTCCTTATAAAATACTTGAGAAAAGAAATGTGGAAACAATTGTTCGTTATTGATTGATAAATATCTTTGTTCATTTTCACAGATTTTCAATTTAGTTCCTCATTTTCAATGTTCAGTGTTGCCTGGGCAACAAATGTATCAATTGGCCACACAGATTTTTGCTTTGAAATTTGAATTTAATTTTGAATTCATTTGTTTTCTTTTCCAAGCTTTGAGAGATCACACTGATCACATAATATTTATCACAAAAAAATCAAACATAAAATGGATTATGTACAATGTAGTTGATGAAGTGTTCTGAATAATTAATCAATTAAATCATTGGGGGCAATTGGATATTTGGTAGCAATGCAACAAACGGTTAACATAACAATATGCAAAATCTGATGCTGCAGTACTTAGTCCAAGGGTACAAAATACTACAAGTCAAATATCTTTGCTTGTGGAGCCATGTTTTTCTGAGTTAGTAGAATAATTCTTTCAATTCTTTATCTCACTTTTAATTTCAGCCAAATCAGTATACTGTGAGTGTTACATGTACCTTGATAGTATGAACCTACCGGTCGTCTTGGTACAAAACCAGACTTGGATTTTTATTCGCCGTATAGTACAGCCCGTCCGTGACAAGCAAGGTCAATACCAACAAGATGAATCAAATCCAGTCTTTGCAATATTGGCAGCGCTACCCAGGGCATTCCGACCATACCGCATGCACGCTGTATTCAAGCTAATGCATGCATGTGAGGTATGCTCGGAATACCCTGGGTAGCGCTGCCAATATTTTCAAGACTGGATTTGATTCATGTTGTTGATAGAGACCTCCACCACTGCCGCAACTTAACCGCGTTGTCACGGGACTGGCTGCAAAATAAGGGAATAAAAAAACCACCTCAGTCTTGGATCAAGACTAGTATGAACCTAATCCATGAAGATGGGTACCATGATTTAATACACATGTTTTTTTTAGATTACCAACTGAATTGTCACACTGTATTGTTGTTAACATTTTCAATCTAATTTAGACTCAAATTGTTGAAAAATAACAAGTTCTATTGTACAAAGCTATACTTTTTCAGTTAAATATAAGACATATATAATAACGCATAATTCCTTTTTTGACTAATGTCCATTTTTAGTGCAGTTGATCATTTGTGTAGGCTTTGTGACTTTTAAATGCACAACTTTTATTTTTGCTGAAATTCACAGCATATTTGTACTAAACAGTTGTTCTTTTTGCTCGATGTTGTCTTTGCTCTATTTGTGGTTAATAAAGTCGGAGATGAAACTCTTGCACTGGTACAATGCTTCATGAGGAGTTGTGCGTCGCCCGTGAGTTTTGGGCCTAAACTTTGGATTAAAATACATCTCCAGATTATTGGCATTGATGACTGAGGGAGGCGGTTTATTCATGTTGAATTGTTGATGGATAAATGCTTGGACTGTAGATCTTACTATTGGTAGTATGTCGGTGGTATGAGAACTGGCAAGGCCTTCTATGTGATCTTGTTTGTATCATGAGGGTATACAGGAACTTACAGGAGCTCTATAACTTCACAACATACCACTGAGATATTCAGCATTTAAAATATATTTGTATGAATTTTGAGGGTAGAATCCAATGACAAATTTGGCATTTTCTGATGCCTCAGCAAAATGCAATAAATATACCTTGCATATTCCAACCATGCATCTAAGCTTTTATTCATAAAGCAATACAAGAGATTGTTATGGAGCAATAAAATCAGCCTTCTCTTTCTAACAAGCCACTAATTGTAAAAGGACTCGTTATGCAGGTGAAATTGTGGTAACCATGGCAATACAAGTAAACAAGTATCAGATACGTGTTCCAAAGGCATATTGCTAATGTGTCCCATTGAATAAACCATTATCTTTGTGTGCATTGAGGCAGAATACATTTACAGCATCGTCAAGGGCACTACTATAATAAAGGATAGAAGACAATAATACCCTTCATTTCACCACTGGGAACCAGTCTGGTAACATCTGAAAAGATGTTGCCAAAACGTCTCATCGTTGGCTTGATAAGCCTTTGTCTTATGATCAGATGCACTGGTGGTAATGAGAGGTGTGGGGCCTCCATTAGAGGGGCGTGTCCTCCTGCTTGGAGCCAGTGGGGTGACAAATGCTACAAGAAACTCAGCAAGAATCTACCATGGGCTGAGGCAAAACAGGAGTGCATCAAGATGGGCAGTGTCTTGGTCATGCCACAGTCTCAGGAGGAAACTGACTTCCTTCTGAAGAACGTGCACCACTGGTTCTGGATCAACTGCAATGATCTTCAAGTTGAAGGTTTGTCAAAATAGAACGCCTCAAAATTGCACGAGTTCTATTTCAATTTGTTAATGTGAAGGTTTGTCAACTGATTGTGTTTGAACAATTTCCAAGTTATTGATAGGAAATAATGTTTCTTTTCCTTTGGAAAGAGAGGTAATTTCAGTAAGTATTTCAAACTTTGAACAAACATGATTCTCAATCCTTAAAGCTTCACAGTAAAATTGAAGCCAAAATGAACTTGATACATGTATTTATATTCTCTGTGTGTTAGGTACATGGGTGTGTCAAGATGGCACTACTGACGTGAAGTACAGAAACTGGGGTAATTGGCAACCTAGCAATGGTATCAGAGAGGATTGTGGGGCAATGAGAGATAGCGGTGACTGGAATGATGTACCATGTGAGAATCTCGCTCCTGTGATCTGCCAACGACCAGCACCACAGCTGTACTTTTAAGTAACATCAAACAGCTGGTTGCTAATCAAATTCAACAACCCTCCCCCCAAAAAAATAAAGAATGGAATCATATAGACAGTATTGCAAATATGCACTCGATTGATGGAACCATTTGGACAATGATGATTTTGGGGTATACAATTTGAGAAGATAAAAACACTTTAACAATATAATTATAATAATAAAATGCTGCTGCATATGGTACTTCTCATAGAATACATGTATCTTTGTAAGTTGTGCTCTTTGGAAAATAGTTTCACTTTTTTCTGAATGTTTCATTCACAGAAACCGTTGTGAAAATATGCAATTTAACCACTTTGACAATTACAAAGTTTGGGCACACAATTTGAGATGATGAAAAAAACAAGTCATTTTTTAAAAAAATCTTGTTGAAAGTCCTCACAGAAAACATTGTATGAGTGTATCGTTTTAAATTTGTCCTTGTGGAAAATATCATTATTATATATGTTTATTTCTTTTAGTTTCAGAACTTTTCAATTTTTGTTTCCTTCTATAAGATAATCCCAAATGAACAAGTAACAATTTCGATGCTGCAGTATTTAGTCAAGTTATATACTGAGTCTTTTATATATCTTTGATTGTGCAACACCCTTTTCTGAGTAGAGTATCTGTTTTCGTTAATTTCACAGATTTCTGTTTTTATCAAGACTTTTTCTCACTTTAATTTTAAAACCGGATCAGTTCTGCTACAGTGTTAACTTTGTAACATGAACCTCAAACAAACAGAACAAATGTTTAAAAATACCTTATGCACCACCAAATACAACATTATATTAACGCCAAGTTGTGCACTAATTCTGTGGTATAGAAATTACAGTTCTTGTTTAAACATCTGTAATACTTTTACACATTGTAATTGTGGATAACCAATAAAACATTTGCAACTTCAGACAACGATTAAGCATCAGCACGCACTGATTCCGGAAGTATTAACAAATCCCACAAATGTTCCTTTTTTTAGGGGGGGTTGGGTTTAGAAAACAAATTTGCTTGAATACGCCTATGGTCACATACGTTGTTGAAAATGTCCTTCGCCATCATTTTGTATTGGTGGGCAAACTTACACAAAATGACAAAATATAACGGAAGAAGCATACCCAATTTCATCCAAATTTGGCGTGCAGGTGTTGAAGTGTAGATCACGTGACTTCCCCTCTAGAATTACTGGCGTTTTGTCTATGTACAATTTAAACACTAAACATGCGCAACGTTTGTGCTGTCTGGCTTGTGGCATTGAAGTCACTCAAGAAATCTGAAACCTTTTAAATTTGGTCAACCACTTGATTAGCTTCTCAGCGCAGTAATGACATGTCACACACAAAGAAAGAAGCAGTAATTAGCGACCCAGTTTGAAGCAGGCTTCATAACGGTGAGTCAATCTTCATTAACTCATACAACAAGTTTAAGATGAAATGCCTTGACTGATACAACGCACTAAAGACTAGCTGCACACCATCAATTAAAACTCCAAGTGAAGGGCGAGTGTCAAATTTCAACGAAATACTAACAACCCGAAGCAATCTAGTGAGATCACTGCTGAAATCATCTACCAGTCAGTAACTCAGCCAGTCACTTGATACAAAGTAGAAAATAACGACCCAGCAAAAGATGTGGAGCATCTGTGACAAAATTGCAGAAGCTTCATAAGAGTGAGTCCATCTTCATTAACCGAAACAACAAATCTCTGTTGAAGTCTGTTGGCCGATACAATGCATTGAAGATGAGTTGGGTCAAGCCAATATATAGCTTGACACATTTATTCAAAAGACTCAACTTGAAGGGCAGGTTTAATATTGGAAGAAAATATTGACGGTAGCTCTTGATGAGCATAATAGCTCCGGCAATAATAGGGTACAAACAGTAGCTGACAGTGAGAGCGTAGCTTCATATCTACACTGAGCACTAGTGAGGTAACATCTTGAAATGATGTTGCCAAAACGTCTCATCGTTGGCTTGATAAGCCTTCGTCTTATGATCAGATGTACTGGTGGTAATGAGAGGTGTGGTGCCTCCATTAGAGGGGCGTGTCCTCCTGCTTGGAGCCAGTGGGGTGACACATGCTACAAGCAACTCAGCGAGAATCTACCATGGGCTGAGGCAAAACAAGAGTGCATCAAGATGGGAAGTGTCTTGGTCATGCCACAGTCTCAGGAAGAAACTGAGTTCCTTCTCAAGAACCTGATCGACTACTTTTGGATCAACTGTAGTGATCAGCAAGTTGAAGGTTTGTCAACTAATGAATGAATAAATTCAATTTTCCAAGTTTTTCATAGGAAACAATTTTTTTCTCCTTTTGGAAAGGAAAGAAATGACATTGTTAAGATTTCAAACTTCAAACAAAAATGGTTCTCATTTCTTACAGCTTCACAGTAAACTTC